CATTATGTTTTTTAATATAATTTCAGTATTTGGAGGTAACTTTCCGGAGTAGACTGTATTTGAGATTTGAGTGTGTGGCTATTTTTCACTATGAAAAAAATGGACTGATTTAATTTTTCACCCTGTGAAATAACAACAGATTGCACTTTTCCATCCTCATGCTTCTGATGTTGGAAAGTTTGGTAAAGCGACTTCCATAAAAGGGTTTGAAGAAGCTGCCCAAACGTAAAATGGCAAACACAGGCACAGAAGTTGGTCCTGGTCACAGAAACCAACATCCCGAACATCTCAGTTTTCCTTTTTGCAAAACCAAGTTTATAGCTTTTAGATTTGTTAAAACAGAGTTGAAATTGTAAAATCTAGGGAGTAGATGAGTGATGGCAGAAAGTGAGGAGGAATTAAAGAACCTTTTATTGAGGGTGAAAGAGGAGAGCGCAAAATATGGTCTGAAGCTCAACATCAAAAAAACGAAGATCATGGCCACTGGGCCCATCACCTCCTGGCAAATAGAAGGGGAAGAAATGGAGGCAGTGAGAGATTTGACTTTCTTGGGCTCCATGATCACTGCAGATGGTGACAGCAGCCATGAAATTAAAAGACGCCTGCTTCTTGGGAGAAAAGCAATGACAAAACCTAGACAGCATCTTAAAAAGTAGAAACATCACCTTGCCAACAAAGGTCCGTATAGTAAAAGCTATGGTTTTCCCAGTAGTGATGTATGGAAGTGAGAGCTGGACCATAAAGAAGGCTGATTGCTGAAGAATTGATGCTTTTGAATTATGGTGCTGGAGGAGACTCTTGAGAGTCCCATGGACTGCAAGAAGATCAAACCTCTCCATTCTGAAGGAAATCAGCCCTGAGTGCTCATTGGAAGGATAGATCATGAAGCTGAGACTCCAATACTTTGGCCACCTCATGAGAAGAGAAGACTCCCTGGAAAAGACCCTGATGTTGAGAAAGATGGAGGGCACAAGGAGAAGGGGACGACAGAGGATGAGATGGTTGGACAGTGTTCTCGAAGCTACCAGCATGAGTTTGACCAAACTGCGGGAGGCAGTGGAAGACAGGAGTGCCTGGGGTGCTCTGGTCCATGGGGTCATGAAGAGTTGGACATGACTAAACGACTAAACAGCAACAAAGATGAGTTATAGAGAATGGACAGCTCAGTTGCTTAGAGCGTGGTGTTGATAATGCAAAGCTCACAAGCTTGATCCCCATACAGGGGACATTTCAGCTTTTCTTGGCACAGAATTTGGATTGCCAAGAGACAGCACATGTCTTCTGCTCTTCTGAGAAAGTTGGACTGCTAGCTAAGAAAAGACAGAAGAACCACAAGGAAAATACAGAATGATGATGACTGCAAGATGGCATCGTCTGGGCATCCTGTGAAAAGTTAGTGAACAAAGCAAGGCATATGCAATTCCACTTTAAGGATCTCTGGAGAGCAAAGACTTGGCTCAAAGTCAGGAAGCCAAATCACCCACTACAGCTGTGTTGTCTACAGGAAATTGTCTTGTCAGTCTGGATGGGAATCGAAGAGTTCAGCTACAACTGTGTTGCGTTACGAGCAAGAGCAGCTGTCAAGGCTTCAGGGAATCCTATCCCACCCACGGTGGGATGCCAAGAAGCAGATAAAGAAGAAGAGCTCTTACCAAGTAGTTTGTTCAATATACACAGAGAGACGAAGGAATGCAGTCTCTCTCAGATAATGGTATTTCTCCAAGTAAAGTCCCACCCCCTCCTTCCCTCCTATTCTACGATATCCCTGCGCTGGCTGATCTGTGCCTTCTGCCTCTGAGCTTTCTGTTCTACTGCTCTCAAGGTACGCCTGGTCCTGGGAGAGGGAGGGTCAGGAAGGCTTTCTAAGGACACAGAGTCTGTTAGCTGTCTCTCCCCTGGTGGTGTTTCTTCTTCCTGCTGCTCTCCCAATATTTCCCAGCTTCTCCCCTCTGCAGCCTCTGAACTATGCCCTTCTGCAAACCAGTGTTCTAAATCTATACTGTCCTCCTCTTCTCAGGAAGGTACATAAAGGGTGGGGCGGTTCCCACCATTCCTCTTCAGTCCAGCCCCTGACAGCAGTAGAGTTTTCTCATAATAATAAATAATGACACATTTACTGTTGCATGTTTAGTGCATTACGGAACGGGGGTGGGGGGCATAACTTTGGAGGGTTTCATACGCCTTCCAAACCACCAATCTTAGCCACGTTGTGCAAAAAGGTGGACCTTGAAAGTACATCAGATATATGACAAAGGGGCATGTTGAAATTTCCTTGCCCTCTTGCAACACACACACACCATAAATTCGAGTCCATAGTGTTGTCCCATCTGTTCCATTTTTGCAAAAACACAGGGAAGCAATTTCTGCTCCGTCCCCTGTTTTTTTCATCTGTTTGCGCAGAGTTGACTTTACAGTGCAAAAGCCATCTGCCAAAGGGAGGGGGGAGCCTGTTTGGGGGAGACGATCGGCTGTTTACTGATGCTCTGGCTCCTTCCAGATGGAAGAAGAAAATAACTGCAGCAGTTCGGATTAGTCCTTGCACCACATCACCAAAAAAAAGGTTGAATACTTACCATATGTGAAGAATAAAGCTAAAATATGTGGTGGGCCTATAGCAGACACACAGTTTTGTGGGAAATCACAATTCCAATAAATGTTACCGCTAGGGGAAGTGACCTATGCAATGAGCTTTCGTCCTATTCTGTTTGAACAATGCTCACATGGAGGTCAAAAATGTCCAGTCTTTCTGATTTGTTGACAGGGTGGTTATAGGACATCGAGCATTCCCCCAAATTTACTCTGCTCATCTCCCTGTTAATCATTTGTTCACCCAACATCTTTCAGTGAATTGCCCACTGCAAGAAGGCCAGCTGTTTTAAAAGAGGACTCGTTGCTCTAGAGCAGGGGTAGGCAACCTAAGGCCCATGGGCCACAAGCGGGCCATGGGGGTCGTTTAACCGGCCCACAAGCCACCCCCAAACCGAGCCACCCGCTCAGTGAGTCCCTGTGTGCTGTGCTAAACCAGCCCGGCCCGGGGAATCACTTCCGCGGTGCCAGAAATTGCATCTGTGCAGATGCAGGCACCATAAATAGAATCTGCGCAGATGCAGATGCCAGAAATCGCAGGTTCGCACGCTCACACGCATGCGCAATTCGGCCCATGGAGAGATATCCGCTGGAGTGAACCGGCCCAAGCAAGGCAAACCTTGCTGACCCCTGCACTAGAGGGCAACAGAGCAGCTTAGTCCATTAATAACTTACCCTCCCAGAGCCCCTGTTTTCCAGGGACAGTCCTGGAATTACAGAAGCCGTCCCAGTTTCTGATTTGATCCTGAAATGTCCGAGTTTTTATTTTTCCTCCTCTCCACGTCTCAGAGAACAGTTTAAAGTGGTGTGGGTGGGTGCAAAAACAGAGTCCTGTTTATCCTAAAATAAAATCTCTGCACCAAATACAGTGGTACCTCGGGTTACATACGCTTCAGGTTACATACGCTTCAGGTTACAGACTCCGCTAACCCAGAAATAGTACCTTGGGTTAAGAACTTTGCTTCAGGATGAGAACAGAAATCGTGCGGCGGCAACGCAGCAGCAGGAGGCCTCATTAGCTAAAGTGGTGCTTCAGGTTAAGAACAGTTTCAGGTTAAGTACAGACCTCCAGAACAAATTAAGTACTTAACTTGAGGTACCACTGTAAAGGAAATGGTGAAGCTGGCATACAAAACACTTCCTATACTTTCGAAGGAAAAAGTCACCAATGCGCTTTAAATTTTTTCATTGCAATGCTTCAGCAGCCAGCCATTTCTTAAGAAACATATGTAGTGTTTATTTCTTTATTGTAAATGGAGCTTGGCACTGTCTACTCAGAAGTAAGACGTTTCCAGGCAGGCGATGCAGAAAGGGGGCTGTGTTGTACAGCCGTACCTCAGAAGTCAAACACCTTACGAGTTGAACGCTTTGGCTCCTGAACGCCACAAACCCGGAAGTGAGTGTTCCGGTTTGCGAATGTTCTTTGGAACCCAAACGTCTGGCACTGCTTTCGTGGCTTCCAAACATTTTGGAAGTCGAACAGACTTCCGGAATGGATTCCATTCGACTTCCGAGGTACAACTGTACTTAAACTGCAGGACAGTATTCTGGAACCACATGCACAACAGCAAATAATGGACAGTGGGATGTTGTTGTTGTTGTTTAGTCGTTTAGTCGTGTCCGACTCTTGGTGACCCCATGGACCAGACCACATCAGGCACTCCTGTCTTCCACTGCCTCCCACAGTTTGGTCAAACTCATGCTGGTAGCTTCGAGAACACTGTCCAACCATCTCGTCCTCTGGTGTCCCCTTCTCCTTGTGCCCTCCATCTTTCCCAACATCAGGGTCTTTTCCAGGGAGTCTTCTCTTCTCATGAGGTGGCCAAAGTATTGGAGTCTCAGCTTCAGGATCTGTCCTTCCAGTGAGCACTTTGTTTGTTTGTTTGTTTGATGTCCCTATTATAAGGTTACCAGACGTCCCCGTTTTCCGGGGACAGCCACCAGATTTACAAATCAGTCCCCATACAAAATCCATTGAAGTGTCCCCGGATTCATTGAAAAAAATCTGGTAACCTTACGGCCTATTATGGAATAGGACATCTAGAGAGGAGGTTATGTTATTCTAGGGAGAGTGTGTCAAAACCTACCTGTACTTCACCACTGGTTTACATTGCGAAGCAACACAAAAAGAGATTGCAAGGGGAAAGGATTTTTTTATTTCTGTCCAATTTATAAATTGAGGCAAGAACAGGGCACAGGTTCAAACGGCAACCTGGAGAAGCAGGGGGAATTCCGGCAGTCATGTTCGCAACCTGCATGCAGTTTCCTACACGGCTTTTCAGGGATAAACGTGCAATCATCAATGGGAGAAAGGGGAGGTCTCCAAATTCAAAACCGGAAGATTCTTTTTTCCTACATCTCCGACGATCTTCCGAAACCCCTATCTGCCAAAAGAAAAAGGAAAAAAGCCAACCACAACAAAAATACAGCTAAAATTCTCTTTACAAAGGCAACGCTGACTCTTCGCTTGTGACTTCTCCTCCAGTGACCTCAGGGGAGATTGCGTGACAGCAGTAATTTGACACTCCCATCAGCATCAGACGCTGCTAATGAGAGTTCCTCAAACAAAAGTTTATGTAAGTTGCCTTGAACTGAGTCAGCAGCAACCACGGAGTAGCGGTTTTCCCCTTCAGTTCTGCTGGGGAGAGACCTGTAGGCAGCTGAGCTGAATCGGACCGGGAGCTTTTGGCAAGCAAACAGAACCAAAGAGGTACTGAACCGCTTGGGCATTGGAAGTAGGGAGGATGCTATGTAATGGCTAGTTTGCCTGTCACTCTTTTCGCCTCACAGCTATCTGCAATTTGTGTTGCTTACTTAGTTTTCAGAGGACTGGGAGTCTGCTGGGCTGCTCTGCAGGGAAGGCAGTTCTCAACACTAATCTCTCACAACAAATGTAGCTGATTTGTAAGAAGGACTGTACAGCCTGAAAAAAGAGACAAGGCATGTGCTTTTGCAAACCAAGAAAATCTTTAAAAGTCCTTTTTGCCCCCCCTCTTGGAATGGGCTAATATAGAAGACATGGCTGATCATGAGTGCTTTGTTTGTAACTTGAATTTGCGCTCGCATCAGTTCGCAGAGGATGATCCAGTTAAAGGTCTCCTTTTACTCCAGAATCTTGGCTTCTGAAAGCCTGTCTGTGCTCCTCTCTGCTCTCCGAGTTTTCTTCATAAGTAAAGAAACAGAACGAGGGCAAAAGATATTCAGAATTAATAACAATTTGCAGATTTGTTGTTCCGTTAGCTTAGTCAGTAGAGCAGGAGACTTTTAATCTCAGGGTCGTGGATTTGAGCAAAAGATTCCTGGTTTGGTCGAGATAATCTTTTTGGTCCCTTCCAACTCTACAATTCTATAATTCCCCAAAGAGTTGCATCGGGCACCTTCATTGTCCAGCTTCCAGAAAATACTTAAGATGCTCCTAATCACCCTGGCTTTTGTTTTAGGACTCACCTTAATTTTGTGATTGTAAGTTTTCAGTATTGTGTTTTAATGCTGTAACCTGCCCTGGGACCTCAGGGTGAAAGGCAGGTAATAATAATAATAAGAATATAGTTCACCTGTATTTTAGGGCAAGGGCCATGGCTCAGTGCTAGAGCATCTTCTTTCAATACGTGAGCGTCCAGGTTCGATCCCTGCTGTTTCCAGGTAGAGCCAGGACAGAAAGAACTCCTGCCTAAAATTCTGGAGAGCCCTGGCCAGTTCTAGTGTGTAGACCAGCCTTTGGTCCCAGGTGTTGTTGTACTACAACTCCCATCGTTCCAAGCCAGCATGCCTAGTCGTCAGGGGTGGTGGGAGTTTTAGTTCAAGAACATGGGATGGGGAAAGGTTGAGAAAGGCTGGGGTGGGGGCAATATTCAGCTAGGTGGACCAATGAGCCAACTCAGTATAAGGCTGCTTCCAGTAAAGTAGGCTGATATTATCGCTAGACTGCGGTGTGGGATTGCGGCCACAGCGGCAGGATCTGAGGTGGATAGTGGCTTGTGTGAATTCGTATTGGAAGAATGAGTTGATCTGGGGACGTTCTGGCTTGCAGTAAAATTCTATACATGTCTGCTCAAAGGAAAGTCTCACTGAGTTCCGCAAACCTTATTCTGAATTCAGTGGGGCTTCTGGATAGACATATATTATTATTATTATTAATTATTATTATTATTATTATTACATAACAAATCCATTGAGCATTAAAACATCCCTAGTTAAATAGACAATTAAAAATGTGTAACAATTAAAAGAGTGAAAAAACAGCTGAAACAATAAAGCCAAAAGTGCAGTTCAGGGGAATCTGTGCTTTAACAATGTCTACAGGAACCCGCAGAATGCCAATACTGATGGGACTCTTGTATTTATCTTATAGGATTGCACTGTCAGAAATGTAAACACTGACCACCGTTGTATTTCTTCCATTGTCTATTGTCTGTTGTGGAATGAATGGGAACTGCACAGAGGACTGGTGCTCGTTGTTTCATTCCTGTTTCAGTACTTATAACAAGCTCTCGAATTTCTAAATGAACACCTAGCTCCTATTAGAATACTACATACTGAGCAAAAATGAGGTCAGCTGGTTTGCTTATACAGTGGAATGAAGCTTGATTAGAATTATTCATAAATTTATATCTATACAACCATATCATAAAATATAGATGGCTCAGGTCCAGTTGTCTAGGGCAAAGAATTAGCTCTTATCTTCATGATCCCTGGTCTGTGAAACAGGAAGTGTAATCTCAGTTACAAAACTGCTGTAAGAGAGTACAGGTAACTCAAGCACATCTAACTTGAGCACATTCAGCTTTCTGCCATGCTCAATGCTCATGGGGCATTGCAGCTGCCACTGGGGCAGGTCGCCAAGCTATTGCCCCCTCATTCCAGCCTATAGGCAGGTGGTACTAAGGATACATGCCTTGCCCTGGGCACTGGCAACCCACGCTATACCACTGGTTTTATGTGCTTAGCAAAAAAGGGGGGGTTAAAAAAAGGAAGGCATCTGGGGAAAAAGACTTTGGCAGTCGCACCCGACATTGAACCCAATGTATTTTGACTATACACAATTTTGGCTTTACACACTTTCTCCAGAGCGTAACCCCTTCGTAGGTTGAGAGATGCCTGTATCTCAGTAGATAATGGGGCCCAATCCACCGGCAGAGAAAGAACCCAGCTGCCATTTGACTCCTCTCCTCCCTGAATGGTCTCCATCCAAGCGATAATCATAATAACTATGTCACCGTAAGAAATTGTGCCTGTGCTTGTTTATTTTCTTCTTCCCTCCCAATCCCTTTTCCCTCTTGTGTTGTGTCTGTTATATTTGCAAGCCTGCAGAAAACCCTTAAATAATCTTTCCGTAAAGCCTGGTAGATTTTAGGCATGTTATTTTGGGGATGACGATAATATGTGCCTTGAAAGTGCTGTAGAAATGATGGAATTCTTAACATTTCTCGGAATCCTCAAAGGGAGTGCTTCAAATCCGCTGTAAGTGTTCTGTTCAAAAGCGAATTCAATGCATTTTAATACATTTCAGGCAGTGACAGATGGGAACCTTGGAGAAAACTGAAGACTCTGTCAGCGTTGGGCCGATAGAGTTTGACACATGCAGCAAAGGTGCAGGAACAACAACAGTGTCCAACCCTAGGAATGTATCTCCTGGGAATGAACCAGAACGAGGTGGTCCGTTCTTGCGTTCAGTCCCAACCAGAGAATCTCTCCGATCCCCTCGGGGGTCAGTGGTGAGTTTCCACGGCATCCAGTATTCCATCAAGCAGTCCCGGGGACCCCTGTGCAAACGGAAAGTGGTGGAGAAGAAAATCCTTCATAACGTCTAGTAAGTGCATGCAATATGCGTCTTAACAGAGAATTTTGGGGGAAGTCATAATAATAATAATAATAATAATAATAATAATAATAATAATAATTTTTTATGTATACCTCGCCCATCTGGCTGTTTCCCCAGCCACTCTGGGCTTCCAACACAATATTAAAATACAGTAATTAACATCACTTAAGGAGCTCGTCTTCCTGATTCATTGAGAGCTCAAGACAATAAATGTTTTCAGATAGTAAATGGAATGGGTGAGCTGATGTTTTAGGTGTCGTTTGTTTATTTGGGGGGGGGTAGTTCCCAATATCAATTGCTTAGTTAATGGCACAATTCTGAAAGGATCGCTGTGAATATCTTTGCCGAGATTTTGTGTGTGGAGAGAAAAGCCCAGCCTTAAAGTGCTGGATGTGCCTTTGGGAGGTCCAGGTCTACAGCAAGCCTACTGGGAAGCAGGGCGAAGAGACAATATGACATAAAGATGGGGAGAATACATTATTGAAGCAGGACCCTCATGTGTGACAGAAACAGGAACCTCCAATAGGTCAAAAAGGAGCATCCAATCCCATTCTTCAGCTTTGCCTCAGTATGAGACACAAGCCCATCCACCTCTGCCTATAAGCCTGCTGTGATTTGATTCTGTTGTTTTATTTGCTGGAGGAATGTGTACCACATGTTAGATGTGACATTTCCCTTGGGGAGACTTGAGCTTCCCATCAAGAGAATGGGTTTCTCCCTTCAGGATGCTTGTGCTGGTCCTGGGGGCTAACCGAGAGGTGAGGTCCGAGTCTAGTCCAAGGTCAATGGTGCGGTATGGAGGCTGTCCGTCAAAGCTGAAGCTGGGTCCAAGGCAGGGAGTCAGGTGGGGTCAGGAACTCTGGCAGGAGAGCAGGACAGGGTGCAGGCAGGAACAGGCTACCAACAACGTTGCTCCCGCAACCTGGGACTGGGGCTGGCTGGCTTTTATCTGCCCCGAGGCATAGGGCGGCCCTGGTCCACAGGTGACTCACCTCTCCTGGCCTGGAGGCGAGCACTCTTCCTGCGGGAACTTAGTTCCCTCCGCCTCTCTGCCCTGAGCCTCTGCAGCTCAGGAGAGGCTGGAGGGTTACCGGACCCAGAGGCAACCTCATCTTCCCCTGACAGGGCTGATAGCGGAGCACCTGCAGGCAATGGGTCCTCCATCACCTCAGGAGCTAGAGCAGGCTCAGCTGGTGCCTGCACCTGAGGATCCAGCACAGGTGAGGACCCTTCAGGCTCAGGCCCCAGCCCCGGCTCAGCTGGTTCTGGAGGCGGGGACTCCTGTGCAGGCTGGGATTCCTCAGGTTCAGCCTCTGAGTCCGAATCCCAGGCCATCACAATGCTTCTGCTGCTGCTACTGCTCAGAGCCACTAAATTACTCTGCAAGGTCCACATTATGCAAGTGCCAATCTGATAGCTGAAACAATTATATGGGCAGGCACATGAAAGAGCATCCAAATCTGGAAAACAATAGAGTGTTATGTGCACAAACTTCCTCAAGCCTTGAGAAATTCTAGGGGGATAGCCTTTTCATTTGACTTCCTTTTTAAAGTGAGAAGATTGGAAACTAATAATAATAATAATAATAATAATAATAATAATAATTTATTACTTATACCCCACCCATCTGGCCAGGTTTCCCCAGCCACTCTGGGTGGCTCCCAACAGAGTATTAAAAACACAATAAAACATCAAACATTAAAAACTTCCCTAAACAGGGCTGCCTTCAGATGTCTTCTAAAAGTCAGATACCGTATTTTTCTCTCCATAAGACGAAATTTTTCCTCCTAAAAAGTAAGGGGAAATGTCTGTACGTCTTATGGAGGGAATGCGTGGTCCTGGAGCCGAATTGCCCAGGGGCGAAAAGGAGATTGTGCTTTTTTTTTTTTTTTTTTTTAGAAAGAGGGAAGCGGGTGTTGAAACAAAGCCACTGAGCAGCTGAGCAGCAAGCGATCGGGAGGGGAGATAAGGGACTCTAGTGATAAAGGAGGCTGTCTGGGAGGAGGGAGGTAAAGTGTGCTGGTCCAGGGGAGAGGTTACCGTGGGGCGAGGTCCAGGACCTGAGTCGAGGGTCGGCAGACAGTCCTCCATGGGCGAAGCGGGGTCCACAGCGAGGAGCCGGGCAAGGACAGGAACTCTGAGGGGAAAAGGACTGGATGCTGGCCGAAACAGCTCTTCAACGATGTTGCTCCCGCAACCTGGGACTGGGCTGACTGGCCTTTATCTTCTCTGAGGCCAGGGGCGGCCCCGGCCCCCAGGTGACCCGCCTCTCCTGGCCTTAAGGCGAGCACTCCTGGGAGAAACCAGTTCCCTCAGCCTCTCTGCCCTGAGCCTTTGCAGCTCAGGAGAGGCCAGTGGGTTACTGGACCCAGGGGGAGACTCACTTTCCCCTGACAGGGCTGGGAGAGGCGCACCTGTAGGCAATGCATCCTCAATCGCCTCCGGAGCCTGAGTAGCTTCACCTGGTGCCTGCTCCTGAGGATCCGGCACAGGTGCAGGCACTTCAGAATCAAGGCCCTGCCCCAGCTCAGCCGGCCCTGGAGGCGGGGACTCCTGTGCAGGCTGGGATTCCTCCGGTTCAGCCTCTGAATCGGATTCCCAGGCCATCACATAAAGACAGCAAACTTGCAAGGAGAGGAGACAGGAAGATTAAAGCAATGAGGAGAGAAATTAGAAGAAGCGGAGGAGCAAAAAAACTGCTCCAGCTAAGGAAAAGACGCTAAGGTAAACAAGAGGGAAGGGGGTGTTGAAAGGAAGCAGCTGAGCAGCTGATCGTCAAGCGATCAGGAGGGAGATAAGGGACGCTAGCGATAAAGGAGGCTGCCTGGGAGGGGGGAGGTAAAAGCACATGGATCCTCAGGATTTTTGCATTGGGTCACCCCAAATTCACCATCAGATCACATAGCATGTCCATGGCTACAGCCTGCACCAAAAAAATCACACATCCACTGTTTTGTGGGGCTGCAATGGCGCAAAAACTTGGTTACAAAGCATGGATCCACATGGATCCTCAGGATTTTTGCATTGGGCTACCCCAAACTCACCGCCAAATCACATATCATGTCTGTGGCCACAGCATGAACCACAAAAATCATACATCCACTGTTTCGTTCAGAATATTTTTTTCTTGTTTTCCTCCTCTAAAAACTAGGTGTGTCTTATGGAGCGAAAAATACGGTAAATCTGGCCCTGGGCAGGGCATACGTTTCTTTGTATATTTCCATACATATGGGCCAGAAACTTGGTATTTTAAAATGGAAGAGGAGGTATTGAAGAATCCAGATTCAACACCAAATATAGGATTTTACAAACACCTGTGGGCAGGTGGAGGAATAAAATTATGAGCAGAATAATAGCAAGTGAACCATTTATATCACCAACAATTCCAGAACGGAAATTTCTGTAACAAAACGTTGGTGTGGCAGAAGACATGGGGAAAGGATCTGATGTCATTATGCCACATAGATCACGCAGAAAACTATTGATAAACTGAACCTCCTTTTTATTCATTTTTACTTCTAGTGGCATCATGAGGCCTGGCATGAATGCTATCCTGGGACCAACGGGAAGCGGCAAATCTTCGTGAGTATATCTTAAGGCCAAATTCCAAGTGGTGTGGGAAATCTGTTATCAGAAAGCTTTGATTTTTGGAATTATTGTTATTTAATTAGAAGCTAGTAGCACATGCTTTAGGGGACGCGGGTGGCGCTGTGGTCTAAACCATAGAGCCTAGGGCTTGCCGATCAGAAGGTCGGCGGTTCGAATCCCCGCAACGGGGTGAGCTCCCGTTGCTCGGTCCCTGCTCCTGCCAACCTAGCAGTTCGAAAGCACGTCAGAGTGCAAGTAGATAAATAGGTACCGCTCCGGCGGGAAGGTAAACGGCGATACCATGCACTGCTCTGGTTCACCAGAAGCGGCTTAGTCATGCTGGCCACATGACCCGGAAGCTGTATGCCAACTCCCTCGGCCAATAAAGCGAGATGAGCGCTGCAACCCCAGAGTCGGTCACGACTGGACCTGATGGACAGGGGTCCCTTTACCTTTAGCACATGCTTTGGAGATGGGTGAGGATTTTCCTTTCTCTGTCGAAACCGCTTGCTCAGAAGCCTTTCCCCACCCCCTGCTTATGGAACGGAGAGCAGTTTTGGGGAAGAGGATTAAGAAAGGAGAAAGGTCCGGGAAAGAAAGGATTACAAATCTCCCTTCCAGACACACTTCCTCGGGTTTCAAAGCAAGCCTGTGAAGCTGTGAATTGGCTTTAAAATCCTAATTGCGTATAAATTGTCCTTGAAGAATGCTATTTGAAGTCACATGTAATTGGGGTGCCATTTGAAAGGGGGGGTCAGGGTGCCTGTGCTTTAAACAACTGCATACCCTCCAACATTTCTCCAGTGAAAAAAAGGATGCCCTATTCCATCATCATCATCATCATCATTACTTACACCCCGCCCATCTGACTGGGTTTCCCCAACCTCTCTGGGCAGCTTCCAACATATATAAAAACATAATAAAACATTTAATATTAAAAAAAGTTTCCCTATACAGTGGTACCTCAGGTTACATACGCTTCAGGTTACATACGCTTCAGGTTACAGACTCCGCTAACCCAGAAATAGTGCTTCAGGTTAAGAACTTTGCTTCAGGATAAGAACAGAAATTGTGCTCCGGCGGTGCAGCGGCAGCAGGAGGCCCCATTAGCTAAAGTGGTGCTTCAGGTTAAGAACAGTTTCAGGTTAAGAACGGACCTCTGGAACGAAGTATTTAACCCAAGGTACCACTGTACAATGCTGAGTTGGGGGTTGGATAACTCCATACCCTGCAACATTTCTCCGATGAAAATAGGCGTATCCTAAGGAAAAGTGGGACATTCCAGGATCAAATCAGAACCTGGGACGGCTTTTGTAAATCCAGGACTGTCCCTGAAGAATAGGGACAGCGGACAAAAAAGAAAATGAGGCTTTTCTAAGCCTGCAGATACAGCGATGGCAGCACCAACTCAGCTGCTGAATTTCTTCTTGTCATGCAGTCATGGAGCAAAAGGAGCCCTGCCAGACCAAAGTATTGGAACCACTACTTATTCATAGCAATAATCCACTACAGTGGTACCTTGGTTTACAACCATAATCCGTTCCGGAGGTCCGTTTGTAAACCAAAACAGGTTGCAACCCAAAGCATGCTTTTGACAATGGGCCCTCCCAAAAAAAATTGTTCGTAATCAGAAAAATTGTAATGCAAAAAAAGTTTGCAAACCGGGGCACGCGCTTCTGGGCTTGATGTGTTTGTAATCCAAAACGTATGCAAACCAAGACGTATGCAAACCAAGGTACCACTGTAATAACCGGTTTCTCCAATGTTCCATTTAAGAGCATCATTTGCTTGCTTTCCAGTGGGCTTCCTTAGCACAAGATTTGAATTCCTCATTGGTTCGTTTTATATGATTTATTTTTTTTGCTTATCAGTGTTTTTAGAGTGAGAATGTCTCTTCCAGAGCTGGTTAGGAATAACACAGTCCTCAGAGTTTGGGTCCAGAAAAAGAACTCACTGTGTTGTTCATCATTATCCCTGTTGGAAATCGTAGTCTCAAAAGCAGGAGGACTTGACAGAACATTTTACCATCTCTAGCCTCCTAGAGACGCGGGTGGCACTGTGGTCTAAACCACTGAGCATTGGGCTTCCCGATCAGAAAGTTGGTGGTTCGAATCCCCGCGATGGGGTGAGCTCCCATTGCTCAGTTCTAGCTCTTGCCAACCTAGCAGTTCGAAAGCACATCAAAAGTGCAAGTAGATAAATAGGTACCACTGTGGCGGGAAGGTAAACGGCGTTTCCGTGTGCTGCTCTGGTTCACCAGAAGCGGCTTAGTCATGCTGGCCACATGACCCGGAAAAACTGTCTGTGGACAAACGGCGGCTCCCTTGGCCTGTAAAGCGAGATGAGCATTGCAGCCCCAGAGCCGTCCGCGACTGAACAACTGTCAGAGGTCTTTTACCTTTACCTTTACCTTTACCTTTACCTTTAGCCTCCTAGATGTTTTGGCTGCTCGAAAAGATCCTGCTGGCTTGTCGGGGGATGTTCTTATAGATGGTGTCCCACAACCTCCCAATTTCAAGTGCATCTCAGGATATGTAGTTCAGGTGAGTGTCTCAGACTTTGGGATTTTGCTTCTGCTATATCTGTTTCCCCCACCACCCCAGTTCTTTTTTTTTTTTTAAGTAATATTTATTACTTTTAAAAATTACAGAAAAGGAAAAGAAAAAAAACAAAAGAGAAAGAACAAAGAAAGGGGGGAAAAACAATACAATACAATATATAACAATACAAAACACAACCTAATCACATTGAACTAAACTAAACAAAACCCTAACCCTAAACAAAACAAAACAATCACCATTTAAAAACACAAATCACACCCTTTCCATACTCTATTTTCCATTCCCTTGTTTCCTCTACTTCCTCTCACCTCCCTTTTTGTATTCCACTTCTATTAATTGTTTCAGCAAACCCTTTCCATCTTTCTCTATTTTCTGTCTTATTATAAATATCTTAACATATTTTTTATCATTAAAAACTAAATACTCATATATCCTTAACTCCTTATAACATTTCTACTAAAGCCATAAAATTTCTTTCCACCATTTTTCTATCATTCATTAATTTTGCAATATTTCTATATATAAACTTTAAAATCCCTAATCTTCATCCACCATCTCCTCTCCCTGGTTTCGGATTCTGCCAGTCCTTTCCGTCAAATCCATATAGTCCATCAACCTGGAGATCTTATGTCCCTGGAGATTTTCCAGGTCCCTTCTGCAGGTCTTCTTCATATTCTTTAGTGCCAAAAAGCAAATCTCGAGCAAACTCCAACCTAGCAATACTTTTATTCCTTCCGGACAAGTCAGCCAAATTTCCATAGTTAAGGCTGAGGTCTATAAGATGTTTCATGACGTGTTTCAATATTCCTCCAAGTCCCAAGGCCCCCAAAACTCCAGTCTCCTCCAAACCCAAGTCCATGTCCCAAAAGTCAGTTAATCCCTGCATAGAAGGATCTTTCCAACTTTCCTTCTTCTGTCCAAGCCAGGATCCAATCTTCAAAATCTGACTTTTTCTAGATTCAATCGTAGAAGGCCTCAACTTGTAGTCCTCAATTTGCTTTTGTGTGGCTGAAAATCCCACTTGTATTACTTTAGGCTCAGCCACCACAGCTTTCTCTTTCTCCTCCGCAATCTGTCCAACCAAAGTAGTTTCTTGTGCCAAGTCCTGAATTGTTCCTGTATTGATGCTCACTTTTTGACTCCAATTAGTTACTTTTTGGTCCAAAACTTTCATTTGTACCTTGTGTGTCTGAAGTTTTTTGTAACAAGCCTTTGCCTTTTAGGACAGTGGTACCTTGGTTCTCAAGCTTAATCTGTTCCGGAAGTCCGTTCCAAAACCAAAGCGTTCCAAAACCAAGGCATGCTTTCCCATAGAAAGTAATGCAAAATGGATTAATCCGTTCCAGACTTTTAAAAACCACCCCTTAAACAGCAATTTAACATGAATTGTACTATCTAATAAGACCACTGATCCATAAAATGAAAGCAATAAACAATGTACTACAGTCACACAATCAATCAACCAGTAGCTGAACTGGGTCCCACACAGTCACCAAAAGAAAACAAAATGAGTCGTAAAAACACAAAATAAATAGCAAAACAGACAGACCTCAGCGTAACACTGAAAATGGAAGTGTGGCACTCAAAATGGAGCATGTTCGGCTTTTGAAAAAAGTTTGGAAACCGGAACACTTGCTTCCAGGTTTGCAGTGTTTGGGTTCCAAGTTGTTTGAGTACCAAGGTGTTTGAGAACCAAGGTACCACTGTAAAAGCTTTTTCTTTTGGACCTTTGACTCTGCATGGTCTTTTTTTATTTACTGCAAGACTCTGTCTCCGTCAATAACAACTCTCTGGATCCTTAACAAACTAAAGCTCCCAGGATTCCTAGGGGGGAAGCCATGACTGTTTAAAATGGTATGATGCTGCTTTGAATTTATAGGGCAGATGGGGCCTAAACAGAGAGTAGACCCATTAAAATTAAGGGGCTTTCTTGAAGTAAGAGTCAGCTGCTAGTGCGTTCAGTTTCTGCACCTGAAATGGCAGGGCGGAGGGAAGAAGGATATTCCTTTGCATGTGCTTTCTTACAGTCAAAATATTCTGCTTTCAGGATGATGTTGTCATGGGAACAATGACAGTGAGGGAGAATCTGCTCTTCTCAGCAGCCTTGCGGCTTCCGAACTCTATCAGCTTTCAGGAGAAGGAAGAGCGTGTAGTCCAGATTATCAATGAGCTGGGGCTGAGCAAAGTGGCTGATACTAAGGTGAGCACATCTTGGGGGTAATTTAAAAGGTTTTGCTGATATTCCCATAGCTGTTAGCACAAACTTACCGTATTTTTTGCTCTATATGACTCACTTTTTCCCTCCTAAAAATTAAGGGGAAATATGTGTGCGTCTTATGGAGCGAATGCAGGCTGCGCAGCTATCCCAGAAGCCAAAACAGCAAGAGGGATTGCTGCTTTCACTGCGCAGCGATCCCTCTTGCTGTTCTGGCTTCTGAGATTCAGAATATTTTTTTTCTTGTTTTCCTCCTCCAAAAACTAGGTGCATCTTGTGGTCTGGTGCGTCTTATAGAGCGAAAAATACGGTAGTGTTAATAGTGTGACCCTACCCGCCCCATGTTAGAGAGAGAAGTTTGGAAGAAAGATCTTTACTCTCTTGTAGCAGAGGGGTGATTGCTCAAAGCACCTTAAAACTTGGTTAGATTTACTTATGCCTTCACCCACCTTTAAACAACTGTTACCCACAAAATACTTAGGCTAGAATAAATCACAGACACTTAGCTTTCCAAATAAGTGAAGCTTTATATTCACAGAGTTTTTGCAGAAGTTACAGCAAACAAGTCTCTATCTGCTGGTAGCGAAACAAAGATGAACAAATAACTTAAAAAGAAAATGATTTGGTTGCCTTACAGAAAGGATCATGCAATCTTTGGGTTGGAAAAGATGCAGGCTGTGAAATCTCCCTTTTAGAGAGATTTTATACACTTGAGCTGGGAGCCATTCCACAGGGCTTCTTGCTTGTTCCAGGAAGCACAAAGAAAAAGGGGTTGGGACAGAGGCTGCTTTCGTGCACACAGGTGTCAGTCAGTAACTGTATAGCTTTCTAACTTCTCAGCTTGAATACCATAACACCACTTAGAGGTGTTTTTCCAGTGTCTGACGCACACTTGGTATGCTTAAATTAATTTTTTGCAGGTAGGAACTGAACTGATTCGAGGCGTGTCTGGGGGAGAACGGAAGAGGACTAATATAGCAATGGAACTGATCACTGAACCACCAGTGCTTTTCCTAGATGAACCCACTACAGGCCTTGATGCCAGCACTGCCAACGCTGTTCTCCTCCTGCTAAAGAGGTAAGAAACGCTATCCCTTCTGGAAACTCTTGGAAGTGCTTAAGGATAATAATAATAATACAGTGGTACCTCGGGTTAAGTACTTAATGCGTTCCGGAGGTCCGTACTTAACCTGAAACTGTTCTTAACCTGAAGCACCACTTTAGCTAATGGGGCCTCCTGCTGCTGCCGCGCTGCTGTAGCACGATTTCTGTTCTCATCCTGAAGCAAAGTTCTTAACCTGAAGCACTATTTCTGGGTTAGCGGAGTCTGTAACCTGAAGCGTATGTAACCTGAAGCGTATGTCACCTGAGGTACCACTGCAATAATTATACAGTCATACCTCAGGTTACAGATGCTTCAGGTTGTGTTTTCTCGGGTTAAAGACCCGCCGAAACCCGGAAGTACCAGAACGGGTTACTTCCGGGTTTTGGCGGTCGCACATGTGCAGAAGTGCTAAATCGTGCTTTGCGCATGCGCAGAAGCACAACCCGTGCGTGCACAGATGTGGTGCTGCGGGTTGCGAACATGCCTCCCGCACAGATCACGTTTGCAACACCAGCGTCCACCGTAGTTTTGATTATGAAGCAATTTTTCAAAATTGTTTTTGCGGGTCTTTGGGCCATAATAAAGAATGTGTGTGTGATAATAATAATAATAATAATAGCAATGCCATATTTTGGAGGGTATGGTAGGACATATATATACCGTATTTTTCACTCTATAAGAGGCACCAGACCACAAGACGCACCTAGTTTTTGGAGGAGGAAAACAAGAAACAAAATATTCTGAATCTCAGAAGCCAGAACAGCAAGAGGCATCGCTGCGCAGTGAAAGCAGCAATCCCTCTTGCTGTTCTGGCTTTCTGGGATAGCCGCGCAGCCTGCATTCGCTCCATAAGACGCACACACATTTCCCCTTACTTTTTAGGAGGGAAAAAGTGAGTCTTATAGAGCAAAAAATACGGTATATACAGTGGTGCCCCGCAAGACGAATGCCTCGCAAGACGGAAAAACTCGCTAGACGAAAGAGTTTTCCGTTTTTTGAGTCGTTCCGCAAGACGAATTTCCCTATGGGCTTGCTTCGCAAGACGAAACGTCTTCTTGCGAGTTTGTTTCCTTTTTCTTAAAGCCGCTAAGCCGTTAATAGCCGCTAAGCCGCTAAGCCGTTAATAGCCGCTAAGCCGCTAATAGCCGCTAAGCAGCTAATAGCCGTGCTTCGCAAGACGAAAAAACCGCAAGACGAAGAGACTCGCGGAACGGATTAATTTCGTCTTGCGAGGCACCACTGTATATGTATATGTATGTGTGTGTGTGTGTGTGTGTGTCCTACCATACCCTACAAAATTTCTCCAATGAAAATAGGGACTCCCAGTGCTGTTTTTCTAGGTGCCGGAACTGTTCTCTTAGAGTGTTCTCTTAGAGTGGCAATGGGGCTCACCTGAGAGGTGCCGGAACTGTGTTCCGGTGACTCCCAGCTGGGGAAAAAATCCCTGGGGGCTCCTACTCCATACCCTCCGACATTTCTCCAATGAAAATAGGAACATCCTAAGGAAAAGAGGGCATTCCGGGATCAAATCGGACACCAGGACGGCTTCTGCAAATCTGTGATTGTCTCTGGGAAATAGGGACACCTGGAGGGTCTGCAATGATGGACCAATATATCGATATATTTATTTCTACCCTGTCTTTCTGCCATCATTGTCCTCAGATTCACAGAGGATAAAGGCCATCTGTGGCACCAAGCATGATGCATATTTTCTACCCTCCACTGTCAGAATACCAGCTGCTGGAGAGGAGAAAGAGATTGTGCTCTGGTCCTGGTCCTGGACTCCCCATAGACACTTGGTTGGCCACTGTAAGAACAGGATTCTGGACCAGATGGGTGTCTGGTCTAATGCAGCAGTGATTTCCTTGTGATCTTAAGGCGCTGTACATAGGGTCCCCTAGGTTAGGCATCCCCAAACCTGGCCTTCAAAATGTTTTGGGACTACAATTCCCACCATCCCAGACCACTGGTCCTGTAATAATAATAATAATAATAATAATAATAATAATAATAATTTATTTATACCCCGCCCATCTGGCTGAGTTTCCCCAGCCACTCTGGGCGGCTTCCAATCAAGTGTTAAAAACAATACAGCACCAAATATTAAAAACTTCCCTAAACAGGGCTGCCTTCAGGTGTCTTTTTAAAAAAAGATAGCTGCTTATTTCCTTCACATCTGAAGGGAGGGTGTTCCACAGGGTGGGCGCCACTACTGAGAAGGCCCTCTGTCTGGTTCCCTGTAACCTCACTTCTCACAATGAGGGAACCGCCAGAAGGCTCTCGGTGCTGGATCTCAGTGTCTGGGCTGAACGATGGGGGTGGAGATGCGCGTTCAGGTATACAGGACCGAGGCCATTTAGGGCTTTAAAGGTCAGCACCAACACTTTGAATTGTGCTCGGAAACGTACTGGGAGCCAATGCAGATCTCTCAGGACCGGTGTTATGTGGTCCCGGCGGCCACTCCCAGTCACCAGTCTAGCTGCCGCATTCTGGATTAATTGCAGTTTCCGGGTCACCTTCAAAGGTAGCCCCACGTAGAGCGCATTGCAGTAGTCCAAGCGGGAGATAACTAGAGCATGCACCACTCTGGCGAGACAGTCCACGGGCAGGTAGGGTCTTAGCCTGCGTACCAGGTGGAGCTGGTGGACAGCCGCCCTGGACACAGAATTAACCTGCGCCTCCATGGACAGCTGTGAGTCCAAAACGACTCCCAGGCTGCGCACCTGGTCCTTCAGGGGCACAGTTACCTCATTCAGGACCAGGGAATCCCCCACATCCGCCCGCCCCCTGTCCCCCCAAAACAGTACTTCAGTCTTGTCAGGATTCAACCTCAATCTGTTAGCCGCCATCCATCCACCAACCGCCTCCAGGCACTCACACAGGACCCTCACCGCCTTCACTGGTTCTGATTTAAAAGAGAGGTAGAGCTGGGTATCTAGGGATGATGGGAGTTGTAGTCCCAAAACATCTGGAGGGCCGAGTTTGGGGATGTTGCCCTAGGTGGTCAGCCATCCAGGCATTGAGAAACCCAACCTTGCTTAGCTTTAGAAAGCTGGCAGCATCCTGTTTGTAAATTTAAGGCCTGGGGGCAGACCTGCGCGGTTTTTGCATTTTTGCCATCATCATACCTCATCAAGAGAGCTAAAACTTAAAAGGTGTGGCTTTTCATCCTAGGCTCTCCAGAAGAGGTAGAACCATCATTTTCTCCATCCACCAACCTCGCTATTCCATCTTCAAGCTGTTCGATAGCTTGACGTTACTGGCTTTGGGGAAGGTACTCTATCATGGACCCGCAAAGGAAGCCCTTGGATATTTCCAGTCTATTGGTAAGTTTGCTCTTGTTATTGTTAGTTTCTGTTTCTCACTAGGCAGCTGCTGGGAATCACAGGACTCTGTTTACATTCCAGAGACCTTGCAGTCTCACGGGAAAGGGAGACGGGATGTGACATTAGTGGTTTCCTGTTTCCTTTTTTCCTTTGTTCAGTTGCTCTCTGCTTTCGAAGAGAGAGGATGTATATTTCTTAGCTGTCTGCATAGTAAGAAATAAAACTCTATACAATGTAGCCAAACCTCTCGTCTCTTCCCTGTGCTGGGAACCCTGCTGGATAGAATGTGCTTGAGGCCTTATCAAAGGCTCAGGCCATTAAACATGTCGGAGGCGATTTCAAAGGCTCAGCTCGGAGGAAGATGAGGCCTTATCGGCTTGGCCGAGTGGAGATTCCGACAGTTATTATAAGAGTTTGTAGGCGCGGGAATGTCAGCAAAACTCACCAGAGCAGGGATTAGAAAACTCAAGGGGTTCACTGAAGCTTTTGTAGACAACTGAGAGCTGCCAATGACACGCAGATTTCATGTCAAGATCAAGATTCGCCTTGGAGACCCTAGGAGAGAGACTTCTGGGACTGTCTCTGTCTCTCTCTCTTTTTAAATAATTTTTATTGATTTTAACATATAAATTATAAAATGTACCACAAAACATATCACTAATACAATCTTTTTAAATTTCCATCAGCACCTCTGATGATCCACCGTTTTAACCACTTCTTATGCATTTCTTAGCTTTATATTGCCTTTACATCTCTTAACAAATCATCCTTCCCCTTCTCCATTTTTGCAATACTTCCAATAATACGCCTCACAAAACTTCTTGCAAACCTACAAACATCGTCTGATCTTCGCAAATACTTTTCAAATAGTCCGTAAATTTACTCCAGTCTTCCGTGAATTTCTAGTCCCGCCGGTTTCAAATCCTTCCTGTTAGTTTATCTAGTTCTGCATAGTCCATTAACTTCATCCTCTATTCTTCAATCTTCGGTAATTCTTCTTGCTTCCATTTTTGGGCCAGTAATATTCTTGCTGCTGTTATTGCATATAAAAAGAGCTTACATTCCTTTCTATTTATATCACTCCCCACAATGCCCAGTAAAAATGCTTCTGATTTCTTTATAAATGTATATTTCAACATTTTTTTCATCTCGTTATATATCAGGGACTGTCTCTGTCTCAGCTGCTTGGGCTGACAGTGGGCGCTTCCAGACAAGCCTTTTAATGGCCAATTGCTATGTCTCCTTTACATAATTGTATGGGGATTCCAGGAAACAGCACGAGCCAGTTGGGATTCTTCCATTCTCTCCCTCCCCCCCCCTGCTTCCTCCATCTTTCTTCTTGCCACAAAAAAACCCCGTGAAGGAGGGAAAGAGCACGATAGCAGTGACATCTCTCTGCAGGTGTGAACAAGATAAATTATGATTTAGTGCATAGGCATAGTGAGATTTGCCCCTAGGGAAGAAGGCTGTCGTGTTGGGGATTGCCCTCTCTGTTGTTAGTACAGTGGTACCTCAGGTTAAGTACTTAATTCATTCCGGAGGTCTGTTCTTAACCTGAAACTGTTCTTAACCTGAAGCACCACTTTAGCTAATGGGGCCTCCTGCTGCCTTCGTGCCGCCGGAGCACGATTTCTGTTCTTATCCTGAAGCAAAGTTCTTAACCTGAAGCACTATTTCTGGATTAGCGGAGTCTGTAACCTGAAGCATATGTAACCTGAAGCGTATGTAACCCGAGGTACCACTGTACAGTCATACCTCGGGCTACAGATGCTTCAGGTTGCGTTTTTTCGAGTTACAGACCGCTGAAACCCGGAAGTACTGGAACGGGTTACTTCTGCGTTTCGGTGGTCGCACATGCGCAGAAGCGCTAAATCTTGCTTTGTGCATGCGCAGAAGTGCCGAATCACAACCCACACGTGCGCAGACGCGCAGCTGCAGGTTGCGAACGCGGCGGGTTGCGAACGTGCATCCCGCATGGATCACGTTCACAACCCAATCGTCCACTGTAGTGCTGAACACACACACACACACTTTGAATCCAAATGTACAGGATTGCTTCACCTTGCTTTTGTTCCTCTGGTGTCAAAATTAAGCATAGAATCATAGAGTTGTAGAGTTGGAAGGGACCCCTAGGGCATTGATGGCGAACCTTTTAGAGACCGAGTGCCCAAATTGCAACCCCAAACCCACTTATTTATCGCAAAGTGCGAACAAGGCAATTTCACCTGAATTGGGGCATAATCTGCAATAGCTTCCACTACTCTGACTCCTATTTAGCCCTTAAGAAAAAAGGACCTGGTTACCATATAGCATTGTATCTGGGGAATTTGTATGAAGTCTAGGCAAGCTCTCTGCATTGAAAGAGAAGATGCCTATAGATCTTTTTGCCGTTCATTAACCCAACAATTAGAGGGATGTGGGTGGCGCTGTGGTCTAAACCACAGAGCCTAGGGCTTGCCAATCGGAAGGTCGGCGGTTCGAATCCCCGCGATGGGGTGAGCTCCCATTGCTCGGTCCCAGCTCCTGCCAACCTAGCAGTTCGAAAGCACCTCAAAGTGCAAGTAGATAAATAGGTACCACTCCGGCGGGAAGGTAAATGGCGTTTCCGTGTGCTGCTCTGGTTCACCAGAAGTGGCTTAGTCATGCTGGCCACATGACCCGGAAGGTGTCTGCGGACAAACGCCGGCTCCCTCGGCCTATAGAGTAAGATGAGCGCACAACCCCAGAGTCGTCCACGACTGGACCTAATGGTCAGGGGTCCCTTTACCTTTACCTTTTACCCAACAATTACCCATTCTCACCACCATTGTTTGCCTTCAAGAAGATAAGTGTAGTTAATATATTTTGACATCACCACCACAAGACCGGGTTTGTCTTCTCTATGACATACTCGTCTTCTCTGTTAGGATAAAATACTTGTTTTTGCAGCAGCTGGAGCAGCTTTTAGAGAAAATAAATTCCAACAATGTTTTCCCCACTCCCTCGCCCAGCCCCAACTGGCCCCTATGCAGGGTGTCCGTCGTGGTCCTGGGTGGACCATCAACACTCGGTTGAGCTCATGAAAAAGTACGCAAACAAGTGGTAAGCGATCATGGCACGGCAAGACCGGTGGGGCATGAAGCCCCGATGTCGGGTGAGGGGCGATGAGGATGAGGCGGAGGCGGAGGCGGCCCTGCCTGGCTACTTGGCGCTGGAACAAAGTGGCTTCGTGAAGCTCGCCAGCAATAATAATAATAATAATAATAATAATAATAATAATAATATAATTATACCCCGCCCATCTGGCTGGGCTTCCCCAGCCACTCTGTGCAGGTTCCAACAGAACACTAAAATACAATAACCTATTAAACATTAAAAGCTTCCCTAAACAGGGCTGCCTTCAGATGTCTTCTAAAAGTCTGGTAGCTGTTGTTCTCTTTGACATCTGGTGGGAGGGCGTTCTACAGAGTGGGTGCCACTACCGAGAAGGCTCTCTGCCTGGTTCCCTGTGACTTGGCTTCTGTCAGTGAGGGAACCACCAGAAGGCCCTTGGCGCTGGACCTCAGTGTCTGGGTAGAATGATGGGGGTGGAGATGCTCCTTCAGGTTTACTGGACCAAGGCCATCCTCCCCTGCCGGCTGCCGTGAAATGCGTCCTGCCCTGTGCCTCCATTGGCCCCGACCAGAGGGTGTGTAAACCTCAACATCGCAGCAGGAAGAGGAAGAAGGCAGCTGCTCAGCTGACCAAGCTGAGCTGAGGACTTGACGCATCGCCCTCACCTTCTGCCAGCTCTGTGCTGGGGTGACGGCTGCATGCCCACGGAGAGGGCTTTGAGTGCCACTACTGCCCTAGTAGAGGTTTGCCACTAGTGCCCTAGGGTCATCTAGGGTCCAACCCCCTGCAACGTGAGCTGGAAAGTGTACATTTATCAGGTGGGCTTGACAATGTGGGTGTGCCTGCCCTGATGACATGCCTATCAGCGCATGGGATTGTTGTAAACAAAAATCTGCCCTTTTTTCCCTTATGGGGTATCCAAGAGCCCATATAGAGTCCTTACGTGGGTTCCCTATTAGTAGGAGAAAATAACAGAGGCCCACCAGAGAATATTGAGAAGCAAAGCAGCTAGTAAGCCTGATCTTTATTGATCTGTTGCAACAGGGTCCTCACTCACCACATGCAGGAGAGAGGAGGAACCCTGAACAAAGGTGTGCCTGCCCTTATATGTTGCTGTTGTTGTTTAGTCATGTTGGACTCTTTGTGACCCCATGGACCAGAGCACGCCAGGCACTCCTGTCTTCCACTGCCTCCCACAGTTTGGTCAAACTCATGCTGGTAGCTTCGAGAACAATATCCAACCATCTCGTCCTCTGCCATCCCCTTTTCCTTGTGCCCTCCATCTTTCCCAACATCAGGGTCTTTTCCAGGGACTCTTCTCTTCTCATGAGGTGGCCAAAGTATTGGAGCCTCAGCTTCAGGATCTGTCCTTCCAGTGAGCACTCAGGGCTGATTTCCTTCAGAATGGATAGGTTTGATCTTCTTGCAGTCCATGGGACTCTCAAGAGTCTCCTCCAGCAACCCTTATATAGACATTTTTAATTCCCTGCCCTGGAGCTCAAGACCACCCCTCCATACATCATACCTACATCACAGAAAGAAATCTGTTTATCTACCGCAGAAATCTGTTTATCTCGTCTGACAGGTTACCTGTTTAATGGTCACTTGACTGGATTGCCTGGGGAGCCTGGCCAGTCTTTTGTAATGATAAATACCGTATTTTTCGCCCCATAGGACGCACTGCCCTATAGGACGCACCTAGGTTTTTTTTGGGGGGGGGGAAATAAAGGGGAAAAAAATTATTTCCCCCCCAGGCACAGGGCTGGCGCGGGGGGAAGCCCGAGCTTCCCCCGACCCCAGCCCCCAGAACAGCCTGCTATTTGCAAGCCTAGGGAGCCTCGCCGGTCTCCCCAGGATTGCAGACAGCTGTGTGAAGCCCGGGCGTGCTCTTCAGCGCGCCCGAGGCTTCGGAATGCAGGCAGCTCTGCGCAACCCTCCGGAGGCCGGCGCGGCTTGGCGCCGGGCTCCGGGGGGTCGCACAGAGCTTCCTGAAGCCTGTATTCACCCCATAGGACGCACCCACATTTCCCCTTCATTTTTGGAGGGGAAAAAGTGCGTCCTATAGGGCGAAAAATATGGTACTTAGTTCCTGAGCCAGGTCACAGGTTCACACCCTATTCATATCTTAAATGTGCCCTTGAGACAGGATTTGTGAAGGAAAAGACAATGGGGAGGCTTTTCCATTTTCCTTTGACTTTGCATAGAAAGCATCTGGTCAGTTTGGGAATAAAAAATGGTTTCAGGTCGGTCTTCCTGTGCTGATCTATGTACGTGCTTTGTTGGTACACTTATGAACATTTAACATATATCTAAGACCTCAAAATTCCTATCACAGGATAAATAATCATAGAAAAAGAGGCACGCACACGTCAGCTTCCATAGCACACTTAGATATCGAGCCTCCCTTGTGTGTTAAGGTGTGGTTTATATGGGTTGAAGACAACTCCCTATTCCATTCTTAAGTAAAGAAGTTGGGTTTCCAGGATACAAGTCTGGGGCTTAAGAGTTGTGGCATTGTTTCTCAGCTCTGAGTAACAGTTTTTATTTATTTATTCATTATTAGAACTACAATTTATTACCTGTTGTTTACTCCAAGGTTCTGGGGCAGGTAACAAGGGAAACATTTGGTGTTAGTCTCGTTCATACCTGTGTTTAAAACCAATTTGCTTAGAAGTCTCATTTGTTACATAAATGTGCTCTGGAACGCAGCTGTGGTGACTCACGTCGTCACCTGTGTTGTTGGGGAAAGACCACTCCCATTGAGGTAAAATACCGTATTTTTCGCTCTATAAGACGCACCAGACCACAAGTCGCACCTAGTTTTTGGAGGAGGAAAACAAGAAAAAAAATATTCTGAATCTCAGAAGCCAGAACAGCAAGAGGGATCGCTGCACAGTGAAAGCAGCAGTCCTCTTGCTGTTCTGGCTTCTGGGATAGCTGCGCAGCCTGCATTCGCTCCATAAGACGCACACACATTTCCCCTTACTTTTTAGGAGGGAAAAAGTGAGTCTTATAGAGCAAAAATACAGTAGGTGCTAGCAGTGGGGAAGTACAACTTCCACAAAAGTTTTTATTTGACATAACTTACTTGATTGATTGATTGATTGATTGATTGATTTCTTGTTTTTCACTGCTGCTTTTCCTTCAAATGAATCTCAAAGCAGCTTACCAACAATAAATAACAATATAATAGGTAGAGCATGAGACTCTTAATCTCAGGATCCTGGGTTCGAATCCCATGTTGGGTGAAGGATTCCTGCATTACAGAGGGTTGGACTAGATCAGGGGTCAGCAAATTTTCCCTGTCCCTCAGACCTTGTGGGGTGGGGGGGCGCCAGACTATATTTTGAAGAAGAAAATGAACAAATTCCTATGCCCCACAAATAACCCAGAGACGCATTTTAAATAAAAGGACACATTCTACTCTCGTAAAAACACGCTGATTCCCAGACCGTACGCGGGCCGGATTTAGAAGGCGATTGGGCCAGATCCAGCCCCCGGGCCTTAGTTTGCCTACCCATGGGTTAGATGATCCTTGTGGTCCCATCCAACTCCATTATTCTGTGATTCCATGATCACAAATGCAGGATAAATCATATAAAATAATTAGCAAATGAACACAATTTTCCTGCCTCTATTCACTAAACATTTTCCTTTAAACGTAAGTTGTTCTTGTTCTCTTATTTTATATGTTAGGTCCGCAAGCTGCGCATATTCCATCAATTTAAGTTGCCAATCTTCCTTAGTTGGGACTTCGATCGTTTTCCATTTTGGGGCTAACAAAACATGAGCCCATAGAGTGGCATACATAAATAACCTTTTCCAGCACCTGGGAATTTCCGTCTGAGTTATTCCAAACAAAAGGAACTCTGGTTTGTTTGTTTTTTAAAGTACTTAAAACCATTTCCCCCCATTCATTATGAATTATTTCCCAATATAGTCGTACCTTGGTTTTCGAACAGCTTAGTTCTCGAACGTTCTGGCTCCCGATCGCCGCAAACACGGAAGTCCATGTTCCGGTTTGCGAACCGTTTTTGGAAGCCGAACGTCCAACGGGCCTTCCGCAGCTTCCAATTGGCTGCAGGAGCTTCCTACAGCCAATCAGAAGCCGCGCTTTGGTTTCCAAATGTTTTGGAAGTCGAACGGTACGACTGTACTCTTTTACCCTTTTCCAGGTCCACCACATATGAAAGAATGTACCCTCAGTCTCATTACATCTCCAACGCTTACTCTCTTTCTGTCTTTACAGGGTATGAGTGTGAGCCTTTCAATAACCCAGCTGACTTCTTCCTGGACGTGATCAATGGTGACTCCACGGCTGTAGCTGCAAGCAAATGTGGTCAGAAACTTAAGAAAACCGACGATCAGGAGCACGTAGGTAAGAAGCTGACATCGGGGGAGGTTCTTGATCACCACTGGGGATCTAGTACAGTGGTACAGTGGTGCCCCGCAAGATGAATGCCTCGCAAGACGACAAACTCGCTAGACGAAAGAGTTTTCCGTTTTTTGAGTGGTTCCGCAATACGAATTTCCCTATGGGCTTGCTTCGCAAGACGAAACGTCTTGTGAGTTCTTGCGAGTTTATTTCCTTTTTCTTAAAGCCGCTAAGGCGTTAATAGCCGCTAAGTCGCTAAGCCGCTAATAGCCGCTAAGCCGCTAATAGCCGTGCTTCGCAAGACGAAAAAACCGCAAGACGAAGAGACTCGCGGAACGGATTAATTTCGTCTTGCGAGGCACCACTGTACCTCCAGTTTTGAATGAGATCCGTTCCGGAGGTCCAGCCACATCCCGAGGAATTCGCAACCGGAGGACTGTTTCTGCGCATGCGCGCATAGAGCACTTTTGTGCATGTGCGAGCGGTGAAACCTGGAAAAATACTTCTGGGTTTGCCGCTTTCACAACCCAAACTTTACGTTATCCAAGGCTAACGTAAGCAGAGGGTCCACTGTACTATATTTCTGAAAAGCATTCTATTATATAGTCCTAAAAAACGGGGGAGATGTGAGTGGCGCTGTGGTCTAAACCACAGAGCCTAGGGCTTGCCGATCAGAAGGTCGGTGGTTCGAATCCCCGCGACGGGGTGAGCTCCCGTTGTTCGGTCCCTGCTCCTGCCTACCTAGCTGTTTGAAAGCACGTCAAAGCGCAAGTAGATAAATAGGTACCGTTCTGGTGGGAAGGTAAAGGCGTTTCCGTGTGCTGCTCTGGTTTGCCAGAAGTGGCTTAGTCATGCTGGCCACATGACCCGGAAGCTGTCTGCGGACAAACGCCGGCTCCCTCTGCCTATAGAGTGAGATGAGCCTGCAGCCCCAGAGTCGTCCGTGACTGGACTTGACGGTCAGTGGTCCCTTTACCTTTACCTTTAAAAAACGGGGGGTGGGGTCCCTTTTTTGTTTTCCCCCAGAAACCAGTAATGAAAATGGCATGGAAGAGGAAGGCGTGGAGAAGACACTGGTGGACTCCTTGCACGAGAAATACCTCAGCTCCTCCCAGTACGAGAGCATGATGGAGCAGCTGAAGAAATATGAAAATCTCCACGGGCTCCCTCAGAAGAAGCCGAAGCTGAAGAATCAAGTGACCTATGCCAACGGCTTCCTCACTCAGCTCTACTGGGTGTCTCAGCGCTCCCTCAAAAACCTCATCCGAAACCCCCAAGCTTCTGTGGCGCAAGTAAGGAGCAGAACCGTCTGCTATTGTGGACCCTCAAGTGAGAACGTCTGGTGTCATAGCAGGGTGCTTGTGGCTGGAGGTCCTAGTCTAAAAACGATAAACCTTCACCGGGGTCAGCTGGCTTCACAGTCCCGCTAAGGGTCCTTATCTTCCCGGGACAGTCCCGGATTTGCAGAAGCCCTCCCGGTTCCTGATTTGATCCCGGAATGTCCCGCTTTTCCTTAGGACGTCCCTATTTTCATCAGGGAAATGTTGGAGGGTATGGTAGGACGTTCTTATTTTTATTGGAGGGCATGCAGTTATGCGACCCCCAAGCCAATGAGATACGTAGCTATACAACCTTTAGAAGACATCTGAAGGCAGCCCTGTAGAGAGAAGTTTTTTAATGTTTAATGTTTTATGATAAAAAAAAAAATTTCTTCCAGTAGCACCTTAGAGACCAACTAAGTTTGTTATTGGTATGAGCTTTTGTGTGCATGCACACTTCTTCACATATATAAAAATACTATTATGTTTTTATATACAGTGGTACCTCTGGATGTGCACAGGATCCGTTCCGGAGCCCCGTTCGCATCCTGAGTAGAACGTAACGCGCGACTGCATGTCTGCACGTCTGCACGTACATGGGTCGCATTTCGCCACTTCTGCGCATTCGTGTGATGCCATTTTTGAGCATCTGCGCATGCGCGAGCGGCGAAACCCGGAAGTAACACACTCCATTACTTCCGGGTCACCCGGAACTTGAAAACGCTCAACCTAAAGCACATTTAACCCCGAGGTATGACTGTATGTTGGAAGCTGCTCAGAATGGCTGGGGCAAGCCAGCCAGATAGGCAGGGTAAATAATAATAATAATAATAATAATAATAATAATAATAATAATATAGATGTCTTTATTTTCATTGGAGAAATATTGGAGGGCATGGCTTCAGTGGCACTGAACTGACCTTAAACAAAAATATTCTAACTCGGCTGGTTGGTTTTAACTGTTTTTTGGATGGGATTCAAACATACTCAGTAAGCCCACAACTTACATGCATTTGACCTGTGCGCATTCAGCTGTACACACATGGCAAAAAATTACAAAAATATTTAACGGGAACGGGGTTCCAGGAAAAATGACTTTGGCAATCCCATCCACCATTATGTCTTGACTATGCATGATTTTGGCTTTTGGCGCAATCCCCAGAATGTAACAGCAGTGTAAGCTGTGGGCTCACTGTATTGGCAAATCCAGCTTGCTAAATTATAGCAGGTGGGGAGGTCTTGCACAACTAACCCCCTTCCTTAAAAGACTGGACTGTTTGCAGCAAGGAAAGTGATGGGCAAAGAGCACTTGAAAGGGTAGATAGAGTTGCCATATGGCGGAAGTGATGTGCAGGAGGGAATTTTCTGGATTTTCGCATTTTTTCCAGAAAAAGCTCAACAACCGTGGCGTTTTCCTAAAACAAGCCCAACAACTTTGGGGATTTTCTTTTTTAAAAGGACAACAAATTTGTCTGTGCCAGATTTTCACTTCTTGAAACATGGCAACCCTAGCTTGTGTTGATGCGGCAACATCTCATCTCCCTTCAAGCAAATCGAAATGCATGCTCAATAAGCAGGCAGTGGCGTTGCAACGGGTGGGGGGGGAGGGGGCTGTGCGCCCTGGGTGCCATGTCTGGGGGGGTGACAAGAAGGCAACCCGCAGGGGATCGCCCTGCCGCCGTGGTGCGAGCAGCCACCGCGCCGCCGTTGCCGCATGTGGAGGATCCTCCGTTCGTGGCTGCAGCCACGAGCAGAGGATCCCAGCGCCGGCGGCAAACCACTATGTACAGCGTATATGTGGCGTCACATGCATGCACGGTATGTAACAACGCCACACATGCGCTGTACATTGCGGTTTGCCGCCGGCACCGCTGGAGCACTGTACGGACGGCGTTGGGATCCCTCTGTCGCCACTACAGCCGCATATAGAGGGTGCTCTGTTCGCGGCTGCAGCCGCAAACAGAGGATGTCAGTATCATCCGTACAGCGCGGGAGCGCCGGCAGCAGCAAACCGCTATGTACAGTGCATGTGCAGCGGTGCTATGTACAGCGCATGCGCCGTACATAGTGATGCTGCTAATAATAATAATAATAATAATAATAATAATTTTAATTTAGTATACCCCTCCCTCCCCAGCCAAGACCGGGCTCAGGGCAGCTAACAACCAATAATAAAAACAAGTTGATTAAAATACAATTTAAAAGATTAAGATACACATTAAAACATTAGGATACAGTCTCTTCATAGGAGGAGAAAGGAAAAAGAGAGAGGGGGAGGGAATCAAACTGGCTCCAAGCCAAAGGCCAGGTGGAACAACTATGTCTTGCAGGCCCTGTGGAAAGAAATCAGATCCTGCAGAGCCCTGGTCTCATGAGGCAGAGCGTTCCACCAGGCTGGAGCCAGTGTTGAGAAGGCCCTGGCTCTGGTTGAGGCTAATCTGACTTCCTTAGGGCCTGGGACCACCAGGGTGTTGCTATTTATGGACCTTAAGGTCCTCCATGGGGCATACTGGGAGAGGCGGTCCCGTAGGTACGAGGGTCCTAATCAAATCAAATCAAATCAAAATGCATGCTCAATAAGCAGGGAGTGGCATCACAACGGGGGGGCGGTGCGCCCTAGGTGCCGTGTCTGGGGGGGGGGTGTGACAAGAAGTCAACCCGCGGGGGCTCGCCCTGCCGCGAGCAGCCATCGCGCCGCCATTGCCGCATGTGGAGGATCCTCCGTTCGTGGCTGCAGCTGTGAGCAGAGGATCCTAGCGCCAGCAGCAAACCGCTATGTGCAGCGCATGTGCAGCGTCGCATGCACTGTATGTAACAACACCGCACATGCGCTGTACATTGCGGTTTGCCACCGGCGCTGCTGGAGCACTGTACGGATGGCGTTGGGATCCTGCTGTCGCCACTACAGCCGCATATAGAGGATCCCAGCACTGTCCGTACAGTACAGGAGCGCCTGCAGCAGCAAACCGCTATGTACAGCGCATGTGCGGTGGCACTATGTACAGCGCATGCATCGTACGTAGCGACGCCGCACATTATAATGATAATAAATTTTTATTTATACCCCACCCTCCCCAGCCATGACCGAGCTCAGGGCGGATAAAAACCAATAATAAAAACAAGTTGATTAAAACACAATTTAAAAGATTAAGATACAACATTAAAACATTAGGATACAGTCTCTTCATAGGAGGAGAAAGGAAAAAGAGAGAGGGGGAGGGAATCAAACTGATTCTAAGCCAAAGGCCAGGTGGAACAACTCTGTCTTACAGGCCTTGCGGAAAGAAATCAGATCCCGCAGGGCCCTGGTCTCATGAGACAGAGTGTTCCACCAGGCTGGAGCCAGTGTTGAAAAGGCCCTGGCTCTGGTTGAGGCTAATCTAACTTCCTTAGGGCCCGGGACCACTAGGGTGTTGCTATTTATGGACCTTAAGGTCCTCCGTGGGGCATACCAGGAGAGGCAGTCCCGTAGGTAGGAGGGGCCCTACGTATCGATGCCTCGCCCCCGGTGTTACAACGCCTTCGTTCGCCCCTGTAAACCTGTTATCTGAAAGCACCCTGAACTAATTCCGAGCCTGTGGATATCATTGCCTTCCTTGTTTGTTTTGTTCAGGATGGTCAGATACCCTTTGACCGTTGCATTCTGTTGCTGTGCCAGTGGACGGGTACATAATTAATCTCTTTTTCCTTTCCCACATTCCAGGTCCTTGTGACAGTTGTCCTGGCACTGATCGTGGGGGCCATTTTCTTTGGTGTAAAACTTGATCAAAGCGGCATTCAAAACCGGTAATCCCTGATGCTTTTCTCGAGGTTTATTTTCCATGATATCATTATTAATTTTTAAATAACTTTTGTTAGTTTTACATCTAATCACATTGGCTCATATATAATTGGCTCATATATAATTGGCTCATATAGAATCACTTTGGCTCAACTGAGCCATTTTAGGTAATGGTATAACAAGAATAGGAAAGGGAGTAAAAAGCAAAGATGCAAAAATTAATTTTGTAAACCTTTAGCCGGGAGAGAGGGAAGTTGTTCCCTGCCTCCCGGCTAATGGTTTGCAAAATTACCGTATTTTTCACTCTATAGGACGCACTTTTTCCCCTCCAAAAATTAAGGGGAAATGTGTGTGCGTCCTATAGAGCGAACGCAGGCTGCATGGCTAAGCCCAAAGCCAGAACAGGGAGACGGAGCGCTGTTCTAGCTTGGGGTTAGCTGTGCAAAGCCTCCGCAAGGCAGCGGGGTGAAGGCACCCCGCTGCTCTGCGGAGGCTTCAAAGGCTGTGCTCTGGGGGCTTCAGGCAGCTATCCGCAAGCCTTTGGAGCACGGCAGGAGTTCCCGCTGCCTCCAAAGGCTTGCAGATGGCCGCCTGAAGCCTGGAGAGCGAGAGGGGTCGGTGCACACCGATCCCTCTTGCTCTCCAGGCTTCGCTTCGCTGGAGAGGTGCTGCACAGTTTTCCCTCTCTGCGCAGCACCCCTTCAGTGAAGTGGGAGGAGAAATGGAAGGGGCTCCGTTTCTCCTGCCGCTTCGCTGAAGGGGCGCTGCGCAGAGAGGGGGAGAATTTTTTTTTTCCTGTTCTCCTCCTCCTATGGTCCGGTGCGTCCTATGGTCCGGTGCATCCTATAGAGCGAAAAATATGGTAATTTCCTTTTTATTTTTGGAGTTGAAACAAACGCAGCCATATGACCTATGAGCAGTTCTTGAAAAGATGCTCTAACGTACCCTACTCTAAGGTCAAGAGCTATCTCAGTTTAACAGCAGAAAACCACGGTGACTTGCCTGCATAAGAAATAATATGTGTTCCTACCATAGGGTTCAGTGATCCTACAGAAAGCTTCCGAAGCAGTTAATGAAGGTAGCTGCCTTACTTTTGGTTGCTTCTTTCAGAGTTGGATCTTTGTTTTTCGTAACCACAAACCAGTGCTTCTCCAGTGTGTCGGCAATCGAGCTGTTTATCAGGGATAAGAAGTTGTTTGTGTAAGTATCAAACCTCCTCTAAGGAAATGGGGAGGCAGCAGGGAAGGGCAGATGGATTTGTTAGTGGAAAAGAGGGGCTGGTTGATATGATACAATAATCTTTATTGTCATTGTCCCATGCAGAACAACGAAATTGAAAAAAATCTACTTCAGACATTCAAAAACCAACAAGCCTGCTATCCCAGCTATCCCAGCCTGGTTAGCCCCCTAAAAACTCTGATACCCCATAATTAAATATAATATACTCCAACAGAGACTACCCTAAGGTAAAGGTAAAGGGACCCCGGACCATTAGGTCCAGTCGTGGCCGACTCAGGGGTTGCGCTACTCATCTCGCTTTATTGGCCGGGGGAGTTGGCATTTGTCTGCAGACAGCTTCTGGGTCACGGGGCCAGCATGACTAAGCCGCTTCTAGCAAACCAGAGCAGCACACGGAAACGCCGTTTACCTTCCCACCGGAGCGGTACCTATTTATCTACTTGCACTTTGACGTGCTTTCGAACTGCTAGGTTGGCAGGAGCAGGGACCGAGCAATGGGAGCTCACCCCGTCACGGGGATTCAAACTGCCAACCTTCTGATTGGCAAGCCCTAGGCTCTGTGGTTTAACCCACAGCGCCACCCGCGTCCCAGAGACTACCTTACACTGCATTTAAAACCAAAATCGCATTTGGATAAAAACTGTTTCTCAGACAGCTAGTCCTGGTCTTTATAACCCTGTACCTTCTTCCAGAAGGCAGAAGCTGAAAGAGGTCATTTCCGGGGTGCCTACTATCCTGCACTATTTCTGCAGCTTTCTTATGACACCTGGAAGCCTAGATTTTATAGAATTGTAACGTTGGAAGGGACCCTGAGGATCTTCTAGTCTGACCCCCTGAATCCAGCTGTCCCATATGGGGATTGAACCCGCAGCTTTGGCACTATCAGCGCCGTGCTCTAACCAACTGAGCTACCCCGTTTCCTTGAAATAAGTTCCTTTTTTAATTTCTAGCGTCTGGGATAATGCAAAACCCTAGGCCAGGAGTCGGCAAAGTTTTTGTGGCTTGGGGCTGTTCATGGTCTCGCAGATGCCGCTGTGGGCAGTAGTGTGGGCAGTAGTAGTTGGCTTCCTGCAGCCAATGGGAAGCCTGCCAGCGTTGCGGAAGGTGGTCCCCGCTCTGCTCTGTGTCGATTTAGCACGACATACGGGAGCCGGCCAAGTGGGAGGCAGGGGTCCATGGGCCGGTTAAACAACCCCCATGGGCCACTTGTGACCCATGGGCCTTGGGTTGCTGACCCCTGCCCTAGGCCTAGTTCGCACTGAGGTGGTAAATCCGTGGGCTGAATCCCTTCAGAGTGTAGTCCTTCCCAGTGCTTTTTTTCTTTAAAAAATGTTTAGGGGTACAGTGGACGCTCAGGTTGTGAACGGGATCTGTGCGGGATGCACATTCGCAACCCGCAGTGGCACATCTACACACACACGGGTTGCGATTCGGCACTTCTGCGAATGCGCAAAGCGCGATTTAGCAGTTCTGTGCATTCGTGACCCCCGAAACCCGGAAGTAACCCATTCCGGTACTTCCAGGTTTCGGCGGTCCATAACCCAAAAAAATGCAACCTGAAGCAGCTGTAACCCAAGGTATGACTGTACAGTGGTACCTCGGGTTACATACACTTCAGGTTACATACGCTTCAGGTTACAGACTCCACTAACCCAGAAATAGTGCTTCAGGTTAAGAACTTTGCTTCAGGATGAGAACAGAAATTGTGCTCCGGCGGCGCAGCAGCAGCAGGAGGCCCCATTAGCTAAAGTGGTGCTTCAGGTTAAGAACAGTTTCAGGTTAAGTACAGACCTCTGGAACGGATTAAGTACTTAACCCGAGGTACCACTGTACTACACTCTGTATTCATTCAATACAGCATGTCGTTTGCCCTGTATTTCCGCTCTGCTGTGTGCCTCGGACGTGACTTCTGGTGTTTCACGAGGCACCAGAAGTTGCGTTGGGGGCCATGCGGTGTGGGTGCTGGGCACCCACCCAAAAAATTTGGTGGGTGCTCAAGCACCCAGAGCCCCCTAGAGATGGCACCGTTGGAGGGCAGGGGAGAAGATGAGGGTGAAGGAGACTGAGCGGAGATATGATAGACATCTTCAAGTATCTGAAGGGCTGTCACATGGAGGAGGGAACAAGCTGGTTTTCTTCTGCCCTGGAGTGTGGGACCAGAACCCATGGCTTCAAGTTACAAGAAAGGAGATCCCAACTAAACATCAGGAAGAACTTCCTGACAATAAGAGTTGTTCAATAGTGGAATGGTCTCCCTTGAGAGGTTGTGAACTCTCCTTCCTTGGAGGTTTAGAAGCAGAGGTTGGGTAGCCATCTATCATAGATGCATGCATGACCCCTGAAACCCGGAAGTAACCCATTCCGGTATTTCCAGGTTTCGGCAGTCCATAACCTGAAAAAACGCAACCTGAAGTGTCTGTAACACGAGGTATGACTGTACTCTCATTCTGTCTGAGACTCAGGAAACACCAGGACAGGAAATAAGGCTGCGGTTGGGGGTAGCAACGGAAGTGACAATTCACCGTGCTATTCAACAGAACGGATGATTCACCCTTTCCCTGACATCTAATGCTTTATGTTGAGATGCCTGCATTTGCAGGGGCTTAAATGAGATGACTCTCAGGGTCCTTTCCAACTCTCTTTTACTCTCGCAAGATGGAATGTACAGTGGTACCTCAGGTTACATACGCTTCAGGTTACATACGCTTCAGGTTACAGACTCCGCTAACCCAGAAATAGTACCTCGGGTTAAGAACTTTGCTTCAGGATGAGAACAGAAATCGTACTCCGGCGGCACAGCGGCAGCAGGAGGCCCCATTAGTTAATGTGGTCTTCAGGTTAAGAACAGTTTCAGGTTAAGAACAGACCTCCGGAACAAATTAAGTACTTAACCCGAGGTACCACTGTATTGCCCTCGGCTGTACTTGAGGGACGATTCCAACAGATTCCACACAAAAACGCTTATGTCCCTGTGGAGATGGCAGTCCCGAATCAGTGGCGCATGCCCTTCTGGCTTGCCCTCTTTATAAAGGCTTGAGGAATGAGATTATCACCCTTCTTTTATTGTCCATTCCGGGTCGCCCAACCACTGCCACAATGTCCTTTCTCTTGGCAGATCAAGATGAGCGGGTGACAGCAAAGGTTGCAAGGTTTTAAGCTGGGGCAATCAGAATAAGACCCACTATTTGACTGTTGATTCAGGACCCTAAAGTGTATAATTGACTTTATAATTTCTATTCTTTATATATTGTATTGTTGTTTTATTGCTATGGCCGATGGCTGAAGCAAATAAAGGTTCATTCGTTCCTTCATTCATTTCCTCCCAACTCTATACTCTATGATTCTATGAGTTAGTAGGAAGTTTCAAAGCACAGGGGGTGGCTAACCTCATTTGGGCTGAGGGCTGCACTCACCCATGGCCAATCCTCCAGGAATTGCATATAAAAATGGGTGTGGTTGAAGTTTATAAGCAGGCATGACCATTTTTTTATATAAAAAGGGGGGGTGTAAAAAAAACAAAAACCTTTTGGGAGTACAGTACAGTGATACCTGGGGTTAAGAACTTAATTCGTTCCGGAGGTCCGTTCTTAACCTGAAACTTTTCTTAACCTGAGATACCACTAATGGGGCCTCCCGCTGCCACCACACCGCCACCATGCGATTTCTGTTATCATCCTGAAGCAAAGTTCTTAACCCGAGGTGCTATTTCTGGGTTAGCGGAGTCTGTAACCTGAAGCGTATGTAACCTGAAGCGTCTGTAATACGAGGTACCACTGTACAGTGGTACCTTGGTTGTCAAACTTAATCCATTCCAGGAGTTGTTCGACTCCCAGAACAGTTTGAAAACCCAGGCGTGGCTTCCGATTGGCTGCAGGAGCTTCCTGCACTCAATCAGAAGCCTCGTCAGACGTCCGGCTTCGCTTCCAAAAAACGTTCACAAACCGGAACACTCACTTTCAGGTTTGTGGCGTTCAGGAACCGATTTGTTCAGGAGCCAACAACCAAAGTACCACTGTATTGCAGCTGGAAACATATGGGAGCAGTGAACAGTTCTCAGTATGTTAACTACATACTGTCAGTTCACATCCCATGTGGACCACTGCAGTGTGAGAACAGCGCAAGTAGAATACCCTTCACTGATAAAGCATGGAAATCCATCAAAGAGCTGCGCCGAGTCTGGTAAAGCCTGATGTGATAATTGGTCCTTGACTTCTTGGAAGCAAATCCCATTAGCTCATGAAAATGGAATTTCTGTAGCTCTGGGCAGTATTTCAACACTAGCGTGAGTTTGAGAAAACTATGTAGAGGATCAGAACACACACGTACCAAAGCTGAGCAGGTCTAGTGGTGATGTTTCCATGAGGGAGATTGCTTGGGAATGCTGAGAATGTCTCCTTGAGCTCCATGTCAGGAATGAAAACTTAGAAGTGATTGAGTCCTGACCGTGTATTTATAAACATGTACGTTTTATAATTAATATCACTAGAGGGATTGCAACTCCAGCTGAAGAGAAGAGAATCATTTATTTGTTAGAAGTGAGCAGGAGATATATTTCATTAAGCAAGACAGAGCATCAGTGGCAGATGTGAAACTCTGAGTCTGATAAAATTTTGACAGTGGAACAGACTCCCTTCATTGGAGGTTTTTAAGGAGATGTTGGACATCCATCTTTAATTGAGGCTTTAGTTGAGATTCCTGCATTGCAGGGAGTTGGACTCAATGATCCAACTCTGTTGGAACTCCGTTCCAAGTTCTGTGATTCTATGAAATGGTTCCTTTCTGTTCTCCTAATTTTGCTGTTGTTTAGTCGTTTAGTCGTGTCCGACTCTTCGTGACCCCATGGACCAGAGCAAGCCAGGCACTCCTGTCTTCCACTGCCTCCTGCAGTTTGGTCAAACTCATGTTCGTAGCTTTGACTGTCCACTGACCAACCATCTCGTCCTCTGTCTTCCCCTTCCCTTGTGCCCTCAATTTTTCCCAACATCAGGGTCTTTTCCAGGGAGTCTTCTCTTCTAATGAGGTGGCCAAAGTATTTTCCTTATTAGGTAAAGGTAAAGGGACCCCTGACCATTAGGTCCAGTCGTGGCCGACTCTAGGGTTGCGGCGCTCATCTCGCTTTATTGGCTGAGGGAGCCGGCGTACAGCTTCCGGGTCATGTGGCCAGCATGACTAAGCCGCTTCTGGCGAACCAGAGCAGTGCACGGAAACACCGTTTACCTTCCCACCGGAAGGTATTTATCTACTTGCACTTTGATGTGCTTTCGAACTGCTAGGTTGGCAGGAGCAGGGCCCGAGCAACGGGAGCTCACCCCGTCGCGGAGATTTGAACCGCCAACCTTCTGATCGGCAAGCCCTAGGCTCTGTGGTTTAACCCACAGCGCCACCTGCATCCCCTATTTTCCTAATAAGCAAGTCCTTAAATTTCTTTTATCATGTGTGTACCTTTCCAGTAAGCCATGTTCTTTCCTGTCCTCACAGCCACCAGTATACCAGCGGATATTACAGAGTCTCTGCATATTTCCTTGCCTTGATGATCGGAGACCTGCTACCCATGAGGACCATGCCTGCAATCATATTTTCATGTATAAGCTACTGGATGATTGGTAAATAATAATCTGTATTTTTGTACGCTGTCATACCAAGGAACAGGTCAACCTCATGCTTCCTTGCTGGGACTCTTCATATGCACAGAGGCCTCAGCAGAGGAAAATATCTCTGTGCAAGCCATACCTCTAGCCTGCGCTATTAACCATTTCCATTATTTTATAAAAAGTTTGTTATCTTGATTTCTTATTTTTCCAGTAACTTTCCCCATTTCCCCATATTCCATCGGTTTTCGTATTCATTCTTTTTTTGCTGGGACTTCATCTTCTTCTTTCCATTTTTGAGCAAGTAACATTCTTGCCGCTGTAGTAAAAAAGGTAAAGGGACCCCTGACCATTAGGTCCAGTTGTGGCCGACTCTGGGGTTGCAGCGCTCATCTCGCTTTATTGGCCGAGGGAGCCGGCGTACAGCTTCCAGGTCATGTGGCCAGCATGACTAAGCCACTTCTGGCGAACCAGAGCAGCGCACGGAAACGCCGTTTACCTTCCCGCCGGAGTGGTACCTATTTATCTACTTGCACTTTGACATGCTTTCGAACTGCTAGGTTGGCAGGAGCAGGGACCGAGCAACGGGAGCTCACCCCGTTGCGGGGATTCGAACCGCCGGCCTTCTGATCGGCAAGTCCTAGGCTCTGTGGTTTAACCCACAGTGCCACCCACGTCCCACTGGCCGCTGTAGTAGCATACATTAATAAGTTTCTGTACAGTTTGGGTAGTTCTGTCCCTATAATTCCTAAAATGAAAGCTTCTGGGTTTGTTTGTTTTTAGAAATATCCTTTCCAGTCTTCTACTTCGTGATTTGATTGTTCATTGCACCTATCCTCTTCCTGTTTTCAGGCTACCAGGCTGATGCGGGCCGATTCTTCTTCTTCATGCTGACTCTTGTGCTGTTGTGCTACACATCCACCTCAATGGCCCTCGCAATCTCCGCAGGGATGGACGTAGTAGCCATTGCCAACTTACTTATCACCATCTGCTTTGTCTTCATGCTGGTGAGTCTTGCGTGTGTCACGTAGGCTTGGGATCAGCTCTACATCAGCCTCTGCGATGAGGCTACATTTTAATATCTTAATGTTTCAATATTTTAATGTTGTATTTTAATTTTGTTTTTAAGTTGTATTCATTCAACTTATTTTTATTATTGCTTGTTAGCCGCCCTGAGCCGGCCTTGGCTGGAGAGGGCGGGGTATAAATAAAAATTATTATTATTATTATTATTATTACTACTACTACTACAACCATGACTGCCTTTTTCTGCTGTTCCATATTTTGGAAGGTTCAATCCCAGATCCTGACCTCCCGCAATCCCACCGCTGCTCGTGCGATAAAAGGAGTTGTTGCTGAATGGGCGGAGGTGTTACGATGGGTAGTTGCCTCGGGGCCTAATTCTTTAAATTGTGAATTTATTCGCACTGTTTCTCTCTCTCCAAATTCCAGATATTTTCTGGCTTGCTGGTGAACCTTCCCACCGTCATGGGTTGGCTGAACTGGTTGAAATATTTCAGCATTCCCAGATACGGCCTCACGGTGAGTATGCTATAGTTAACATAGATTGGGGAGGACCCCTCTAAACCCTAGAAATTAATAAATGGTAAGATTTTGATTGGTTGGGATATTGATGGAAGTACAAGCTGCAGGACTGCACCAGACAAGGAATCCTTGGGATGGCTTATACAAAGCAGCCTGGCTTGTCTTCTGTTTACATGACAAAAGGGGTTGATGGGGAGACAGATGTTGGCAAGGTCATGGGGTATGTGTTTGAAGTGACAGGAAGAGAGAGTTTTTAGCAGGGGGTTCTGGGAAGAAGAAGAAGGAAGAAGAAAGACTGGGATCCATCTTGGGCAGGCTGGCTGAAGGCTGGCTGGGTGTGCTGGTCCCGTGGGCTAACCGAGAGGCGAGATCCGAGTCCAGTCCAAGGTCAAAGGTGCAGTATGGAGGCAGTCCGTAAAAGTTGAAGCTGGATGCAGGGCAGGTAGTCAGGTGAGGTCAGGAGCTCCGGCAGGATAGCAGGACAGGGTTCAGGCAGGAACTGACAACCAATGAAGTTGCTCCCACAACTTGAGACTGAGGCTGGCTGGCTTTTATCTGCCCCGAGGCACAGGGCAGCCCCAATCCTCAGGTGACTCGCCTCTCTTGGCCTGGAGGCGAGCACTCCTCCTGTGGGAACTTAGTTCCCTCCGCCTCTCTGCCCTGAGCCTCTGCAGTTCAGGAGAGGCTGGAGGGTTACCGGACCCAGAGGCAACCTCAGCTTCCCCTGACTGGGCTGAGAGTGGAGCACCTGCAGGCAATGGGTCCTCCATCATCTCAGGAGCCAGTTAAGACTCAGCTGGTGCCTGCACCTGAGGATCCAGCACAGGTGAGGACCCTTCAGGCTCAAGCCCCAGCCCCGGCTCAGCTGGTTCTGGAGGCGGGGACTCCTGTGCAGGCTGGGATTCCTCAGGTTTAGCCTCCGAGTCCGAATCCCAGGCCATCACACTGGGAGAGATGCCTTAGACTCTAGGGATGCATGGCTACATTGGGCAGCTTCTGTGCATCAGATGAGCCTCAAGTTAAATATCAGATGCACTTAAATATAAACAGTTGTTGAGAAAGCCACTCCTTCTTAAGCAGGATTTTCAGAAGAGAATCGTGATTGTTACGGCCCTTGATTAAAAGTGTGGTTTTTTCACAAAATAAGGTCACGGCTGTTTTTAAACCTATTTCCAAAGGAGCAACCTGAACAATAAATAAAATATTGATACTTGTAAGCTGGTGAAGTCATGAAACTCTGTGTAGGCATATTTGCTGTTGACAAAGTTGCACAGATTATGAAGTTAATAGACTATGCAGAACTAGATAAACTAACAGGAAGGATTTGAAACCGGAGGGACCAGAAATTCACGGAAGACTGGAGTAAATTTACGGACTATTTGAAAAGTATTTGTGAAGATCAGACGACGTTTGTAGGTTTGCAAGAAGTTTTGTGAGGAGTATGATTGGAAGTAAAGGCAATATAAAGTTAAGAAATGCATAAGAAGTGGTTAAAATGGTGGATCATCAGAGGTTCTGATGGAAGTCTAAAAAGATTGTATAAGTGATAAGTTTCGTGGTACATTTATATGTTAAAATCAATAAAAATTATTTTTTTTAAAAAAGACAAAGTTGCACAGATTGACCATGGCTGTATTAAAATCAGCAAATATTCAGTTGTTACAACAAGCTGGTTTGGAGATTCTCTTTTTGGTACTATTGCGGCTCTATTTTGCTCTCTGGCTTCCTACACAGGCCCTTGAAGTCAACGAGTTTAGAGACCTGCGTTTCTGTGCAAACGCCACAGAATCCTTTCCATTGCAAAGCTGTCCCCCAAGTTCTCCTCAGACCAGAGAAATGTGAGTATCTCAGCTGGAGGTGGGTGGAGCACATACATTCTCTTCCAGAAGAATTACTATCCTCGTCAGTTTGGGGTTGCTCCCTAAGAAAAACTCTTCCTAAATCATGTCATATGCATGTCATGGTTCTTCACAATTCTACTGAAAACTGGTCATTTATTTCCAGTAACAGAAGAACAGTCCCTCTCATCAAGGTCCCATATAAAGAACCCAGAAACCAAACTCACAAAGAATTTCCCTCCTAAAGCCACTGTGTGCTTGTACAAAATATTTCAGTTCCCCTAAGCCACATCCTTGTGTGTCGATTACTACATTTTGGCTACAGAAGGCTCCTCAACATTCAACATGCGGGTGGCGCTGCGGTCTAAACCACAGAGCCTAGGGCTTGCCGATCGGAAGGTCAGCGGTTTGAATCCCCGCGACGGGGTGAGCTCCCGTTGTTCAGTCCCTGCTCCTGCCAACCTAGCAGTTCGAAATCACGTCAAAGTGCAAGTAGATAAATAGGTACCGCTCTGGCGGGAAGGTAAACGGTGTTTCCGTGCGCTGCTCTGGTTTGCCAGAAGCGGCTTAGTCATGCTGGCCACATGACACGGAAGCTGTCTGTGGACAAACGCCGGCTCCCTCGGCCTATAGAGCAATATCAGCACTGCAACCCCACAGTCGTACTCGACTGGACCTAATGGTCAGGGGTCCCTTTAAGCTACATCCTTGTGTGCCGATTACAGTGGTACCTTGGGTTAAGTACTTAATTCGTTCCGAAGGTCCGTACTTAACCTGAAACTGTTCTTAACCTGAAGCACCACTTTAGCTAGTGGGGCCTCCTGCTGCCGCTGCGCCACCGGAGCCCAATTTCTGTTCTCATCCTGAAGCAAAGTTCTTAACCTGAAGCACTATTTCTGGGTTAGCAGAGTCTGTAACCTGAAGCGTATGTAACCTGAAGCGTATGTAACCCGAGGTACCACTGTACTACATTTTGGCTACAGAAGGCTCCTCAACATTCCTGATCCACAATGTACCGGATCCAATTTGTGCCTAAGATATTCATAACAGACTTATTTCAGTTGGACCAACAAAGCATGACACATTCGTATTTCACTAGAAGAAGCTGGTATGTCTGTCTCAGCCTATGTGTGTGCATACAGCAACGTGGCTCAGTGTGCCAGGGAAATGGCTCAGTTGGTTAAAGCATGGCGCTGATAACACCAGGGTTGCAGGTTCGATCCCCCTATGGGACAGCTGCATTGCAGGGAGTCAGAATAGATGTTCCTCAGGGTCCCTTCCAACTCTATTAAATAGTTAAATAGTGGGAATGATGGACGAAGGGCACAGCTCTGTAGATTCATAGCTCTTTATTACAGCAGTTAGAACTGTTCCTGGAGTCAGACTGACTGGAGCCAAGCTGGCTGCTTTATATAATAAAGGTAAAGCTGCCCCTGACCATCAGGTCCAGTTGTGACCGACTCTGGGGTTGCAGCGCTCATCTCACTTTATTGGCCGAGGAAGCCGGCGTACAGCTTCCGGGTCATGTGGCCAGCATGACTAAGCCACTTCTGGCAAAACCAGAGCAGCGCACGGAAATGCCGCTTACCTTCCCGCCGGAGTGGTACCTATTTATCTACTTGCACTTTGACCTGCTTTCGAACTGCTAGGTTGGCAGGAGCAGGGAACGAGCAACGGGCGCTCACCCCGTTGGGGAATTCGAACTGCCGACCTTCTGATCGGCAAGTCCTAGGCTCTGTGGTTTAACCCACAGCGCCACCTGCGTCCCCTGCTTTATGTAATACTAAGTAACTTGTAACAGTAACAACTCCCAACTAGCTAACCAATCAGCGAGCTACAGTTATCAATCCTTCATTTGCATACTGGTGGCACTGAGTGCAAACTGCAGCTAATCTTAATACATAATACTATGATTCTATGAATTCAATGGAAAAGGGTCTAATTCTTCTCCCGGTGCTCATTTCCCACAAATTATTTGCAGTGGGCATTGTCAGAGGTGCATAAAGGGGTAGAAAATACCCAGAAAAAAATGAAATGAAGAATGCAGCAAGAGTTGGCCTTTGGGGGAAATTGTGTGTATTCACAATGGCAACCTTGGTAGCCTTGGATCAGCAAGCATTTGTTTTCCGTGCTTGGGAATAGTGAATGGGTTGTCTTTCTAGCGCTGAAGCAATGCTTCAGTTAATGAATAACATTCTGAATGTGTGTACTATCCTTTTTGACAGGTGCTATGGCGAACAATACCTCTGCGGACAGGGAATAGAGGCTACCAACTGGGCAATGTGGGAGAACATTGTGGCTCTTAGCTGTATGACAATCATCTTCCTCCTGATAGCATATGCCAAACTGCGATTCATGAAGAAGTTCACCTAATGCAGAAAAGATGACCTACAAGACGGACATTTAAGTCTTCCTAGGTCCAACCGGAAAAAGTCATTGTTTCAATTAACTGGGCGGACCATACTGCACCAACCACATTTTTTTTACATTGCTGATATTTAATCTTTTTTGTAAAGGAAGCAATTTGTTTTAACTGATTCGTTTTTTATATAGAATTCTGTCATTCACTTTGACGTTGAGATTAGCTTGTATATTTCTCAGGAAATTTGTTTCGATCTGTAATTAGTTTTCTTTGGGGAAGGGGGAGCACTTTGTAAACTGAGTCTGGGGACTCAGCTGCAATGAAAAAGTTTTAAGTGTGTGGTAAAGTGCATTATGCAAAGGTGACACTAGATGGCGATCGTGAGCTATGGCAAAATCTGTATATTTTTCAAAATGTGTTTTTTTAAAAAGCCTTTTCGCAGCGTATTTTTTATATGTGTCTAGATTCCACCTGGGTAAAAAGGGCAGCAGCAGTTAAATCTAAAGAAAACAGAGGGCAAGGGGAAATCAATAAAGGAGGTGAACCTAAAACGGTGCTTAAGAAAAAGTATGTTTTTATTTGAGAAAGCACTCCCGGTTGAAAGTCCTAGTGTGTTTCAAGTGTAAGCTGCCTTAGAATCATAGAATCATAGAGTTGGAAGAGACCACAAGGGCCATCGAGTCCAACTCCCTGCCAAGCAGGAAACACCATGAGAGCACTCCTGACATATGGTTGTCAAGCCTCTGCTTAAAGACCTCCAAAGAAGGAGACTCCACCACACTCCTTGGCAGCAAATTCCACTGTCAAACAGCTCTTACTGTCAGGAAGTTCTTCCTAATGTTTAGGTGGAATCTTCTTTCTTGTAGTTTGGATCCATTGCTCCGTGTCCACTTCTCTGGAGCAGCAGAAAACAACCTTTCTCCCTCCTCTATGTGACATCCTTTTATATATTTGAACATGGCTATCATATCACCCCTTAACCTCCTCTTCTCCAGGCTAAACATGCCCGGATCCCTTAGCCGTTCCTCATAAGGCATCGTTTCCAGGCCTTTGACCATTTTGGTTGCCCTCCTCTGGACACGTTCCAGTTTGTCAGTGTCCTTCTTGAACTGTGGTGCCCAGAACTGGACATAGTACTCCAGGTGAGGTCTGACCAGAGCAGAATACAGTGGCACTATTACTTCCCTTGATCTAGATGCTATACTCCTATTGATGCAGCCCAGAATTGCATTGGCTTTTTTAGCTGCCCGTCACACTGTTGGCTCATGTCAAGTTTGTGGTCGACCAAGACTCCTAGATCCTTTTCACATGTACTGCTCTCAAGCCAGGTGTCACCCATCTTGTATTTGTGCCTCTCATTTTTTTGCCCAAGTGCAATACTTTACATTTCTCCCTGTTAAAATTCATCTTGTTTGTTTTGGCCCAGTTCTCTAATCTGTCAAGGTCGTTTTGAAGTGTGATCCTGTCCTCTGGGGTGTTAGCCACCCTCCCAGTTTGGTGTCATCTGCAAATTTGATCAGGATGCCCTTGAGTCCATCATCCAAGTCGTTGATAAAGATGTCGAATAAGACCGGGCCCAAGACAGAACCCTGTGGCACCCCACTAGTCACTCTTCTCCAGGATGAAGAGGAACCATTGATGAGCACCCTTTGGGTTCGGTCAGTCAGCCAGTTACAAATCCACTGAGTGGTAGCATAGTCAAGACCGCATTTTACCAGCTTCTTTACAAGAATATCATGGGGCACCTTGTCAAATGCCTTGCTGAAATCAAGGTAGGCTACATCCACTGTGTTCCCTTCATCTACCAGGCTTGTAATTCTGTCAAAAACGAGATCAGGTTAGTCTGACATGACTTATTTTTCAGAAATCCATGCTGACTATTGGTGATCACAGCATTCCTTTCTACGTGCTCACAGACTGTTTGCTTAATGATCTGCTCCAGAATCTTCCCTGGTATTGATGTCAGACTGACTGGGCGGTAATTATTTGGGTCCTCTCTTTTCCCTTTTTGAAAATAGGGACAACATTTGCCCTCCTCCAGTCTGCCGGGACTTCGCCTGTTCTCCAGGAATTCTCAAAGATGACTGCCAGTGGTTCTGAGATCACATCTGCCAGTTTTTTTAATACTCTTGGATGCAGTTCATCTGGCCCTGGAGACCAGATTAATGATCTGCTCCAGAATCTTCCCTGGTATTGATGTCAGACTGACTGGGCGGTAATTATTTGGGTCCTCTCTTTTCCCCTTTTTGAAAATAGGGACAACATTTGCCTTCCTCAGGAGCGCTGTGGGAAGTGACCTCCCAAAAGGTGAAAGGCAAGATTCAAGCACCCTGTTCTGCTCGTGAGAAGACCCCTGCTTGTGCAATGGGGCTTCCTCGCTCCCCTCATGCACCCCATCAATCTGCTTTGGAGGGTCAGGAGGAACCCGCCCCCCCAAACAGAACACAGACGGAGCAGAAGGAAGACTGTTCCATCAGGCCAGCAGAAATACCCGTATTTTTCTCTCTATAAGACGCACCAGACCACAAGATGCACCTAGTTTCTGGAGGAGGAAAACAAGAAAAAAAATGTTCTGAATCTCAGAAGCCAGAACAGCAAGAAGGATCGCTGTGCAGTGAAAGCAGCAATCCCTCTTGCTGTTCTGGCTTCTGGGATAGCTGCGCAGCCTGCATTCGCTCCATAAGACGCACACACATTTCCCCTTACTTTTTAGGAGGGAAAAAGTCAGTCTTATAGAGCAAAAAATACGGTACTTATGCTGACAGAATGATCTCCTTAGCGCTGTGCTGAATTCCACCTAAATAAACTTATCGTTCAAAAATTATTGCACGTCCAACCGGCAGGTGGATAGCTGGAAGTCTGTTCTTATCTGTTCTTGAGCTATCCCTTTTTCTTTTTATTCTATGATTATTTCCTTTAACATTCTCTCTCTCTCTCTCTTTAATATTCTCTTACTGTATTATGGTAATATTGGAGGCAGATGAAGATATTGAAGAGTAGGTGAAAGACGCTGTGCGCTAGGCTGGGAAGGGAGGAGGTCGGCTGGGAAAAGAAAGAGATGGGAGGGTGCATCCTTCTCCGTACGGGATAAAAGTTAGGATATATCGGTGAAAGAGGAGTCTTCTACAGTGGTACCTTGGTTCTCAAATGCCTTGGTACTTGAACAACTTGGAACCAGAACGCTGCAAAACCGGAAGTAAATGTTCAGGTTTGCGAACTTTTATTGGAAGCTGAACATGCTCTGTTTTGAGTGTTACACTTCCGTTTTGAGTGTGACGCTGAGGTCTGTCTGTTTTTGCTATTTATTTTGCATTTTTTTGGCTTTTCCGTTTTGTTTTGGTGACTGTGTAGAACCCAGTTCAGCTACTGATTGATTGATTGATTGACTGCAGTACATTGTTTATTGCTTTCATTTTATGGATCAATGGTCTCGTTAGATAGTAAAATTAATGTTAAATGGCTGTTTTAGGGGTTGTTTTTAAAAGTCTAGAACAGATTAATCCGTTTTGCATTACTTTCTATGGGAAAGCGTGTTTTGGTTTTGGAACGCTTTGGTTTTGGAATGGACTTCTGGAACAGATTAAGTTTGAGAACCAACGTACCACTGTAGTTCTTTTCTCTTTCTTTCTTTCTTACCAGTCAGTGAGAGCAACACCAACCTAAATGGGCCAGTGATCTGACTCTCTGTAGGCCAGCTTCCCGTGTGCCTATTGACAAAGGCATTGGTGTCAGTGTGAGATAAGCCCAGGAGATCATTAACCTGTGTGTTTACTGAGGGCTTATCCACACTTAACCTTTCCTACACTCCTCCCAGGCACCATCTCATGCCCTTCAACATTTCTCCAGTGAAAACAGAGACGTTCTACTCCATCCCCTTCAACATTTCTCCCATGGAAATAGGGACATCCTAAGGGAAAACGGAACGGCATTCCCGTGCGCTGCTCTGGTTCGCCAGAAGCGGCTTAGTCATGCTGGCCACATGACCCAGAAGCTGTATGCCGGCTCCCTCGGCCAACAAAGCGAGATGAGCGCCGCAACCCCAGAGTCGTCAGCGACTGGACCTAATGGTCAGGGGTCCTTTTACCTTTTAAGGGAAAACGGGGCATTCTGGGATCAAATCAGAAACCAGGACGGCTTCTGTAAATCCGGAATCGTCCCTGGAAAATAGGGGCGCTTGGAGGGTCTCAAAGCTTCATATCTGAGCACCCTTCCCCTCCCCCCGCTCCTAAGCTTTCCCATAAAGCTATGGTTTTCCCAGTAGTGATGTATGGAAGTGAGAGCTGGTCCATAAAGAAGGCTGATCGCCAAAGAATTGATGCTTTTGAATTATTGTGCTGGAGGAGACTCTTGAGAGTCCCGTGGACTGCAAGAAGATCAAACCTATCCATTCTGAAGGAAATCAGCCCTGAGTGCTCACTGGAAGAACAGATCCTGAAGCTGAGGCGCCAATACTCTGGCCAGCTCATGAGAAGAGAAGACTCCCTGGAGAAGACCCTGATGTTGGGAAAGATTGAGGGCACAAGGAGAAGGGGACGACAGAGGACGAGATGGTTGGACAGTGTTCTCAAAGCTACGAACATGAGTTTGACCTAACTGCAGGAGGCAGTGGAAGACAGGAGTGCCTGGCATGCTCTGGTCCATGGGGTCACGAAGAGTTGGACACGACTAAAAGACTAAACAACAACAACAACAAGCTTTCCCCTCAAAAATTCACTCTTTAAAACTCATTTGGAGCAAATGTCAACACACGTAAAACCCGAATTGACATTTGCTCCAATTCAGCTTTAAAGAGCAGCTTTCGTAGGGGGAAGCTTGGGACAAAACAACAACAATGCTTGGACAGGGAGTGTTAAGGTGCAGATTTCTGTCTGGAAAGAGTGGGGCAAAAGTTAAGTGTGGATAATCCCTTTATGTGTGTGGTTAATTGTAATAGGAATTTTATGCTCTTAAATATATGGTAATGTTCATAAGTGTACCAACCAAGCACATACATAGATCAGCACAGGAAGGCCAACCTGGAACCATTTTTTATTCCTAAACTGAGCAAATGTTTTCTCTGCAAGGTCAAACTGGAAAAGCCTCCCTATTGTCTTTTCCTTCACAAATCCTGTCTTAAGGGTATGTCTCATGTTTGAATAGGGTGTGAGCCTGTGACCTGGTCCAGGAACTAAGTATTTATCATTACAAAAGACTGGCCAGGCTCCCCAGCAAATCCAATCAAGTAACCTGCCAGACAGGAGATAAACAAAAACAGGAGAAAAACAATATTAAAAATTCTATTTTGGATCGCCTTTTCTGTGATGTAGGAGTGATGTATCTGAGGGGTGGTCTTAGGTTACACCCCTTCTGTGATGTATGTATGATGTTTCTGGAGGTGGTCTTGATCTACAGGATGGGAATTTCAAAAGTCTTTATAAGGCCTTGCACACCATTTTTCTGGGTCCTTCCTCTCTCCTGCAAGTGAGGGGAGCACCCTGTTGCAACAGATCAATAAAGGCCAAGCCTACAGGCTGCTGTTTTGCTCCAAGTTATCCTGGTTGGTGTCTTTGTTTTTGTCCAAGGGAGCCCTCAGATTTTTCCATTAACATTAATATACAAGTTTACTTAACCCAAAGGTTAGGTTTTATTACTTAAAACACACAGGTGAGAGACAGTTGTCATCGAAAAAATAAAAAAACAACTGAGATATACTCAGAGTCCTGTAGTGATTTCATGCTCTTTATTGCAGCTTGTAAAACAGTGATTGAATTGCCCCCCAAACCTCAGGCTTTTATATACATTATTTACACAATGAGTCCCGTCTGATTGGCTGATTCTGCTTCCCTCCTGGAGCCTGATTGGTCTTCTCCTGCAAGCCAATCAGTTGTTGCGTTCTACTATCCTACCAGCCTAATAGGCTGATTAACTTCCTCCTGGAGCCTGATTGGTCTTTTCCTGCCAGCCAATCAGTTGTTGCATTCTAGGATCCTACTTGCCCATTGTTATAGGATCTTAGCTTAGTACAGTGGTACCTCCGGTTACATACGTTTCAGGTTACAGACTCCGCCTACAGAGAAATAGTACCTCGGGTTAAGAACTTTGCTTCAGGATGAGAACAGAAATCGTGCTCTGGCGGTGCAGTAGCAGCAGCAGGAGGCCCCATTAGCTAAGTGGTGCTTCAGGTTAAGAACAGTTTCAGGTTAAGAACGGACTTCTGGAACGAATTAAGTACGTAAGAGGTACCACTGTACATAACAGCAACAGATTAGCAAACTGTGTGTGCACCCTAGATGATATTATAGGTAAGTAGTTGCTTAGTTCAGAGAATCATAGAGTTGGAAGGGATCCTGACGTCCAGGGACGTCCAACTCCCAAGAGACTGCGATCTACTCCTGGGGGGGGAAATTGGCAGTGATCAGGGGTGGGGGGCAGGGTGGGGCAGACCAAAGTTGTTGAGCTTTCTTTAGGGAAGCAGGTCTTTATAGGTTCAGCTAAAACTCCTGAAGTAGAAATCAAATCAAAGGCCCTCTCCTTGGTTGGAAGTGCAGTGTGAAAATCATTTTACTACCTGCCAAGTGAGGACAACATACAACAGCCTAAGTTGTATCCTTGCAAGAAAAACTTGTATAAAAACTAGCCCCAGGGCACAACATTACCCAGGAAGACAAACTCGTACGCTATTCTACATAAGGACCTCCCATAATACCTTACCTTAATATGGGTTATGGTTTAAACCAAAGGAAAGGATGAAACAACTCATTCTAAAGCTGAGCAGTTCTCCTGAGGAATATATAACACTTATAACATAGTCTCCACTTGTTCTAGCATGCTGAGACACACGTGAAAGGATTAGGAATCTGAGCAAACATGCAGTAAGAGAGGCTGTAACTGGCTGACTGACCGAACCCAAAGGGTGCTCATCAATGGTTCCTCTTCATCCTGGAGAAGAGTGACTAGTGGGGTGCCACAGGGTTCTGTCTTGGGCCCGGTCTTATTCAACATCTTTATTAACGACTTGGATGATGGACTCAGGGGCATCCTGATCAAATTTGCAGATGACATCAAACTGGGAGGGGTGGCTAACACCCCAGAGGACAGGATCACACTTCAAAACGACCTTGACAGATTAGAGAACTGGGCCAAAACAAACAAGATGAATTTTAACAGGGAGAAATGTAAAGTATTGCACTTGGGCAAAAAAAATGAGAGGCACAAATACAAGATGGGTGACACCTGGCTTGAGAGCAGTACATGTGAAAAGGATCTAGGAATTTTGGTTGACCACAAACTTGACATGAGCCAACAGTGTGACGCGGCAGCTAAAAAAGCCAATGCAATTCTGGGCTGCATCAATAGGAGTATAGCATCTTGATCAAGGGAAGTAATATTGCCACTGTATTCTGCTCTGGTCAGACCTCACCTGGAGTACTGTGTCTAGTTCTGGGCACCACAGTTCAAGAAGGACACTGACAAACTGGAATGTGTCCAGAGGAGGGCAACCAAAATGGTCAAAGGCCTGGAAACGATGCCTTATGAGGAACGGCTAAGGGAGCTGGGCATGTTTAGCCTGGAGAAGAGGAGGTTAAGGGGTGATATGATAGCCATGTTCAAATATATAAAAGGATGTCACATAGAGGAGGGAGAAAGGTTGTTTTCTGCTGCTCCAGAGAAGCGGACACGGAGCAATGGATCCAAACTACAAGAAAGAAGATTCCACCTAAACATTAGTAAGAACTTCCTGACAGTAAGAGCTGTTCGACATTGGAATTTGCTGCCAAGGAGTGTGGTGGAGTCTCCTTCTTTGGAGGTCTTTAAGCAGAGGCTTGACAACCATATGTCAGGAGTGCTCTGATGGTGTTTCCTGCTTGGCAGGGGGTTGGACTCGATGGCCCTTGTGGTCTCTTCCAACTCTACAATTCTATGATTCTATGACTAGAGGAAGCCTGAGAGACACATCCACAAACCAAACTGAGGATCATATTTAGCTCTGATAACTAAATGCAGTGTATTCCTGACTTTTATGGGACACCATCGCACAGCCAACTTTCACAAATCCAAACCATATGAGGTTCCTAGCGCCGTGCTGAAAGCTTCAACTTCTCAAAGGTTTTCTTCCCTTGCAAATGAGCCTTCCATTTTTTCCCGCCTCATTCTCGGGGGCACTCAAGAATATCCTTGATCATTTTCTCGTGCGTTTTCTTTCTCGTGAATTCGCGAACGACGATCAGAAATCATGTGGGATCCATTTTAAGCCACAGCACTAGTAGATATCGCCATAGAAGATTGCTGAGGAAGAGGGGAGGCAGGAAGGATTTTAGAGAGCATGTAATATGAAATCCTGCAGTCAATCTCTGGTTACAGGAGCTCAGGTAGCAGTTAGGTTTCAAAGGACGAAATCACGATAGCAAACCAGTGATATTTTAGGGAGCAGGCTAGCAGGTGGGGCCCATGACTTACATCATAGGAGCCTAGGTAAAGGTAAAGGGTAAAGGGACCCCTGACCATTAGGTCCAGTCGTGGCCGACTCTGGGGTTGTGGCGCTCATCTCGCTTTATTGGCCGAGGGAGCCGGCGTACATCTTCCGGGTCGTGTGGCCAGCATGACTAAGCCGCTTCTGGCGAACCCGAGCAGCGCATGGAAACGCCGTTTACCTTCCCGCCGGAGCGGTACCTATTTATCTACTTGCACTTTGACGTGCTTTCGAACTGCTAGGTTGGCAGGAGCAGGGACCGAGCAACGGGAGCTCACCCCGTCGTGGGGATTCGAACCGTCGACCCTCTTATCAGCAAGTCCTAGGCTCTGTGGTTTAACCCACAGCGCCACCCGCATCCCGCCTACACAACACCAAACACTGTTGCTGTATGTAGGTTTTATTTATTTTATTTGTTGTTTATCTTATAATTTGGAAATGTACATCCAGGTTTTTTCCCTTTACATTTTTGGGGGCCCCAAGAGAATGGGGCCCTAAGCTATAGCTTGTTTAGCTTATACGTAAATCTGGCACTGTTTCCAAGGGTCATCTAGTCCAACCCCAATTTTTTTTGCCTAACGTAGGACTCGAACCCAGGACCCTTAGGTTAAGAGTGTCTCCCTCGAGGGCTGGCGGGAGATTCGCGTGCAAACCCCGTTTCCCCTTTTAAAACTCAAAAGCTGAGATGACGCCCCTCATTTGAGAACTTCAACCCGCTTAAGGCTTTGGGGAGGGAAATGGCACCAAGCGCACCCGGAAGCCCGCTCCGAAGCTAAATGAGCTCCCTCTTCACAAATAACCATTATGTCGTCTGCGGACGAAACCTCACCCAATCCGTGGACAGGGAAGAGACCACATGACGCACGCACGCGCGCGCATACACTCACCCCTTTTCCCGAACCGCCCGGCGCGCCTCGTCCTGACGCATGCGCAGCGAGCGGCGGAAGCGGTGCATAAGCAGAGGGCGTCTGGCGGAAACCGGAAGTAACCTGTGGTGGTGGTTTTTTTTTTTCCCCAAGCGGCGGAAGTGCGGGGGGAGGTGGGTTTGGAATGGCTGCCGCCGCCGCCGCCGCCGCCGCTGTCCCGCCTGAGGAGGCCTCGGAGGCCAGGCGACAAGGCCCCAAGCGTAAGATGTAGTGGGTGGGGCCTCTGGTCACGTGGTTCCAAGGGGGGAGGGGCTTTCCCTACCGTCACCTCAGCAAGGTGTGTGTGAGGGGACTCCATGCACCGAGACGGACCCATTGGGCCCACCTACCTCAGTACTGCCTGCACGGGCTGGCAGCAGTGGTGCTGATAATGCCCAGCTCGCGGGTTCAGTCCTATGCCCTTTTAAAATGTGTGGGGTTTTTTTGGGGGGGGGGCTATTGGGTTGTTTTTATTTATATTATTATTGCTTTTATTCTGTCAACTGCGCTGAGACCCCCAGGTATAGGGCGGTATATAAATTCAATTAATAATAATAATAATCCCCGCAAATTCTTGCGTTGCAAGGACTTGGACTAGATGATCCTTAGGGTCCCTTCCAACACCACAACACACACACACATACATACATATATACACATATATACACACACAGAGAGAGAGAGAGAGAGAGGGAATCTCTCCCAGCCTTGCCTGGATCATGCAATAATTTTTTAAAAAATGCGTTTATATCCCACCTTTTTCCCCCTCCACAGGACATAAAGTGGTGTTTGTTGTTCTCTCGTCACTTCACTTAACCCCCCCACCCCCACCCACAACAACCAACCTGTGAGGGGTAGGCCTGCGCAGTGTATTGATACATCGCCCAGGACCGGTTTGAGGGTGTGATGTTATATCCCCCAGTGTTATATCCTGTGCAGCTTTCAGGCTGTTGCCCAGATGGAGGCTGCAAACCAATCAAGTCTGCTTGATGTTGTTGGTACAGTGCTACATGTCAAGGATTTTGCGTCAGCGGATATAGCTGGTAAGCAGCTAACCTCTTGTTTCCCTGTTTTCTTTTATTAAAAAATCTGAACAGAGGATCCTGCTGTTGAAACAGCAGAAGAAGCAACAGAACCAGCCGAGGCAGATATCAATGAACTTTGCAAGGATATGTTCAACAAAATGGCCATTTACCTAACAGGTGAACTGACAGGTAAGTTTGTATTAAATATAACACATTGCAATATCATCGGGGTGTTTCTATGCCAGAGAGGCCTGCTGAGTCCTGTGGGGCTTGCTTCCAAGTGAGAACGTCCAGAGCATGGGTAGGCAAACTAAGGCCCAGGGGCCGGATGCTGCCAAATCACCTTCTAAATCCGGCCCGCAGATGGTCTGGGAATCAGCATGTTTTTACATGAGTAGAATGTGTCCTTTTATTTAAAATGCACTTCTGGGTTATTTGTGGGACCTGCCTGGTGTTTTTACATGAGAAGAATGTGTGCTTTTATTTAAAATGCATCTCTGGGTTATTTGTGGTGCATAGGAATTCGTTCATTTTTTCTCTTTCAAAATATAGTCCGGCCCCCCCCACAAGGTCTGAGGGACAGTGGACCAGCCCCCTGCTGAAAAAGTTTGCTGACCCCTGCTCCAGAGTCTTGTGTCTTCTACCTCCCCCAAGTAGAATCAGAATTTCTTAAGAAAATTCTCAAAACCAAGCCACATATACCAGCTCAGCTCTTAAGATTCCCACGTTTTCCAGCAATGTCACTGTATCACACAAAGGAGTAAAGTTGATCCATGTAGCATGGCTTTGCTAGGAAACTCCCAGAAAGTTGCTGTTCTGCTTGTGCAACAGACTTCTGCTTGCACAATGGAACTTTCCCGTCCTCTCCCCTAAGGCCTCTCATACCCTCAGTATATGTTCCAGAGGTTGAGAGTCCTTTCCTTGAGCAGATGGGGGATGTGCAGAGAGAGGAGTAAAAGGTGAAGTCCCATTGCATGAGCAGAATACAGTACTACTTGCACAGTGCTGGATGCAACACACTTTTAATTTTCTTCTGGGTCCGCATGAGTCATGAATGCATGTCTGAGGGATTGCAGTGAAAAAAGAGACCTTTACTATCATTCCTAAATCATAAATATGCTGAAATATGCATGGGTGTCAGGCATCCATATAGAGTTATTTTGCTCATACCTTTGCTTGTGCGGTGAAACAAGGTAGGCAGCCACGGTTTACATATCTGGTTACATTTCAGCTGAGACCCTTTACTCAATGGCTTCCAAACTGAAAATAAAACCAATTAGTTTCTGGATTTTGTCTTGTTTGGAAGCCATTCACTATAAGCGGAAGCTGTAATTAACTGTGGCTTCCTGACTTGTTCTCTCAATTGCACAAAGGGAGGGATGAAGCAGAAGCAAAGGGAGTATAAAGCTTGTTATCATCGTGGTTTATTAAGCTGAAATTTGATTGAGCATGGCCGTAGAGTAGGAATCCAGCTCCCTGCTGATGCTACCCTTGCGCTGTACAGTTCCCTGATAGAGGCAGAGGTTAGATAACCACAGAACAAAGGAGTGTTCACCTTCTTTTGAGGCAGTTTGTTAACAGCTGGTGCCACCAAGGAGCTCTTCTTGGTGTTTAATCTAAACCTCCCCTTCTCGTTACTTGAATCCACTGGTTTAGGTCCTACTGTCCCAAGCAACAGACAACAAATTTGCTCAATCAAATTTGATCTGAGGTTTAAATTCCATGTTTAAAGTAGTCAGAAGAGTGGTCAACTTGAGAGAGGGGTGAGCCTGTTGTGCTCCTCCATTGAATTTTAACTGAGGTTAAAATGGCATATTGTAAATAATTTACATTTTTAAGGCTGTGTCTTTCCCCCCCTCCCCTCCCCTCTTCTCTTTCTCTCCTTCATTTTAAAGCCACTAGTGAAGATTACAAACTCCTGGAAAACATGAACAAACTGACTAGTTTGAAGTACCTGGAAATGAAAGATATTGCAATAAACATAAGTCGAAACCTCAAAGATTTGAATCAGAAATGTAAGTAGAGAGATACTTTCATTTGCGTCTTGTAACATGTTTGGATTATAGGTTGGATCTATGTCCAGTCACAGGGTGTAGTATAGAAATATAATAAATAATAATAATTCAGATAAGACCATGTGCCACCAGAGAACTTTTGCAGAGGGGAAACTTGCAGCAATTAATTAGTGAAATGTTTGCACAGGCGGTCCTCTCTGAATGCAAAACGTGCAGTGAAGTTGCTAAGTATTGTCCTGAATGGGTGGGCACGATGGATGTTGGAGTCATATTGGGGTGGGAAGCAGGTAAGAGTTTATTTAAAAGTCTTTCGGCAGAAGCAAAAGTTAAAAGTGGGCTTAAATGTTAGTGGAATGTAAGAGTTATGGGGGAGGGGACTGTACTTGGCAATAACATCCCAGTGTTATTAGAATGAGTGAGTCTAGGAAGCTGGAGCAATATCAGAAAGTGTCTGTTGACAAGGGGAGGTATTTGGGGATTAAACTTCCTTCATTGAGCTTGTGCTTTCCAAGCAAAATTCTTTTTTCTTTTAAACCCAAAAATTTTTGGTTAGATTTTTGTTGCCTTGTGTGATGTACTTTTAATGTATGTTGTGCTTTTATTTTGAAATATACTACATGGCAGTGGCTTGCAAGGGCAATGTGGGGGGCTTCCTTGGCTTTGGGAAGGAGGTGGCAGACCCTGTTGCCTCCTTCCCAAAGCCTGCTTGCCTGGCTTTGGGAAGATGGCAGAAGGGCTCTTGGACCTGTCAGAGCATCCTCCCTCCCTAAGCCGGCCAGCTCCTTCCCAAAGCCTGGCAGACTTTGGTTAGTTTATGGTGGTTTAAGTGGGGCATTTTAAAGTGTTACCTGCTTCAGACTCTTACAGTGGCGCTTAAAATCTAAACAAATTTTGTCGTGGGATCATTGAGTGACAGGTTGTGTAGACCTGTATTATGTGTTAGTTGTTGTGCTGTAAAATTACAGTGGTACCTCGGGTTACATACGCTTCAGGTTACAGACTCCCCTAACCCAGAAATAGTACCTCGGGTTAAGAACTTTGCTTCAGGATGAGAACAGAAATTGCGCGGTGGCAGCAGCGGGAGGCCCCATTAGCTAAAGTGGTGCTTCAGGTTAAGAACAGTTTCAGGTTAAGAACGGACCTCCGGAACGAATTAAGTACGTAACCAGAGGTACCACTGTATATGTAATATGAAGGAAAGGGGGTACAGGGAGAATTTTCTGCAGAGTGGAAGGAAAGGGGGACCTTTCTCTGCCTTCCCACTTCCAGCCACTCTCTGAAGACTGGAGAATTGGCCCACAGAAGAATATTAGGAGGGTGGGCAGGGGAAGTGTGGCTTAATTTTTTTCAGTCTTCAGATGAGGATGAGACCATATGAAAAATGAACATAAGATTTTAGCTGCAGTTCGTTCATTTTCAGCTTTGTAATCTTGTTATAAAGAGTCCAAATTGTTGTAATGGATGCACTTTTTGCCGCTGAGCATTGCATTCAGCGCCAGCAAATACTTTTTTGTTTCAAGGTTTTGAAAATTGAGGTGTGCATTAGATTTGATGGCGCATTAGACTCGAGTAAATACGGCATTGAAAAGGATTTTGGGTGACCATACTGGGGAGGCCTGGAGAGCCTTTTCCCATCAGAGTAGACAATAATCACCTACCTGGGCTCAGCTGCATAATCCTTCCATTCTTATTTTTCTTTTCCAGTTTGACAGTTTTGAAAATATACCAACTTCTGGCCACAAATCTAGTGACTGAAGAGGTGACACAAGTGGTACACCTTCAGTGAGTCAGCAACTAATCCTTATTGTTTTTTCCCCGCCCTCACCTCTCACTTCCTCCAAGATGCCGGACTTCAGCCGTATCTGGAGCAAATCAATCTGATTGAAGAGCAGGTGGCCGCATTGGAACAGGCCGCATACAAGCTAGATGCATATTCAAAGAAACTTGGTAAGTACTTGTGACATTGCTAGAAAGTATACAGAAATGGTGCCTATTTTACCCCTTTTCCACAAGGAGGGGGGTTGCATCCCCTCCATGAACCTTGACAAGTTTTTTACCCTTTTGGAACGTGACATATCTGTGGAGGTTGCTGTTGTGCACTAATGGATTTCCAGGGCACCCCACTCAGGTTTCTTAAAGAAACACAGGGCATGACTGACACTACAAAGTGGTAAAATGTACCCTGAATCACATTATCGCAATAGCCAGAATACTCCATCTGTGGAGAACTTTTTGAAATTGAAAGAGGTGAGTGGACCCCGGGCAATGTGCTAGCCACTGAAAACAGCTTCTGGATGTTCAGTCTCTGTCGAAGTGTCACTACATGAGGCTGTGACATAGGTCCTGGGTTCATAACTGAAAGGGAGTTTGCTCTCCCTAATGGCTGTGTGTTTGTCTTCCGCAGAAGCAAAGTACAAAAAGCTGGAGAAACGGTGAAAGAAGCGCGTTGCATTACAGGACTTTTCTTCGAGAATACATGACTTTCTCCTCTGAAGAAAACTGGACTTTACGAAACTTGTGCTACAAAACTACCATTGGAGAGAGTCATGTGGGCACTCTAGGGAACAGTGTTGCGCCCCCTTTGTTTGAGGCTGAGACATCTTCCCCTTCTTGTAGAATCTGTTGCTCTTTACTATTTTTGTCCCTCGTTTTACAGAAAACTATCAGTAGAAGCTGCTGTTAATGGCTTCAGCCAGGGCCCTGCAGTAGCTTAACTGGGCAGTTCTGTACCTCCTTCCCTATTGAGCAAGTCCCTTCTGTGCTCTGAAAATTGCTTCATTTGTGAACGTGGAAGTTTCCAATATGCCGTGTTGGCAGGTGACGTGGTGTGGCCTTGCAGCAAAGCATCTTCTCTTGCCGTGCTTTTTTGAGAAATAAACACCTGGAAATTAAGGCGGCCCTTTTCTTACTCTTTTTCGGGGGGACAGAGTTATCTTCCGCTTCATCCAGTGTGGCATGAGGGCTGACTCTCAGAACTACGCATGCGGCTCCTCCAGACTGCTGTTTCTTTGGAGCCTGGTTAGATACAGTTTGCATGGAGAGAACTGGCTGTAGCTTGAGTCTGCCTGACTCAACAATTTTTCAACATGGACAACTGGGACAGGAGTAGGTTGCAATCCGTAGCTTCCGCATGTGGGTACCAGCTTGATACAGAAGTGGAGAATATGTTATGAAGAACTGGATGGGAAGATGGGGCAATGGGTCAGTAGGGGTCATGTGATCAGGAGAGGAAAGAGCGATGACATGAATTAATTAAATTAACACTATGCTTTCATTGTGCCAAGGCTATATATGTCTAGAATTTTGTGTTTGAAATCTACATTGGTGTTGTTGTTTAGTCGTTCAGTCGTGTCCGACTCTTCGTGACCCCATGGACCAGAGCACACCATCTACATTGGTACGCTCAACATAATTCTAAGTTTAGAAGAACTCTAGATTTTGTCATCATACATCGAGACTAGTATCCTAGCATGATTTCTCAGGCCTGGATACAATCTAGTAATAATGAGCCCCTCTCCTCGTTCACAGTCCCACGCTTGCTTTGGAAAATTGGTGTAGTTTTTTTCTAATCATGTCTCGTAGCTTCCTCTGTGGTTGCCACAGCTATGTTTATTGGCAGAAGTGGCACTGTGGCATCAATGAATGCTGATTATATAGGAATGCACTGGCAAATACCTTCCCTGGAATCTCAATTGCCAGTTCTTCTACAAAGGCTGGAGTCTAGAAGTCTAACTCAAGGTCTTCCCCTATATCAGGGATGTCCAACAGGTCGATCGCGATCTACTGGTAGATCCCCATGAGGTTTTGGTAGATCACAGTCGATCTCCAGCTCCCTTTCCTTAGCGTCACTAAAACTGACTCCTACCATGCCCCCCGGTCCGCCCTCTATTGTTGGATGAGTCTCAATTATGGCACTTGTCTCTCCTGAGAATATGCCAAGCCTGTGCAACAAATATTTTGGGGAGAGACATGGTTGATAACTATCTAGTTTGAGAGGGCCTCTTACTATGAAGAGGCAGCTATACATAACTTACATAACTACTCATAAGTAGCCTCATTACCTTAATGAGGGCTGTGAGGGTTTTTCAGCTGGTCTACAAATTTCCAGTGGTTAAAGATTTCTATCTGCAACATGCAGCTAAAAGATTCTGAGACTCTCTGCTGCTAAGCTCCTGCATTAACAATCTCAACAATTTGGGAGTGGACGGCTCTTAAGAACAGTTTTGGGGGAGGATTTGCTGCCTCGACTAGTTTCTGACCCAGTTGTTGTTTAGTTGTGTCCGATTCTTTGTGACCCCATGGATCAGAGCACACCAGGCACTCTTGTCTTCCACTGCCTCCCGCAGTTTGGTCAAACTCATGCTGGTAGCTTCGAGAACACTGTCGTCCCCTTCTCCTTGTGCCCTCCATCTTTCCCAACATCAGGGTCTTTTCCAGGGAGTCTTCTCATGAGGTGGCCAAAGTATTGGAGCCTCAGCTTCACGATCTGCCCTTCCAGTGAGCACTCAGGGCTGATTTCCTTAAGAATGGAGAGGTTTGATCTTGCAGTTCATGGGACTCTCAAGAGTCTCCTCCAGCACCATAATTCAAAAGCATCAATTCTTTGGCAATCAGCCTTCTTTATGGTCCAGCTCTCACTTCCATACATCACTACTGGGAAAATCATAGCTTTAACTATACGGACCTTTGTCCGACCCAGTTAGCATAAAGCAACTTCCTGTTTTCCTAATGATTTTTCCACCTGGCTCTGCAATGCTGACGTTCTGTGGCACCAGCTCTCCATTGTTTCAGACAGGATTCACCCACCCACTCACAAGGTACCAGGAACTGAATGCAAATGAAAGGTTCTCCCTACTTCATTCCAGTCTGCCTCAGGGTAGCATCCGACTTCTCCATTTTTTGTATTAATTTTGCTCAACAACAATGTAAGAATTCGGTATAATGTGAAAATTCTGGTGATACAATAATTTCCCATAGTAAGTGAAATAATGCACAAGCATCTTTAATTTTTAAACAACTCTTTATATAAAAGCCAAAACTTGATATTTCCAGTATTACAGTCATTGTTCCACAAGATACAAAAATGTTAAATGGAGGAACACTCCCAGAAATGTTATTTTTTAAAAAAAACACAAATCCTAATTTTTAAATGGTGGTGACTCAAATGTACACTGGTGAATTTCAGCTTAGCCCCTTAGCAATACTGAATAGTGATGTGATCCAGACTGAGCTTTCCTTTGAAGTGTACTTCCAATTGTCCCCCAATTCTTATAGACATTTTCTTATACCCACCCGGGGCTGTCTGGGTGGCTTTCTGATATAGGAGCCCCACAGAATTTCAGCTTTGTGAGTTATTTATATCGACAACCTATCTTGATGCTATGGGTGGTAATGTTTGTCACTAGCTAGGACCACTTGTAGAAATAATTCAATTAACCCTGCTCAATGGTAGCCTGTTACTACAAGGTAACATTTGTGGATCACAGAGATTGTTGACAAAGTGCCCGTGATTCGGACGTTCCTTGCAGTCAAGGTGTCATGTTTTATTTGTGCGCCGATTTTCAGCTTTCTGGACAATATCTTAACAGCCATTTCCCTAATTCAAATACCTGCCTTTTTATCCCTTGGAGGTTAATCTCAACTTTTTCCAGGGAGTGAAGATTCAGTTAGAAGAAATGGTGCAATTGGAAAACAGTAATCTTTCTCCTCTGAGCACCATTCCAAACTGCTGTGGCTCCTTTAAAGCAGAGTAAAAGATGTTGGAATCTTAGCGTGAATGTGCAGTCTGCATATGTGAAAACACATCTTGTGACTCCCGAGGAATGGCGAACCTCGAATGCAAAACTTGGGTCAAGAAGGGTTAGCTACCCCCAATATATAGTTTGGCCAATTGCACATTATATAGTCTATCTTAGCAATTTCTCTACAGGCTTTTCTGTACATGCAGTCAACATAAATCTGTACAGGAAATCTTTTCCTGATTTTTTTGGTGAAGCACCTTGTATTACAGGGTGTGGAATATAGGCTAGGCACCTTTTCACTCCTCAAGTCGCATCTAGTTTGATCCTCAAAATTAAACATACTATATATCGTTCTTTAAATATATTTATGAAAATGTATCATCTTCTATACAATATAAAAAGAAGAGGAGGCTGGCTTGTTTTATTAAAAAAAAATTGTGCATATAAAAGCTAAGGACTGTTTTACCATCAGAGGACATTTTTACAAGTCAAATGGTGATGCCCAACATGCAATCTTAATTGTTCCAGGTTGTGCTACCGCTGCTGAAACCCCCCGTCCCATCCTGGCCACTGGTGAAATGGGATTCCCTGCTTGCTGTAAGCCCTGCGCTGTTGAGCTCTTGCATGTAACATGGTTTCATCGACTCTCAGTGGGCACCACCTAGATACTGCTTTTCATTTCACCCTGTTGTCAAATACCCATGCAGGTTTTGGCCTTTTTTGGGGGGGGAACACCCTCCCAGAACACTTCTCCGTTCTCCTGCATAACCACTTGCTTCTCATTTAGGTTGGTTTGTCTTTTAACGGAGATATCGGGCAAAGCCACATTTTCTCCTGTAACAATGCCCACCGTTTCACAACATTCTCTTGCCACTTTCCCTCTCTCTTAATCACAACCAAAAAACCCGAGCACATTTTTGCTTAAAGGAATAAACCGGCTCCAGCTTCCTTGCAAAATTCCTTTTCCCACCATTACTTTTAAACTACTCTTACGCTGTTGCTGCGTGATCTGGCCAATGTGAAGGTAGAACTAAAAAACGAACGAGTCTGAAGAAGTTAACGCCAGAGAACTGGCAGCCATTGGCTGCTTAGAACAAACGATATACCAAGTCCAGGTATTAAGAGTACATATGTAGGATGAAATTGGCTCTATTCCACAGCGCGTAGTACATTTGTTTTCTTTCTTTGATTTTGGTACAACAGTCTAATGCAGGCTACCCCTTTGGAAAGTAACGTAATACAGTTACTGCGGCCAACTATATCTGGATACGTAAGTTTAAATTACACAGGAACCAACTTGCTTCTCAGAAAGAATCCGTTTACCCAGTCATTCTGGAGGGTTATAAACCAAGCAATTTCTGACAAGTCTCAGCATCGCAACCTTCGGAGCTCAAACGCTTTTCTTTCTGAAACAAAGACGCAGTAAGCAAAAGTAAGTGTAATTGGTTGGGGTAGAATCAAGTGTTCTCACCTCCAGTATTTTTACCAAATCGCAGAAGACAATGCTATGGCCGCATAACCAACCATGCTACTTATTATCTGACAAATAACTACAAAATACCTTGTCTTTAAAGTTGGGGGCCTGTGGCAGAGGTAATAACCTTTTGAGAAGCAATTGCTTCCTTTCTTTTTCCTCGCTGCTCTCTCCCTCCTTCCCCCGATCATTTAGATTGGTTTCCCTAACTTCTCCAACACCTTGTTCCGTGCATCTGAACAAGGAGTCGTTGAAAGATCAGGTCGTGCATTTGAACTTTGACAGCAGGGTCTGCTAGCGCTAGCTCCCTTCATTTTGGACGTTGAAAATGGCCACAAAGGGTTGGTTATATATCATCACTGTGTCATGGTGGGGGGGAATTCTGTTCAGCCATTTTCTGGCTCTCTTACCTCTGTCCAGTCAGAAAGGCCAAAGGCTTTCATTCTTTGAACTTTGTCCCAAGGCAATCATCGAGTTCCTCTCTGTTTTCCTTAAATCCAAACAAGCAGAATCTGGCCTGAACAGACAGGTAAAAGTTACTGTTAATGCAAAGCACTGCGAATAACGGCTGTAATTTTCCGCATGTTGTTGGATGATAAAACAGACACACCTGGCACCAGATATTTTCCACCCATACTCCAAAACAGCCGCTCTTCAAAACATTTGTGTAAGCTTTCAAAAAATAGTTATCGGGGGTAAAAACAATCTACTGCCCAATCCCTCGCTGCACTGAGAAACAAGCAAACCGGCATGGGAGAAACAGATAAACATGAACGTTACATCCACCCTGCTATAAGGAGGCACTGTCACTCTTCAACTACCAGGAACCAATGCAGCGTAGGAGCTGGGCCAAGATGCCTTCAAATTCAAATTGGGTCAAAATGTGATTCATCCCACCTTTGCTGCTGGCCAACTCTCCTTGCACCAACCCCTCTCGCTCTCCAGGCTTCGGGCAGCTCTCCGCAAGCCGTCGGAGACCGGCGGAAAGTCATGCCGGTCTCCCAAGGCTTGCGGAGAGCTGCCTGCATCCCGAAGCCCGGGGCATGCTGAGTAGCGCGCCCCGGGCTTCGGGCAGATATCCACAAGCCTGGGGAGACCGGCGCAACTTCCCGCAAGACTCCCTAGGCTTGCGGATAGCAGCCTGTTCTGGGGTCGGGAGAAGCTTGGGCTTCCCCCGCCCCAGCCCCGTGCCTGGGGGGGGGGGAATATATATTTTTTCTTTATCCCCCCCTCCCCAAAAAAACTCGGTGCACCCTATGGGGCGAAAAATACAGTAGTTCTTCCACTGAGGTAAAGGGATAATGTATAGCAGCAGATGTTTAGGCACTCTGCTTTTCTTTTGCTGAAGATCAACAATGTTTTCTGTTGCATGTAGTACACAAGTGAGAGCAGTTTGGGGCGCAGAAGGTGAAACTGCTGTTCGTAAATGAAATTAGGAGCTGCCCTTTCTCAGAAGGAAGGTAAGCTGGGCTTCCGGTCCATATTTCAAGAAATGTCCACATCTGCTCGTTTGATCCCCAGCTGTTTTTGCTCACAGCACCCATTTTGATCTCTTCCGCCTCTGTATTTGTTTCAGCTGCTCAAACAATAGCAGGACGCCTGTCTGTCCCAACCCAGCTTTCTGTTCCAGCTGTGAAGCTGCTCTGGGGGTGGGGGAGGCCAATAAAGGACTACACAGCTGCAACTGGAGTCCGGAGTGTAAATACCAGGTGTATTTGATATTCAAGTGCACACGACAGGAGAATCCCAGGCGGAATGATTAAACAGCTGCTTATCCCACTGGAAATCAAAAGACACCGACAGTCATTTCAGGAAAGACCCTGGGCTCTGGCAGAATCCCCATCTAAAGAGACATGGGGGGTTCGCAGCGTTGCATAACACATCTGCGTACGCAAACAAGATAATCCGTTTCCTCTGTCCATGGCCAAAAAACCCCAAGAAAACGAAAAACAAACAAGAACTTGGAAAATGTGGGTGGTTGCAGCTCCCAGCCTATATGGGCCAGCATAAACTCAGATGTATGCTACAGTAATAATAATAATAATAATGATAATAATAATTTATTATTTGTACCCCGCCCATCTGGCTGGGTTTCCCCAGCCACTCTGGGCGGCTTCCAACAAAGATGAAAAATACACTAAAATGTCACATATTAAAAACTTCCCTGAACAGGGCTGCCTTCAGATGTCTTCTGAATGTCAGGTAGTTGTTTATCGCTTTGACATCTGATGGGAGGGCGTTCCACAGGGCGGGTGCCACTACCGAGAAGGCCCTCTGCCTGGTTCCCTGTAACTTGGCCTCTCGCAGTGAGGGAATGACCAGAAGGCCCTCGGAGCTGGACCTCAGTGTACGGGCAGAACGATGGGGGAGGAGACGCTCCTTCAGATATACTGGACCGAGGCCGTTTAGGGCTTTAAAGGTCAGCACCAACACTTTGAATTGTGCTCGGAAACGTACTGGGAGCCAATGTAGGTCTTTCAAGACCGGTGTTATATGGTCTCGACGGCCGCTCCCAGTCACCAGTCTAGCTGCCGCGTTCTGGATTAGTTGTAGTTTCCGGGTCACCTTCAAAGGTAGCCCCACGTAGAGCGCATTGCAGTAGTCCAAGCGGGAGATAACCAGAGCATGCACCACTCTGGTAAGACAATCTGCAGGCAGATAGGGTCTCAGCCTACGTACCAGATGGAGCTGGTAAACAGCTGCCCTGGATACAGATTTGACCTGCGCCTCCATGGACAGCTGTGAGTCCAAAATGACTCCCAGGCTGCGCACCTGGTCCTTCAGGGGCACAGTTACCCCATTCAGGACCAGGGAATCCTCCACACCTGCCCGCCTCCTGTCCCCCCAAAACAGTACTTCTGTCTTGTCAGGATTCAACCTCAATCTGTTAGCTGCCATCCATCCTCCAACCGCCTCCAGACACTCACACAGGACCTTCACCACCTTCACTGGTTCTGATTTAAAAGAGAGGTAGAGCTGGGTATCATCCGCATACTGATGATTACCAAGTATTGTCAACCTCATCATTGCCATTGCTATGGTTCATATTTTACATATTTATTTAAAGTATTCCTTGGACACCATTCAGGGCTGTGCCTTTGCAAAATGGAGGAGATACATAGCTTAATAGACACCTCAAACAACAGCAGAAAGCCTGTCAAGATAGATAACAGCAAATCAATGTAATTTATTAGAAGAAATCAGTGCATGGATAGCTCAGCTGGTTAGAGCATGGTGCTGATAATGGCAAGGTGGCAGGTTCAATCCTCATATGGAATAAAGGTAAAGGGACCCCTGACCATTAGGTCCAGTCGTGACCGACTCTGGGGTTGCGGCGCTCATCTCGCTTTATTGGCTGAGGGAGCCGGCGTACAGCTTCCGGGTCATGTGGCCAGCATGACTAAGCCACTCCTGGCGAACCACAGCAGCGCACGGAAACGCCGTTTACCTTCCCGCCAGAGCGGTACCTATTTATCTACTTGCATTTTGACATGCTTTCAAACTGCTAGGTGGGCAGGAGCAGGGACCGAGCAACGGGAGCTCACCCTGTCGCGGGGATTCAAACCGCCGACCTTCTTATCGGCAAGTCCTAGGCTCTGTGGTTTAACCCACAGCGCCACAGCTGCATGTTATTGCATTGCAGCGATTGGATCAGATGAGCCTCAAGGTCCCTTCCGGTTCTGTAATTCTATGAAAACACTTATGCATTGTAAACTTAGGCGAAACCACAGGATTTCAGTATTGGAGGGAGGGAAGAAATGGCTCACAGTCACATAGTCTATAACACATTAAGGAAGTCGGCCTGGAAGAGGTAACATTTAAGGCCCATTTGAAACCCTGAACTGAAGCAGCCAAATGCAATTCCTTCAGAGAAGGGTTCAGTGGCATCTCCCTCATCTCAGCCAGCCTGATGAGAATGGCAAGGAGAGCTCCAAACCTGACCTTCATGTTCAGGAAGAATGCTTAATAATCCTCATCTTTTATTGGTGAGCTGCCCAATGCAGAACTACAGCAGCTTATCCAGGCTCTGCCCCATTGTATGTCGGGGGCGCTGTGTGGAGAGAGTCTCCTCCTTTAAATTCCTGGGAGTTTACCTTAGTGAGGACCTCACTTGGAAAGTCAACACAACTCACGTGGTCAGAAAGGCCTAACAGATACTCCATTTCCTCCGGGTCTTGCAAAAGAATAATGTTAAACAACAGCTGATGAACTCCTTTTACCGGTCCACAATAGAAAGTGTCCTTTCATATTGTATCATATTGTGGTATGCTGGCCTGACAGCCATGGACAGAAAGTCTCTACAGAGGGTGGGGAATACAGCACATGATATCATGGGCTGTCCCTTGAGTCGGCTAGATGACATTGCAAGGGATCGTTGCCTTAGGAGAGCGAGAAAAATTCTCAGGGATGACTCACACCCCAGCCATCACCTCTTTAATCTTCTACCCTCAGGCAGGAGATCTAGAAGTATAATCAGCCGTAAAGGTAAAGGGACCCCTGACCATTAGGTCCAGTCGTGGCCGACTCTGGGGTTGCGGCGCTCATCTCGCTTTATTGGCCGAGGGAGCCGGAGTACAGCTTCCGGGTCATGTGGCCAGCATGACTAAGCCGCTTCTGGCGAACCAGAACACGGAAATGATGTTTACCTTCCTGCCGAAGTGGTACCTATTTATCTACTTGCACTTTGAGGTGCTTTCAAACTGCTAGGTGGGCAGGAGCAGGGACTGAGCAACAGGAGCTCACCCCGTTGCAGGGATTCGAACCGCCGACCTTCTGATCAGCAAGCCCTAGGCTCTGTGGTTTAACCCACAACGCCACACACGTCCCTTATAATCAGCCATACCAACAGGCTAAAAAATAGCTTCTATCCGTGGGCTGCTAGGCTGTTGAATGGGAAATTATATAGCGAAATTGACTTGTGAGGTGGTGTGTTGTACAATAAGAGGTTGAGTGTTGGGGAGGGAAGCTCATTTAATTTCAATGTACACAGCTTGTACAATGGCAATAAAAGTATTATTGTTATCATTATTATCTTTGATTTCATAGAACCATAGAGTTGGAAGGTTCCCCAAGGGCCATCTCATCCAACCCCCTGCAATGCAGAAATCTCAACTAATCCATGACAGGTGGCCATTAAGCCTCTGCTTAAAAACGTCCACAGGAGAGTCCACAACCTCCCAGTGGAGACCATTCCACTGTTGAACAGCTCTTACTGTCAGAAAGTTCTTCCTGACGTTTAGTTGGAATCTCCTTTCTCGTAATTTGAAGCCATTGGTTTGAGTCCTACCCTCCAGAGCAGAAGAGAACAAGCTCGCTCCATCATATGCGGACAGGACTTTGAAGCCAACTCTCCTGAATCGGTCCAAGTTTAGGAGTCCAGTTACTAAACCACTGTAGTTCTACAATGTGCAGTAAATAGCATGCGGTCCAGAACAGGGCCTCCCAGAATCTTTGCTGCCCCCATCACCCTTGCACCCTCAAATGAATGTTCAGATCCTAGGTCTCAGCCACACCGGAGTTTATTGTGGATGTGAAGCTGCTCTGCATCTCTATTTTTTATCTTTTTGACAGCACTCAACATCCTCCCTTATCCTAGTGGCAACCACACTTTCTCAAGCGCAGGAAACACTGAGACAAATATCAGAGGCCTTAAACTGAGAGCATTCATGAGAGTGTGGATGAAAGTTCACAAACATGGAAACAGTGACCCGTTAACACCTGAGTGTAGCCACAACCCTAGGAAACTTACCTATAGAGCTGAGGGCATGACCTTTTCAAGGCAGCTGATGACAAGCCCAGCCTGCTCTGGTTCCTTCCCCTACTCTTTCTCAGGAGGTCTCTCATTCTTCCCCAGGTCAGATTGTCACCCTGCGGAATATGCAAAGCCATTTTAGCACAAGGCGAGTGAACATGAAAACGGTTCCTACCTACGGTAAGCTTGCACATGGTCCCCACGCAACTGGTAAACACAAGGCGCATACTTGGAAGGCGAAATCTCTTTTTCTCAAAAAAAGGTTCAGAGTAGCCTCTTTACAGTCAGTTATTTTGAGACATAGGATATAATTTGCAACGGCAGCAGCTTCCGGTATACTGTAAAAGGATGATCCGTGATAATATGCTGGCATTGTGAGAAACACAGCCCAGGAAAAAAAGCATGCAATAGCTGCGGGTGCCTCTGGGCTGGCAGCATTTAACAGGAGGAATTTGCTCACATAGTGGAACTTTAGGTTTGTGCGATTAAAGCACAATGTCACCCTAGCGCAACATTCACACCTTCTTTTTTTAAAGCAGGCTTTTGTGGTTTTTGTGGTACACACATGATAAGAGAAATTTAAGGACTTGCTAATTAGGAAAATAGGGGATGCAGGTGGCGCTGTGGGTTAAACCACAGAGCCTAGGACTTGCCGATCAGAAGGTCGGCGGTTCAAATCCCTGCGACGGGGTGAGCTCCCGTTGCTCGGTCCCTGCTCCTGCCAACCTAGCAGTTCGAAAGCACGTCAAAGTGCAAGTAGATAAATAGGTACCTCTCCGGCGGGAAGGTAAATGGCGTTTCCGTGCACTGTTCTGGTTCTCCAGAAGCAGCTTAGTCATGCTGGCCACATGACCCGGAAGCTGTCTGCGGACAAACGCTGGCTCCCTTGGCCAGTAAAGCGAGATGAGTGCTGCAAACCCAGAGTTGTCCGCGACTGGACCTAATGGTCAGGGGTCCCTTTACCTTTTAGCTATTTTATGTTGTATTTATCTATGTTGTATTTTATGCTGTTTTTAAGTCACATTTTTAATCAATGTTTTATATTTGCTGTTAGCTGCCCTGAGCCCGGTTTTTAAACTGGGAAGGGCAGGGTATAAATAAAAAATTATTATTATTATTATTATTATTATTATTATTATTATTATTATTATTCCCTATCTGAGAAATGGAGTGGTGTCATACATGAGTTCCATTCTGCCTTCAGAAGCAAGAGCCACTTGCCAGATGGCATAATCCCCATCACACCACCACACAGCAGTGTTTTTTGTGTGATCCACAAGGAATTTGCCCTCCTACTCTACTTAACAGGATATTCAGTATGCTATTAGTACATAATTAATATCAGTGCATAATTGCATGTGGCTCTCTAAAGTTGTGTGTGTGTGTGTGTGTGTGTGTGTGTGTGTGTAAGGTAAAGGGATCCCTGACCATTAGGTCCAGTCGTGACCAACTCTGGGGTTGCGGCGCTCATCTCACTTTATTGGCCGAGGGAGCCGGCGTACAGCTTCCGGGTCATGTGGCCAGAATGACTAAGCTGCTTCTGGCGAACCAGAGCAGCCCACAGAAACGCCGTTTACCTTCCCGCCGGAGTGGTACCTATTTATCTACTTGCACTTTGTGCTTTCGAACTGCTAGATTGGCAGGAGCAGGGACCGAGCAACGGGAGCTCACCCCGTTGCGGGGATTCGAACCGCCAACCTTCTGATCGGCAAGTCCTAGGCTCTGTGGTTTAACCCATAGCGCCACCCGCATCCATATATATGACAAAGGAACGCTCCTGCTCTGAGCCAGGCGCAATCTTCATTTCAGCAGAGGGAGGAGAAAGTAGGGAAACAAGGGATGGTAGCAGCAGCATCCAAGGGGAAATTTGGTATGAATTGCTTTCCCAAAGTGATTACTTACCGAGGTATTTCTGCTAATGTCAAAGCCCTAGAAATAAAAAGAAGAGAGCATAGAATTAATATTGGGAGTACGCCTTAGAATCCGCTCTAAAGCCTTCCAGCCACCGTATGAACAGCGCAAAGCTGTTTAAGGGAAGCAGGTCGAGGGTGAAATCTAACCCCCACCCTGCTCACCCCACCCAGCACAAAGCTTTGCATTGCCCTGTTAGGATGTAATCGAAATTTATCTTGATATCATCCAGTATTATTATGAGAGCTGTTCCTCTGCAGACGGCATGAAAAGATGGGTAGGAATGTGCAATAGCAGCTGCTGCAGAACCAGCTTCCACTGTAAAAGTGCGTCCGACAAAGTGGGGTCCAGTCCACAAAAACCTATGCCACGTGAACATATATCGCTCACCGTTTTCATGGCTGACTCCTTTAGGAGCTGAGCTTGGCCGTCAGTCACACAGTATCCATCCCTGCACTCATTCTGTCCACTTTTCTTTCCATTCGACAGCTGTAAGTCCATTATCAGCTGGTTATTTTCCGGATCCAGGCGAACATCTCTGCCTGCAGTCAGAAGATTGACCGATGTAAACAGGTAGCTTATGTCGTCTTGCTTTTTACCAGCTGTTACAACTGTTCAGAGTTAGAAAAGCGAGCGCCTAGTGTACGTTTGTGAGAGATTTTACTTTCTTGGGCTCCATGATCACTGCAGATGGTGACAGCAGCCACGAAATTAAAAGACGCCTGCTTCTTGGGAGAAAAGCAACGACAAACCTAGACAGCATCTTAAAAAGCAGAGACATCACCTTGCCAACAAAGGTCCGTATAGTTAAAGCTATGGTTTTCCCAGTAGTGATGTATGCAAGTGAGAGCTGGACCATAAAGAAGGCTGATCGCTGAAGAATTGATGCTTTTGAATTATGGTGCTGGAGGAGACTCTTGAGAGTCCCATGGACTGCAAGAAGATCTAACCTCTCCATTCTTAAGGAAATCAGCCCTGAGTGCTCACTGGAAGGACAGATCCTGAAGCTGAGGCGCCAATACTTTGGCCACCTCATGAGAAGAGAAGACTCCCTGGAAAAGACCCTGATGTTGGGAAAGATGGAGGGCAGAAGGAGAAGGGGACGACAGAGGATGAGATGGTTGGACAGTGTTCTCGAAGCTACCAGCATGAGTTTGACTAAACTGCGGGAGGCAGTGGAAGACAGGAGTGCCTGGCGTGCTCTGGTCCATGGGGTCACGAAGAGTCGGACACGACTAAACGACAAAGTGTACGTTTGCTGCCGTTGTCTTCTTGTGCAATGGCAAAGGGAGATTTAGACTGGTTCAAGACATCTCACCGCCTGAGGCAAAGGATAAGATGGTGTCTCTCCCCCCCCCCCCCCGCTTTCCACTCCATGCACAAATGCCAACCAGACTTGAAGTATTGAATCTTACTTCAGTCCTTGTGATGAGAAAGCACTCTCCGCTGCAACTGAGAGCAGCAGGATAGATTAGGGCAGTGATGGCCAAACTTGGCCCTCCAGCTGTTTTGGGACTACGACTCCCATCATCCCTAGCTAACAGGACCCATGGTCAGGGATGATGGGAATTGTAGTCCCAAAACAGCAGGAGGGCCAAATTTGGCCATCACTGGTTTAGGGAGCACAGGACAGGCCTCCTGGCACATTCAGCTCTGTGCTGTTAACACCTTGCTGCCGCTTCCTAGCCAACTCATTCTGTCTAATAGCAGGGCCGGCCCTGAAGGAGATACTCAGCATATGCAAAGACTAAGCTAGAGAATGCCATGATGTGTTGGTCACTCAGAGATCCAGGCCAAAGTTACTGCCTCCCCTCCGACCTTTCTCTGATGAAAACAGGGACATGAATAATAATAATAATAGTTATAATTCATACCCTGCCCATCTGACCGGATTGCTTCAACCACTCTTGGCAGCTTCCAACATATATAAAATATAATGAAAGAGTAATCGTTTTTTAAAAAAAACGTTCCCTATACAGGGTTGCCTTCAGATGATTTCTAAAGGTTGTACAGTTATTTATCTCCTTGGCTCGGGGGTTGCAGAACTCCATACCCTCCAACATTTCGCCGATGAAAATAGGGATGTCCTAAGGAAAAGTGGAGGGACGCGGGTGGCGCTGTGGGTTAAACCACAGAGCCTAGGACTTGCCGATCAGAAGGTCGGCGGTTCAAATCCCCGCAATGGGGTGAGCTCCCGTTGCTCGGTCCCAGCTCCTGCCAACCTAGCAGTTCAAAAGCATACCAGTGCAAGTAGATAAATAGGTACCGCTGTGGCGGGAAGGTAAACGGCATTTCCATGTGCTGCTCTGGTTCGCCAGAAGCGGCTTAGTCATTCTGGCCACATGACCTGGAAGCTGTACGCCGGCTCCCTCGGCCAATAAAGCGAGATGAGCGCCGTAACCCCAGAGTCGGTCACGACAGGACCTAATGGTCAGGGGTCCCTTTACCTTTACCATAGTCTCCAACATTTCTCTGATGAAAATAGGGACGTCCTAAGGAAAAGCGGGACATTCTGGGATCAAACCAGAAACTGAGACAGATTCTGTAAATCTGGGACTGTCCCTGAAGAACAGGGACACTTGGAGGGTCTGTTACTGCCCCTGTTAAAGTGATGGCTGTGCTAGAAAGGAATTATCTGGGAGCATATCTGGTGAAAAGCATGTGCTTTGTTTAATGTTGCCCATGTCTACTCAATAATGTCCTATTGCGTTCACCCACTGAACGACTGTGGCCGCCGATTAAGACCTATTCCATAACAAGTGCATTATACATTAAGGTCAGTGGGCCAGAAGACAGAAACCTACCTTTGCTTGTTTTGTCACTGCTTCCTCCTCCTCCTTCTGGAATGATTGAGAGGTCGGACATGTTTCCGTTCTGCACCAATAGGCTGTGCGGTCGGCTCTTCCCAGGAAAAAAATTCTTCCCTTCTTGGTGTGAGCTCAACAAAATCCTGGCAGCTCCGCAGGAGCAATGCTGTAGAAAACACTCCTACGCCAGGTGAAAGAGGAGATATGCCTGAGTTTAATTTGCAGCTAGTCAGGAGTATGCAACTTGGCGCCACAAGATAGCACAAACAAATTGCTGGAATTCCATGGGAGAGATGGCGAGCTTCTTCCCTAGGAACTGTCTGGCCAAAATAAACGTGCCTAACATAATCTAGGAATACTGTATAGTGAAACTTCACCCCATAACACAGAGACCCTTTGGAGACCCTTCTTGCAGTTCTTCAGTTGTATGTTCCATTCTACAAACATAAAATACAATTTTGACATTCCTAAGTAACTAATTTCTGCTCCAGATACCAGTTTCTTTGTGAAGTTATACATAATAAGCATTTCAGAGTGGTAAAATCCCTTCAATATTTTCATATGCACTGTTATGCATATGTTATATTACCACTTAAAATACGGAACATTATACAGTGGTACCTCGGGTTACAGACGCTTCAGGTTACAGACTCCGCTAACCCAGAAATATTACCTCATGTTAAGAACTTTGCTTCAGGATAAGAACAGAAATCATGCAGCAGTGGCGTGGTGGCCCCATTAGCTAAAGTGGTGCTTCAGGTTAAGAACAGTTTCAGGTTAAGAACGGACTTCCGGAACGAATTAAGTACGTGACCAGAGGTAACACTGTATGTCTGCTTTAACAAGAAGCTCAACAAATGGAAAGTAAGATGACAACAAACCAATTAATATCACATTTAAAATTAATAACAATCTATCTTCGTATGTAATGTCTGGATACTGATGGAATATAGAATTCTAGTTGCTTCCAGCATATAAGAAACCAATCCTTTATGCTCCCACCTACTGAACCTTCCACATAACTTAAAATACTTTTTTGGTTGACTTTTTATTTCCCCCCAATATTTCTTTAGCATATGCCATATGACATTCCCATCACGTGTGGAAAAAAGTCCCCTCTCTTTTTCCAACACTTCCAACAAGTGGCCGGGTTGTTTTTATTGACTGTGTGTATCTTTACTGGGGCAGTACAGTGGTACCTCAGGTTAAGTACTTAATTCGTTCCGGAGGTCCGTTCTTAACCTGAAACTGTTCTTAACCTGAAGCATCACTTTAGCTAATGGGGCCTCCTGCTGCTGCTGCGCCGCCGGAGCCCGATTTCTGTTCTCATCCTGAAGCAAAGTTCTTAATCTGAAGCACTATTTCTGGGTTAGTGAAGTCTGTAACGTGAAGCATATGTAACCTGATGATACTTTTTAAGATGGCTCCCTTACAGCCGTGCAATTCTTATTTATTTTATTTTTTTATTTAGTGGAAATTTTATTTACAACATAACATAACCGCCCCCCATACAGAAATCCACCCTCATTAAACGTGAACATGTATTCTCTGCATTTCCCCCATGCTTTTTGAAACTCTTGTCTAATTGCCTCTGTTAATCTAGCCAGTTCAATATACTCTATCAGTTTGTCTTGCCATTCCTTTTTTGTTGGCGCAATTTCTTTTTTCCAATTTTTAGCAATTGCTAAATTGCTAAAAATTCTTGGTTGTAAGCCTGAGGTTTGGCCAGGAGAAGGTTAATGAAAGAAGCAGGGAATCTGGAGATTATCTTGATGGCGCTGGCTGAGTGGCCAAGGAGTTTGCTTCTCTGAAGGAGATGCCTCTCTGTGGAAGGGCTCTCCTGGAATGTGAGAGCCATTTGAGAATCAGCTTCACCTCTCTCTGTTGTCATCAAGGTATCTCTCTTTGTGTGTGAGATAAGAGAGGCAAACAACAACAAGGAAGCCATACTTATAACAATAAGCAGTGCTATTTTTCTAGAAAAATAGGTGCCAGAGCTCACCATGAACTTCTCCCTTGTTCTCTTAGAATGGCAATGGCACCCACCTCAGACGTCGGCTGAAAAAAAGCCCTGACAATAAGATATCTGGAACTAACAAGTACAGAGAGATCCTGTCTTTTAGGTCTAAGCCAAGAGGCTAGTGTGTACAGCCATAGGATAAAAGGCAAAATCTGTCCATTTCAGTTTCTCTCCTGTTTCCATCCTTCTGTTCAGTTTGCCCGTCAGTTGTGCATTAATTTGCAAATTTTTATTTTAAAAAATCAGCAGGTAAAAATCTGCATGCATTTTCATGTGCGTTTCTCCTAATACATGCATTTTTTTTCATGCAATATCTCATCTAAAGCATATATTTTTTTAATTAATATGTGCTTTTTTCTGCACATGTTTGGGTCAGAGAACTGCATCATAAAACTGAGAGAAGTGATCACGTCAAAGCTCTGTTACATTCAGTTACTGGTTTGGGTGAGAATTAGGGAGGTTTGCACCTTGTGAACAATATAGAGGTAAAAGGTACCTTTTTACCTTTACAATGTAGATCAGTCAGGTCATGCACTTGGTCAGAGAAGTTCAAGAACTACGCAACTCTTTTGTACCTCTGCCCTCCCTACGTTTGGCTCCAGAGATTCCCTGGGCTTGCCCCATAGCTTGCAGGGGCATTTAAATCAGTGTTTAAAGATGTTTGCTTAACTCAGTCTGAGCTGTGATTAGTGTATTGCGCAAAAAGTACTTCAGCTAAGAGCACGTTCTGTTCATTTTGCAGAATTCTGTTTTGCATTTTTCTAAGTGGAAAAGAACTTCTGTATGATTCATAATGCTTGCATGCATTATGAGCTGGACAAAATCATATTCTAAACCAGGTAATTATGGGCTTTGGCAATGCCGCTCAAATTAATCAACATAGTGCTACACTCTCTGCAGAACAAAATCGCTATAGGCACTATGCACAACATCATGCCATCTGAAAACTTGTGAGAATAGCCGTGACCCTAAAACCAAGTCCCATGTGGGGAGCACAGGTAAAAATCGCTGGATTTTGCAGCTGAAAACGGCATCAGAAGGATGAGAAAAAGAATAGATTAGATACAGAGGTGTCCAAATTTGATGAAGTGAACATGCATGAGGGCCGACCAAAGTTGTTGACCTTTTTTTAGGATTGAAGTTGTTGAGCTTAACCCAAAAGTTGTATTTTTAGGATTTTAACCCAGAAAATAAACTGCCACAGAGGCCGGATTAAACCGACCAGCGGGCCGGATTGGGCCCCCTGGCTGGACTTTGGACATGCCTGGATTAGAACAATACAAAAGAGATGATTTGGGAGATGGCAGGAGACAATCTGAGCACAAAACCAGCTGCATGGACGTCAAAAGGAGAAAACTGAGGAAGGAGATAATGATATGACTAATCAAGAGGAAGCTGAGAGATTACATTCTTTTCTCAGCTCCAACACTGTCCTGATCTGTGACCTTGACAGAGACGCATAATCTCGCTTGTGTAGACTGAGCCGGTGAACTGCGGGATGTCTCTTCGTGACAGCAGGAGCCTTCCAACTTGATTCTATGGTAACTTTCCAATACTACAAAACAGCAGAAAGCAGCAAACTGATTCGATGCTCAGATTAAATTTGGGAGTCAAGCTTGCAGAGATTTGCTGGCTGAGGGACATTTAGGAAGTGATGGAAGGGCCACCCATGCCAGAGGATCTTGAGATCCATCCCAGGCGTAATAGAGCTGTTCTGCTGGCAGAATTATCACGGCAGAACAGGACAAAAAAGGGTTGAATCGTGGCTGGGATGAGGGCATACACTGACATCAAATCCTGAACTCACTCAGGCAAAGACCTGGTGGACGACAGAAGTTTACATCACTCCCAGACGCGGAGTAAAGAACTTCTCTCCCGCTGAGGGGAAAAACCACACCCAAACACTAGTACCATCTCTGATTTATGGTCTGTGGTGGGGCCTTCTGTCTTTTTTTCCTGGCATGTTTGCTTTTGAGCAGAGGGTTTCACCCCTCTGGCTGGGTGGGCACAGGCAGAAGCAGAGATTCAGCTGGCATAGCGGGGAGCCATATCTACAACCTGGCGAAAAGGAGTCCTGTGCCCTTTCTTCTTACCTCTGTTAGCTGGTTTGCTTTCTGCTCCTTCTGCAAGCTGCTGACTTGCTTCTGTAACCTCAGGTTGTGCTCCTGTAGCTGCCCGATTTTTTCAATAAGTTGGCAGATGTGTTCCAGGTAACCCAGGCCTGAGCCGTGGGCCTTGGCATTTCCTTGGTTCACCTACAATGAGGAAGAAAGCACCCCACAAATGTTAGGTATTTTTGGTTCAAACACACATGATGTTTCCAGAAAACGTTGCAACCTAGCTACTGCTCCTATACTGGCATCCGCAAGGAATCCTCAACCCTAACCAGCTTGACTGTGGCTCAGTTAAGTCTAGGGGAAACCCAGCCAGATGGGCGGGGTATAAATGATAAATTATTATTATCAAATATTATACAGTGGTACCTCAGGTTACATATGCTTCAGGTTACAGACTCCGCTAACCCAGAAATAGTGCTTCAGGTTAAGAACTTTGCTTCAGGGTGAGAACAGAAATCGTGCTCTGGGGGCGGAGCAGCAGCACGAGGCCACATTAGCTAAAGTGGTGCTTCAGGTTAAGAACAATTTCAGGTTAAGAACGGCCCTCCGGAACGAATTAAGTACTTAACCCGAGGTACCACTGTATAGTCCTTGGGAGATGCTCCATTGAAACAGAAATTTACTGCTCCCATTGATGCAGCTAAGTCCATGCAAAAGATGTTGCCCATGTAGGCAAAGAGGTTCAACATCTACATAATATCTAGATTTGGAACAGCAAGAGACTGGCTTGGGTGCAGAGAAGACGCAAGCCCAGCATATTTCCCCATCATTCTCTGAATTTGATACTGTGCTTCAGTTATTCAAAATAGGCAAGGTAATACATAAGGTAAAGGTAAAGGGACCCCTGAACGTTAGGTCCAGTCGTGACCGACTCTGGGTTTGCGGCGCTCATTTCGCTTTATTGGCCAAGGGAGCCGGCGTACAGCTTCCAGGTCATGTGGCCAGCATGACAAAGACACTTCTGGCGAACCAGAGCAGCGCACGGAAACACCGTTTACCTTCCCCGCAGGAGCAGTACCTATTTATCTACTTGCACTTTGACATGCTTTTGAACTGCTAGGTTGGCAGGAGCAGGGACTGAGCAACGGGAGCTCACCCCGTCACGGGGATTTGAACCGCTGACCTTCTGATCAGCAAGTCCTAGGCTCTGTGGTTTAACCCACTGTGCCACCCGTGTCCCTTTTAAGGTAATATGTAGGGCTTTTCAAAAGAAAAAAATGGAAATTGCACCATGGTAGGTGACTGTAATTTGCATGTGTAGCCTGTGCTGCTACAACCAGGGGCAGACTTTGGTAATATGCCACCCTGAGCAAGGCAGAAATTTGGCACCCCCAAATGGGTCTTCTCAATTTTGCGCCCCCTTGGATCAGCGCCCTAAATCCAGCACTGGCTACAATCTGGGGACTTTAAAGACTCAGGGCACAAGCCCACAACACAAATGTGTATATGGTAATTTAAGTGTGTGGATAAATGTGTATATGGTAATGTATGTGTATGGATACAAATTAAAAAGGCTAGTTTGCTGTGGTCTCTCCAGCACTGTGATTTGTAGCATGCCCAGCAGGGCTGCAAGCAAATTTAGAGAGAGAGAGAGAGAGAGAGAGAGAGAGAGAGAGAGAGAGAGAGAGGGGTTAAAAATGAGGGAAGGAGCAGGAGATCTGAAGGCCCCCAGGGCCACCCTAAAACATTGGCCTGACTATCACACAGCTATGCATTTTGTGTGTGTGCAGCTTTGAGTCACATTTTTTTACATCAAGAAACATGTTTAGAACTGGAAATTTGCCAGCAGTGATGCTGGAGTGCTGCACTGAAACTTCACAGCGCTGTGAATTCAAACTGGGAAGCTGGAAGTGCCAGAACGGAAAAGCAACGGCCCCTTTATAAATAAAACTTGTTTCAAAAACAGCGAGATGGGTTGTGCCACAGAGCACGCCTGCAGGAAATCACAAAGATCACTCAAAATCGGAGTCAATTCTTTAGAAGTAAGAACGCGATCGTCACAGGCTGGGCTGAGCATCAGGCCTAATGAGCACCAGCGGCGCATCCGCAGTAGCTCTTCTCCCACGAATCAGTTGCTGAGACTGAATGTCCCTGCTTCCCCACGGCTGTCTGAGTCCCCTCCTGTCCAGTGCTTTATCCAAGCAATTTAAGACTGCACCTTCATGAAGCCCAAATCTCCTCCACCCCTTTTCATGCCCCTTCTGGTTCTGGGAAACCAGCTGGGAAGGGAATTTGTTGCAGCAGGAAGGAGAGAAACCCGTGACTCTTCAGCAGCCTGACTCATCTCGGCCTCTGATTCTGGCTTCTCTTTGCCACAGACTCTCCCAACTGAGCCCTGTTATCTCTTCAGCTTCCAACACCTCCTTCTCCCAAAGTCCTCTCCCTCTTCTCCCTCTGACCACTCATCCTTGTCCCACCACCACTCCCCTGGATCTGAGTCTTCTTCCCATTTGGACACAATATTTTACACCCAAAACCATTCTGGTATTATACTTTTATTAACCACTTCACACCCAGAACCAAACAGCCCAGAATGCCAACTTCTGAGCTAGCGAAACCAACTATTCATGCCATACCTGAGTAGTTGAAACTGACTTCCATGGAAACAAAACGTCCGTGGAAATCAAATCTAGCCAACTTAAGTTTTATTCAGAGCAGACCCACTGAAATTCATGAGCCAAACTCTATGAATTTCAACAAGTCTACTCTGAGTAAACGTTGCATGAATACCACCCAATGTTCCAAAACCCATTCTACGCAGTAGACTGTATTTGAGGAAAATGGCCTGGGACAACCAACTTCTGTGCTAAATAAACCAGCCAAATCCACTACTCATCTATAACTGGGACTCATGATGTAAGCCACAAAATGTCTACAAATACTGTTCTGATACCCATTCCAGGCAATAAACCCATATTTGGGGGGGGGGGGGATAGTCCAGGATAGCAACTTAACTTGATGGGATTGACGCATGAATCTATAAAACATCCACAGAAACTACCTTACAATACCAATTCTGGGCAATAAGCAAGTATTGCAGAAAAGTTAAGCCAGAGCTAACTTTGTGGTAAAGTGCACATTACATTAGAGCCACATGTTAAAGGACCCCTGGACGGTTAAGTCCAGTCAAAGGTGACTATGGGGTTGTGGCGCTCATTTCGCTTTCAGGCCGAGGGAGCCAGCGTTTGTCCACAGACAGCTTTCTGGGTCGTGTGGCCAGCAGGACTAAACCGCTTCTGGCACAACGGAACACTGTGACAGAAACCAGAGCACACAGAAATGCTGTTTACCTTCCCACCACAGCGGTACCTATTTATCTACTTGCACTGGCATGCTTTCGGACTGCTAGGTTGGCAGGAGCTGGGACAGAGCAATGGAAGCTCACCCCATCGCGGGGATTCAAACCGCCGACCTTCTGATCGGCAAGCCCAAGAGGCTCAGTGGTTTAGACCACAGCGCCAGCCGCATCCCAGAAGCCATGTGTAATAAAATGCCAACACCCTTTTCTTTCACAGAGTGCTTTCTGCCTGAGTGAAATGGTCCTACCTGGAGAGTTTAGGTTAGCTCAGTTGGTTAGGGCGTAGTGCTGATAATGCCAAGGTTGCAGGTTCAATTCCCGCAAGGGCCACCTGCATATTCCTGCATTCCAGGGAGTTGGACCAGACTATCCTCAGGTCCCTTCAAATGCTACAATGCTATGATGCTATGATTTCCTGTTCCAATACACAAGTCCTTTCCCTTGACGTTTCCTTCCTTTTAATCCTCATAGTCAACTTAATCAAACACTTCAACACTGTAAACCGCCACACAAATCAAATTTCTATTTTCTTGGCTCTCCATCCCAGCAGCCCCTTAATTAATTGCTTCCTAAACTGCTTGTTGGATGTGGGTGGCGCTGTGGGTTAAACCACAGAGCCTAGGGCTTGCCGATCGGAAGGTCGGCGGTTTGAATCCCCGCAACGGGGTGAGCTCCCGTTGCTTGGTCCCTGCTCCTGCTGGGTGTGTGCCCACACTGGGAAACACTGCTCTAGAACATAAGCTTCATGCAAGCAGATATTCTTCTTCTTCTTCTTCTTCTTCTTCTTCTTCTTCTTCTTCTTCTTCTTCTTCCCTGCCCATCTGGCTGGGTTGCTCCCAGTTCAGGATGAATGCTCAATAAACAGGTGTTCTAGAAGAATGCTTAGTGTGGAAAGCCAATTGCAACTGCACTGGTATCTTTCAGTAGATTACAGTGGTACCTCGGGTTAAGTACATAATTTGTTCTGGAGGTCCATTCTTAACCTGAAACTGTTCTTAACCTGAAGCACCACTTTAGCCAATGGGGCCTCCTGCTGCTGCCGCGCCACCGGAGCACAATTTCTGTTCTCATCCTGAAGCAAAGTTCTTAACCTGAGGTACTATTTCTGGGTTAGCGGAGTCTGTAACCTGAAGCGTCTGTAACCTGAAGTGTATGTAACCTGAGGTACCACTGTATTCTGCAGTTATTCTGGAGAACTTCCAGCCCTCCATTCAGAAACAGCTGTCTGGAAATCACATAAACAGCTCACGACAAAACACACTCGTACAGCCTCTCTATTGGGAAACCAACACAGTGTGTGGAAACTGGAATAGAGAACAGACAACTCAATAATTGACCACAGGAGCTGCAATTCTAACACCACAACTGGGAGTAAACCCCATTTAATTCAATAGGACTTACTTCTGAGTAGAGAGGGTTAGGATTGTGCAGTTAAGTGAAATAACACCGCCCAAGGAAATGGGCATTTCACTTGCCCAAAAGGTGCCTTTTGTTCCGCAATAACTACCGTATTTTTTGCTCTATAAGACTCACTTTTTCCCTCCTAAAAAGTAAGGGGAAATGTGCGTGCGTCTTATGGAGCGAATGCAGGGTGCGCAGCTATCACAGAAGCCAGAACAGCAAGAGGGATTGCTGCTTTCACTGCGCAGCGGTCCCTCTTGCTGTTCTGGCTTCTGAGATTCAGAATATTTTTTTTCTTGTTTTCCTCCTCCAAAAACTGGGTGCATCTTGTAGTCTGGTGCGTCTTATAGAGCAAAAAATACGGTAATTGAGGAAGAGTCTGGGCATTTCACCCAAAGAGGAATCTTACCTTACTCAGCCTACAGCATTCGTCCATGTACTCATCCAAACTGTCACTTGTGGGGTATTTTCTCAGGGGGTGCCCCTGCAGGAGCATCTCTTCGAAGTTGTCTTTTCCGTAACCATCACCAGGTCTTTTCTCTTCTTCTGGAGGTTGAGTGGGGAGGAGGGATCCGCTGGTTTTCTCTTCCAAGCGCTCTCCTTGGCTGCCACCCAAAAAAGACTGTTCAGGATTTCCCCCCTCTGGGCAATCAGTGCCATCCTCCAAGCAAACTTCAGGAGACTGCCCTGCGCGGTGTCCCGCTGCCGGTTTGCCATCCGACATGCACAGACAAGCATCTACAGCGTCTTTGCACACTCTCGTGATTGCGTGGTCAGCTGCTGGAGAGGAAGAGGCGCTCAGCACCCCAGAGTCACAAGAAGGATCTCTGCTGTGGAGCACAAAGCTTTTCTCGGAGCCCTTGGGTGTCGAGGGAGAGTTGGCCCCACTCGGCAACTCCACACCAGAGTCTTCCGATTCAAACTTGGCTAATCTCAGCACCTGGTGTTTCGGTGTTAATGTGTCAAGGCCAGGGAGCGTAGTAATACACTCGGCTTTCACTGGCGCCTCACATATGATGGCTGAACTTGCTGGGCGCTCTGGGGCGACGCTTGATTCAGGAGGACCAGGTTCCGCTGCAGAGTCGGAGGTGGTCGGAGGGTCTGGTCTTAGCCCTTCGCTTTGATTTTTATCGTTGCTTATTATCTTCATATTGGTCAGAACCACCCTGCTGTCAGTTAGCGGGGTCCTTTTGCCTAAAAAAGAGAGAGAGGACAGCTATAAAGTATCAGTGGCATACCGTGGGTTGCCGGCACATTGGGCGGGGCAAAGGTTGTGCTGCCTTGGTGGGCTGGGCAGCTGGGGTTGAGGCAGGTGCATGGGGGGGCTTCCTCCTTTGGGCCCTTTCCTGCCTCCCTTCCTCCTTGGTGAGTGGTGGCAGCCCCCTCCCATAGCTGTCAACTTACAGATTTGAAAATAAGGGACCAGCAGCCTCGAAAATAAGGGATCAGCAGCCAAAATAAGGGATTTTAGTCAACCAGCTGAAATACGAAGTTAAAAGGGACCAGATAATTTTGGAGAGCAGGGCCGCTTTTTAGCCCTTCATTTCCAGAGGTTGCTGCTCAAGACACCAGCTGATGAAATACTGCAATTAAATAACTACAAGCAGCAACCACTTTTCGCACAAAACGAAGTCTAAGCTACGAAGATGCTGCTGCAGTTCTGTATCTTTTCTCTCATGCTCCACCTGCATTTCCCAGTTCCATCAGGCGGGGCGGGAGGAAGGGGGGGAAATAGCACCCGAGGTAAACCCACAGATCAGACCATCTATACTAGTCTACCACTACAAATCTATGGGAGAAGCACTTGTGGTCCTTCCTCTGCTTTCCCCCTCTATGGTTAGCCCTTGGAACACCTGCCCATGCCTCCGCCTCCTCTCTCTGAACTGCTTTCTCTATGGTTGCCCTCGCTCTCCTCTCAAGGATCCTCAGCAGGGAGGGGCTCCCAGGGGCTGAGCCTGGTGAGAGGAGGCTGGAGGGGGGAGGGCTGGGCAGCCAAGCAACACAGTTGGAGCCTCCCTCCTCCCTGGCCGGCAGGGAGAGGAGCTGCTTCCTTTGAAACCTGGGAAATTTAAGGGACATCATCAATAAGGGACAGCAGCGGGAAACGGCGCTGGGATAAGGGAGTTTCCCGCCAAATAAGGGATGGTTGACAGCTATGCCCCCTCCCCCTCAACCAGGCTGGAACCTGGGAGAGCTTAGGGCTGCCCTTGCATGCCCTAACATTGCCTGCCAGTCATGGCCGCATCAGGAATGCAGAGTGGATGCACTGCCCACACTGACCATGGCTTGGCCTCGTCCTCCATCTCTGAAGAAGCAGCCTCCTTCTCCTTGGCCTGGGCCTTGGCCACCGCTCCCACCGGTGCCCTCACTCTCCGGTCCCCGCCTGCTGCATCCTCGCCACTTCACAGGCCAGGAGAACCAGCGCCTCTCAGCCGGCCCAGGGGCAAGATGCTTGCAGGCACTGGGAAAGAAGGCACACCTCAGCCCCATAGGGTGATGGCCCAGCCTCAGTATGGCTTGTCCCCCCATCCCCCGCAGCTATGGAATAATAATAATAATAATAATAATAATAATAATAATAATAATAATTTATTATTTATACACTGCCCATCTGGCTGAGTTTCCCTAGCCACTCTGAGTGGCTCCCAATCAAGTGTTAAAAACAGTACAGCGTTAAATATTAAAAACTTCCCTGAACAGGGCTGCCTTCAGATGTCTTTGAAAGATAGGATAGCTGCTTATTTCCTTCACATCTGAAGGGAGGGTGTTCCACAGGGTGGGCGCCACTACTGAGAAGGCCCTCTGTCTGGTTCCCTGTAACCTCACTTCTCGCAATGAGGGAACCGCCAGAAGGCCCTCGGCGCTGGACCTCAGTATCCGGGCTGAACGATGGGGGTGGAGACGCTCCTTCAAGTATACAGGACCGAGGCATTTAGGGCTTGAAAGGTCAACACCAACACTTTCAATTGTGCTCGGAAACGTACTGGGAGCCAATGCAGATCTCTCTGGAAGGTGGCAGGAGCTCAGCAGGGAGCCTGTTGTGGGGGGTGTTTGGTTGCACCTCCTCATAATTTTGCACCCAGGGCCACGTATCCCAGCTCCCCACAAGCTAGGCCACTGCAGAGTATTTCCATCCTTAAGGTCATCTCATAGCTATCTCATAGCTATGTAATACAATCCAATTATAGGGAGATTCATGACTTTCTTGACCTCCTGTAATGTTTAATTTGTAAGATTCTCTGCCCACAGACTGACATATTATGTAGAGACCAACTGTTAATATTCAGAGAGCAGGGCAATGATCTTGATGCATGCTAACAGCCAACCTCCTCACTAGCCAGTCAAAGGTGGAGGAAAAAACCAAGCCCAGGCATCACAGAAATCACAAGTATTGAATATTCTCCTGTATCTCAAACTCCCTGTCTGTGGAAAGGTAGCACATTAGGGAACAGATTTCTAACTTAGACATCTAGATTGAATCTCTGCACCAGTGTTGCATGTGTCATGGATAAGAATCAACAGAAGAAAAACTGCTATAAGGAGCAGTGTGGGTGCAAAGAACATTTTCCATGGCTGTGTTTTCTTTGGGGGGAGGGGGAATTCAGTCAGGGAGCTCTGTGACTGATATTAAACAGGAAGGCAATCTTGTTTTTTCGTTGATAATATTGACTGTTTTTAATTTACTTTGAAATCAAGGTGTTTTTGTTTTGGACCACAATGGATCCTACAATTATCTGCAAAACCTCATAACATTAGATAAAGACTTGCGAGAAAGACAACAGGTTGGGTATTTATAAATGTGGATTTGAGGATTAGGGTTAATTCCTGGGTTCTTTGTTCCCCGCCTTCTCCTTCCCAGGGCACCATAGGTGGTCTTTCCCTCAGCACACAACACAAACTTTTCACCTCAGAAGTCTTATTTTAAACACATGGTGACATCTGCGTTTTCCGCCATCTCCAAGAAAATAGCCATTTCCTTTCTGAAACAATGGACATTTTCCACTTCTCTGATGGCTCCTGTCTCGTGCGGTGGAAAAGGGAACTGAGTAATCAGACACCCCTGAGAACGCTGCTCTAAGAGGCCCACAGCTCAGTTCCTCATATAGGCCGCTGGTCAACCTTATCCAACAGAAGAGCTGGCTCCATCCAGCAAGCAACTGTCATGGACAAACATTGCATTTTTAGGCATACACCTTGCTAAGCATGCCATGTGTGAAGTGGTCCTCCGTTGTAGACTCACTGAACAAGTGATCCCCCATGTTTCACACTTTGATCTCCCAACAGTCAAACAGAAATGTTAATGATGTTTCCATACCCTCCAACATTTCTCTGGTGAAAATAGGGACATCCTATCCCATCCATCCTATCCTATCCCATAGTGGGACGCGGGTGGTGCTGTGGGTTAAACCACAGAGCCTAGGACTTGCTGATCAGAAGATTGGAGGTTCGAATCCCCGTGACGGGGTGAGCTCCCGTTGCTCGGTCCCTGCTCCTGCCAACCTAGCAGTTCGAAAGCACGTCAAAGTGCAAGTCGATAAATAGGTACCACTCCGGCGGGAAGGTAAACAGCATTTCTGTGTGCTGCTCTGGTTCACCAGAAGCGTCTTAATCATGCTGGCCACATGACCCGGAAGCCTCCCTTGGCCGATAAAGCGAGATGAGCGCTGCAACCCCAGAGTCAGTCACGGCTGGACCTAATGATCAGGGGTCCCTTTACCTTTACTATCCCATAAGCATCATCAGTGTATCCCCCCCACCCATCTGACAGGGTTGGCCCAGCCACTCTGGGTGGCTTCCAACATATATAAAAACATAACAAAACATTAAACATTAAAAAGCTTCCCTATACAGGGCTGCCTTCAGATGTCTTCTAAAGGTTGTTGAGTCCCTTATCTCCTTGGCTCGGGGGTCGCATAACTCCACACCCTCCAACATTTTTCTGATGAAAATATGGATGTCCTAAGGAAAAGCGGGACATTCTGGGATTGAATCAAAAACCGAGACGGCTTCTGAAGAAATTTAAAGACTATTTACAGAAATATTGCAAAATTAACGAATGTTAGAATGATGTTGGATTGAAGTTAAGTGGTTTCTAGTTGTAATGGTATAAAAGAATATGAAAAAATTGGATTTTTAACAGGTAAAAATTTAATGCTATAATATATTAAGATTAAAGATCAGGATAAAATAAGGAGGGAAAGGAATTGCTGAACTAATAAATTGAACTGGGATACAAAAAAGGGAGGTATGAGGATGCCCTGGAAACAAGCAAATGAAACATAAGTGAAAAACAGATGGAATTGTTTTTAACTGTTTTTTATTTTGTATTTTTTCTTTTTTCTTTTTCATTATGTAATATTGTGAAAACTTTAATAAATATTTATTAAAAAAACAACAAAAAACCGAGACGGCTTCTGTAAATATGGGACCTGTCATTGGAAAATAGGGACACTTGCAGGGTCTGTGTTTCATTCGTGTGATGTGATGGAAGACAAATACGCTAAATCTGGATGACAACTGGAACAGAAAATATTATCCACTTATTTATAAAGCGCCGCCAATATGCATGGTACTTTACACAGCAAAAGAAGCCAGGTCCCTTGCAAAGTATTGGAAGACACAAGATTTACCCACTCTGGAAGAATGGCAGATGAAGGTGATTGATTACATGGAATTGGCAGAAATGACTGGCAGAATCCGAGACCAGGGAGAAGAGTCGGTGAAAGAAGACTGGAAGAAATTTAAAGACTATTTACAGAAATATTGTAAAATTAAGGAATCTTAGAAGGATGTTAGATAGAAACTAAGTGGTTTCCAGCTGCAATGCTTTAAGAGATATGAAAAAAGGTTTACAAATGGGTAAAAGCTTAATGGTAAGGATTTGCTGAACTAACAAACCAAACTGGAATACAAAAAAGGGAGGTATGAGGAGGTCCGGGGAAATAAGGCTAGGGAAGGTATACTATGGAAAGTTAATGTGTTTTTAACTGTATCTCGTATGTTTTCCTTTATTTTTCTTTTTTGTTGTTGTTGTTGTACTTTAAAAATCTTATTCTTTTTTCTGTATTTTGTACTTTCTGGTATTTTTATTTTTCTGTTTTTGTATTTGTTGAAACTTTAATAAATATCATTTAAAAAAAAAAAAAGAAGCCAGGTCCCTGTCAAAACTGAAGACCTGGAAGGGATCTCATACAATGGGTTCCAGGTGCTGTCTGAACAAAGCAAAATAGAAGGGTATGATTTATTCAGTCCAGAGAGATGTCAGGAAAAGGAGAAGGAAGGAGGCAGAGGCAACAGGGGAAAGCCATGCCTACTTCTTCTTGGTCTCAGTACAGCCCCACATTTGGGTTTCTGCCCCTGTGTAAAACAACCTCCAGAACTTCTCAGAGCTGGACATCATCACTTCAGTCTGGCGTGCCCTTATTACGTGAAGGAAGTTTAGAATGCTAACTTTGGCCAACAGCCTTCTACATCAGGGATTAGTTCACCTCCACAGCCTCGAAGGAGACTTTATTTTCAAATAGTTATCTGGTGCTTGCATTGCTGCTTCCAGTTCAGATTCTTCCTCTCTGGACTGGCCGTGGCCCTGGAGTATTTACAAAATGAATAGCTATGGTTGTGGCACCCTTCACAAAACCATAGCATTGTGGACTTGGAAAGGACAGCAAGGGTCATGTAGTCCAACCCTTAGCAATGCAGTAAACTTTCTGCCCAGAATTTGCCTCCCCATGCATAGATGACTCAACACATCCATGCACCACCAACTGGCTGACCGAATTGTATCTACACATTTATGCTGGACCTCCTCAATGCTCTGGGACTCAGTGTTTTTTTCCATCTGGAAAAAAATGATTTGTGCCCCAGACCCAGGCTGATGAGAAGGCCGAAGTTGTACATTCACCTCCTCTGGTCCCTGCTAAATTCTTAAAGGTTCATTGAGTTGAGTTAACTCGTATCCTGTAGTCAGTTGGATATGTAGCAATTTTTCTAGCCGTGGTCAATGTCATCCCAGACTATCACCATGGGATTTCAGAATTGTGCCATAAACTAGAAAAAAAAACATTCTGGTCTTGAGACCATTCACAGGCAGAAAGAGTTGCTGTCCTATAAGAACCTAAAATAAGCTGAACAACTGATGCCAGTTTATTGTGGGGTTCCTGCCCACTGATTCTCCTTTGCAGAATTCTCCTTCACACTGCATTGTTGCTATCAGAAGAAGGGATTGGGAATCTCACATTTCCTGCAAAACTATAATATTCTCCTTATATATCCTATGAAGTATATCTGTTTGTGTGTTTTTCCTTTTCCAATTATTTTGTTTTTTCTAACCCACTCTCTATTCTAAAATAAAACTTGATCCCAGATATGCTAGCTCAGTTTTCTGCTTACACATATATTTATGATTTTATGACCAAGTTATAAGCCCTGAACACAAGTTTGAAATGTCCCAGCAGGCAGCCTTGGGCTGTGGAAAAGTCAGAGTAATTTGTGGTGACTAGGAAAGCAACGAGGGAACAATCCGGGAATTTCACTTTCCTCAGCATTCGAAAACCCAGGTGAAACATTTTTAAAGGGGAGATCACGGTCTGAAATCGGGGATCATGAATCCCAAAGATGAGACCCAACATTCTTCAGACCACACCTTTTATTGGGTAAACCATTTGAGCAGAGTTGGGTAGTGAGCTTTTATGTTCAGATCTGGGCAAACGTGACTGACCCACATCCTTGTTCCAGGGATCTTCTCCAAAATTGGGGGTTTTAGCTCTGCCACCTAAGATAGTGCTTGCAATTCTATGTTTCTATGTTGTTCTGGATTCCTGCAGGGATTTAGCATTCAGAACAGGTGGCTTTTGCCCAACATCTGGAATCCCATGAAACCCACCCAAGGGGAGATTGTCTCCACAAGTCCAAGTACACTCTGCCCCAAATGTTGTTCCTTACATTTCCGCTGCCATCCTAACTTGCTGGCCCAAATTCTCCCTGGTCTCCAAGAGCCCACAAAAACGCTCCCGTTGGTTCCAGCCGCTTACCTTTCTTCCACGGAGCGCTGATGGAGAACGACTGGTGCCAGCTGAACATCTTGGAGGAGCTAAACATCTGGCCGATGGAAGCGCAGGCCCATGAGTTGAAGCCCTTCAGAGACATGTGGGAACGCTGGTGGCCAAAAGAATCATGCTTCCAGGAGGAGGATATTCCAAAGTCCCCAGAGGGTGTAGCAGCAGAGTGCAGGGTGGGCTTCGCAAGCCCAGCCTGTCATCTTTGGGCTCCCAGGAAGAACAAGGGGAGAGAGAGAGACTCACATGTTTTGTTTTCTCACCCTAGTCCCAAAGGAATGGAGGCAGGAGTTTTCTTGCTCAGGGGAGAAGGAATTCTCTCATTCCAGCAGCTGCGGCAGCGGGCAAAGGGGCTGTTCTTTTGCAAGCTGCGAAATTGCAAGCGCAGGCATTCAGCCAGCTGTGACATAAAAAGGGAGCAGCTCTCTGGAATGCATCTCCCTTGGTTGATAAGCCAAGACGACTGGAGGGGTTTGGACTACCTTCGCTATCAAGAATGCCCTCCTGAAAAAACAAAGATACCCGTTTGTTTGCACAACGTCAGGTTTTGCTGTTTCTCATTTTTTAAATCTCAGCAGGGAGAGGAAACAGCATAGAGTATTATATTTTCCCTGCTCTCCTGGACAACGCTGTTTCGGACCTTTGCTTTAACTTTAAGATCCTACCGAGCTGTGGAAAAGATTGGGGACATTTAAACAATTCCACCCACCCTCAAGGACCCAGATCTACAGTGAGGAAGACTCCAGCGTTTGTTTATTTCTTTCACTTTCTCAAAGTCAATCCCGTAATGTTTTCTTTTTTTAAAAAAAGAAGAGCTCAGGGTAGCCAGCAGCAGCGCACAAAATTAGGGAAAATATATAATTACAGCAAGCCACATATAAACACATGTTTGTAAGTCCAGCTTTCCTTTCTTTGCCTGGGCTCAATGGCAGGAAGGAACTGCGACAGGCAACCCACCCATCCTCTTCCCTTCTGAATCCACATCAGGATGAGGGCGATGGGAAAGTAGGGATCTGAAAAAGAGAATCTCAAAGGTACTAGGGGCCCACTAGCTTGTGTGCCCCCCCTTTCCCTGGGGGCCTTCAAGATCCTAGCCTATGGAATTCAATTCAAAAATAGGTTAAACAAACACACCACCACAACACAGAAACGTATTCCGGTTATATTCCGCTGCCTTGCAATTTTCACTGCTACCACAATGACTGGAAACAGAACAGCAGGAAGACTGGGGGAATCAAATGCACAGCTAGCCCTATCTCTAAAAGAACAATTTCTTATTTATTTTCAGCCCAGTTCTAACAGAAGTCCTATTGAATTCAGCCTAAAATTCTACTGGCTGCTTTTATGCTTTAACAGAGGGATGCTGGTGGCGCTGTGGGTTAAACCACTGTGCCGTTTGGGCTTGCCGATCAAAAGGTTGGCGGTTCGAATCCCGCGACAGGGTGAGCTCCCGTTGCTCGGTCCCAGCTCCTGCCAACCTAGCAGTTCGAAAGCACGAAGTGCAAGTAGATAAATAGGTACCGCTAAGGCGGGAAGGTAAGTGGCGTTTCCGTGCGCTGCTCTGGTTTCGTCAGAAGCGGCTTAGTCATGCTGGCCACATGACCTGGAAAAACTGTCTGCGGAAGAGGACAAACGCCAGGTCCCTCGGCCAATAAAGCGAGATGAGCGCCACAACCCCAGAGTCGTTCACGACTGGACTTAATTGTCAGGGGTCCCTTTACCCTTTATGATTTAACGTTAGTGTAAATTTGTACGGTCAGTACTGGTAAAGCAATCTGGTGGACTCTCCAAAAGCTGTATCTGAAATAAAAATGCTCGAAGCCTTGAAAAAGAAAAAAAAAGAAGTCCTATTGAATATAGTGGGGCTTACTCCCAGGAAAGTGGACCAACGATAGCAGCCTTACCAATTTCACGAGCAATATAATAAAGGAGTAAAGAAAACGTCATTTCATTAGTGGCGGAGATGGCTGAATGTTCATACTAAATCAACCCCTTCGTGTTGGTCACTACTGCATCCATTTTACAGAGAGATGAGAAAAAGAATTGCTTGTGTTGACCCAATAAGCTAATACCTCAGCAGAGATTCAGGCCCTTTACCATTCAAGATGTACTGAACTGCCATACGTCCAGGTATCACTCATAAAAATAGCGTGCAGGTGGTTTTTTTTTTTCTAAATCGGCAAAATGTCTAGGGAAAGCCCCCATCTAAAGCTTGTATACTTCCATATCTCCTTGGTTTGGGGGGCGGATAACTCCATACCTTTCAACGTTTCTCCGATGAAAATAGGGACATCCTAAGGAAAAGCGGGACATTCCGGGATCAAATCAGAAACCGGGATGGCTTCTGTAAGTCTGGGACTGTCCCTGGAAAATAGAGACACTTGAAGGGTCTGCAGAGATGATGGGAGTTGTAGTACCCTTCATCTCAGTAGCAATCCCTTGAAATAAGGGACTCAGCCTGTAAGGGCTCAAGTCTACCCTTGGTCTCCTATCATCGTCTAAACCTCGAGTTCATCAGGAACAGCTCAAGCAGCCGGTGTCCAACTGCTAAGAATGACCGCTTGATTCACTGCCCGCACCCTGCCCTGGAGAAGAGCCTATTCCCTGAAAGAAGGGTTATAATGGCATTGGTAATATATTTACGACAAAGGTCCGTATAGTTAAAGCTATGGTTTTCCCAGTAGTGATGTATGGAAGTGAGAGCTGGACCATAAAGAAGGCTGATCGCCGAATAATAATAATAATAATAATAATAATAATAATAATTTATTATCTGTACCCCGCCCATCTGGCTGGGTTTCCCCAGCCACTCTGGGCGGCTTCCATAGAAACCAAAAATACACTAAAATCACACATTAAAAACTTCCCTGGACAGGGCTTCCTTAAGATGTCTTCTGAATGTCAGGTAATTGTTGATCGCTTTGACATCTGAAGGGAGGGCGTTCCACAGAGCGGGCGCCACTACTGAGAAGACCCTCTGCCTGGTTCCCTGTAGCTTTGCTTCTCACAATGAGGGAACCGCCAGAAGGCCCTCAGAGCTGGACCTCAGTGTCCGGGTTGAACAATGGGGGTGGAGACGCTCCTTCAGGTATACTGGGCCGAGGCCGTTTAGGCCTTTAAAGGTCAGCACCAATACTTTGAATTGTGCTCGGAAACGTACTGGGAGCCAATATAGGTCTTTTAAGACCAGTGTTATGTGGTCTCGACGGCCGCTCCCAGTCACCAGTCTAGCTGCTGCGTTCTGGATTAGTTGTAGTTTCCGGGTCACCTTCAAAGGTAGCCCCACGTAGAGCGCATTGCAGTAGTCCAAGCGGGAGATAACCAGAGCATGCACCACTCTGGCGAGGTAGTCCGCAGGCAGATAGGGTCTCAGCCTGCGTACCAGATGGGGCTGGTAAACAGCTGCCCTGGACACAGATTTGACCTGTGCCTCCATGGAGAGCTGCGAGTCCAAAATGACTCCCAGGCTTCGCACCTGGTCCTTCAGGGGCACAGTTACCCCATTCAGGACCAGGTAATCCTCCACACCTGCCCGCCTCCTGTCCCCCAAGAACAGTACTTCTGTCTTGTCAGGATTCAACCTCAATCTGTTAGCCGCCATCCAACCTCCAACCGCGTCCAGGCACTCACATAGGACCTTCACCGCCTTCACTGGTTCTGATTTGAAAGAGAGGTAGAACTGGGTATCATCCGCATACTGATGAACACCCAGCCCAAACCCCCTGATGATCTCTCCCAGCGGCTTCATATAGATGTTGAAAAGCATGGGGGAGAGGACGGAACCCTGAGGCACCCCACAAGTGAGAGCCCAGGGGTCTGAACACTCATCCCCCCCCACCACTTTCTGAACACGGCCCAGGAGAAAGGAGCGGAACCACTATAACAGTGCCCCCAGCTCCCAGCCCCTCAAGACGGTCCAGAAGGATGTTATGGTCGATGGTATCAAACGCCACTGAGAGAGCCAGCAGAACTAGGAAACAGCTCTCACCTTTGTCCCTAGCCCGCCGGAGATCATCAACCAGTGCGACCAAGGCAGTTTCAGTCCCATGATGAGGCCTGAATCCCGACTGGAAGGAATCCAAATGGTCCGCTTCTTCCAGGCGTGCCTAGAGTTGTTCAGCAACCACTCGCTCAATCACCTTGCCCAAGAATGGAAGATTTGAGACTGGGCAATGGTTGGCCATCGTGGCCGCATCCAAAGATGGTTTTTTAAGAAGCGGTTTAATAACCACCTCTTTCAGCGCGTCTGGGAAGGCTCCTTCACGGAGGGAAGCATTCACCACCCCACGAAGCCCATTGCCCAGTCCTTCCCGGCTAGCTTTTATAAGCCAGGATGGGCAAGGATCACGGAGACAAGTGGTTGGTTTCACTCGTCCAAGCAGCCTGTCCACATCCTCGGGGGTAACAGATTGGAATTGATCCCATACAACTTGACTAGACAGGACTCTAGCACTCTCCCACCCCGGCCCTGCTCCCACGGTGGAGTCTACCTCTTCTCGAATCTGAGCGACTTTATCTGCAAAAAACTTTGCAAAATCATTGCAGGAGATCATGTGGCCCGTACTGGGCCATGTTGGAGCAGGTGGTTCTGCTAAATTGCGAACCACCTGAAAAAGTCTCCTGCTGCTGTTTTCCACAGATGCAATAGAGGCGGTGAAGAAAGTCTTCTTCGCCGTCGCTATCGCCACTTGGTAGGGTCGACATTGAGCTCTAACCCGTGTCCAGTCAGCTTCAGAATGAGTTATCCGCCACAGGCGCTCTAGCCGTCTCAACGATTGTTTCATCGCCCTCAGCTCCGGGGAAAACCATGGGGCTGTCCGGGCTCCATGCAATCGGAGAGGGCGCTTCGGAGCCAAACAGTCAATAGCCCTGGTTAACTCCACATTCCAGCGGGCCACCAGGGAATGAACTGAAAGGCCATCAACATGGGATAAAACATCCCCTACCACTCTTTGGAAACCATTTGGATCCATTAAGTGGCGGGGGCGGACCATCTGAATCGGTCCCACCTCCCTGCAGAGGGGAAGGGTCACGGAGAAGTCCAGTTGCACCAGGAAGTGATCTGACCATGGCACTTCTTTCGTTTCGCTTTTACTTAGTGTCAGATCACCCACATCCATAGAGGTAAACACCAGGTCCAAGGCATGTCTGTGGCTATGGGTTGGACCAGACTTATTCAGGGACAGCCCCATGGAGGCCATGCTTTCCACGAAGTCCCGAGCGGCCCCTTGTAAGGTCGTGTCGGCATGGATGTCAAAATCTCCTGGGACAACCAAACTAGGTGTCTCCAGGAGAACATCCGACACCACCTGAAGCAGCTAGGGCAGGGAATCCTTGGTGCAGCGGGGAGGTCGGTACACCAATAGGAATACTGTACTGCCCCTATTGCCCAACTTCCAGAACATGCACTCAGAAAACTGGGTTTTCCCAATAGGACGCCTGGTGCAGACTAATGACTTACTAAAAATCACTGCAACCCCCCCTCCCTGCCCACAAGGCCTGGGTTGCTGTGCGTAAGAGAAACCTGGCGGACAAGCAGCGGCAAGGACAGGCCCATCTGCTTCATCCAACCAAGTCTCTGTTACACATGCCAGGTCAAATCCTCCATCCACAATCAAGCCATGGATCACAGTGGTTTTATGGATCACTGACATGGCATTGCACAACAGCACCTTCAGGTCGTGTGGGTATCCCTTGCTGATTCCAGTATCCATCCGGTCAGGACCAGACCTGGAGGCAGGGATAGTCCTCAAGCAACGACTAAACCTGCCTCCTCGGTAATGACATGGTCTGGTCGTAGCGTAACTCCTCCTCCTACCCGTGATGACTGAGATCGGTTGTCCCAG